TATGTGGCATGTTTCTGTTGCTCGCCTCTTCCGTCCTACTTGTTTTTTGCTCTGGAAGAAGGAGGAAGTCGGTACCCATGGGATAGCGCCGCCATCATTGCCCCGCTAGTGCTGGCAATCACATTATTGCTGTCGTCGTTCTCATAAGCTGGGAGGTTTTCCTTGAGAAGAAAGGGTCCGTCAAGGAACCAGTGTTTCTTCCTAGTATCCTCAAGGACAGGCTGCTGACAGCCATGCTGCTGTAAGTTGCGGTGAGACTTGAAGTAAGTGCCCTCCTATTAACTTGTAGTACGGCCTTTTTTGTCGGCTTCCCGTTCGTGGCTATTGAGTGAAGAATTCACCACACACTGCGTTACTAACTCCATTTAAGCTGTCATGATGGGTGCCATAACGCAGATCCGCGTGCTGGGAGGGACAATATCGCTTGCAATTTGGTAATTTCCTTCCCAACCCATTCGATACACCTATTAATTCATAATAGTTCTACAATCCTTAGCAATCATGTGAAGCCTTGCATGTTGTCTATCATCTCCCCGGAGCAAGCGCAGGCAATCTACGACTCGCTGTCTGCCATCCAGGAATGGACTCCGTCCCAGCAGGCGGCGGTGAAAAGGATGTTTGCTGCAGGCTACAGTTTACAGAATATATTCATGACTGCACTCATGGCTCTCGGTCTTATAACTGCATGTTTTCCTGTGGGAGAGACATCCAAGAAAAGCATTGTAGAAAACAGACCTAGCTTAGTACAACAATATACTTCACTTGTTATCTATCCCCATATAACTTAGGCGAGCCACATCTGAATCGACAGTCTCGAGAAGCCCTCTGCATCCTGGATTAGAGTGCTGATGACGCGCTGCGTAACAGCTTTGTTCTTCTTGTATGTTGTCGTCAGCCGCACCACCCAGTGATGCAACGGTGGGAGGAGGCACCAAATGATTGAAGATCAGCCGTACTAAGTAACTGCTGAAAGTTGCTGTTGGATGGTTTTGTTCTGATCACGCGGCTGTTTGACGAATTTCTCGAAATTGGCACGAATACGAGCAATTGGATCCATGGTATTGCAGAAGGGGAAGTAGAGCCAGAGTCAAAGCAGAGATGCAGAACTAAATGATGCGGTTTGTGAACATCAAGAGACTTCCAAATCTGGCAGACACCGAACGGTGTAAGGAATGAATTTACATAACCCAGGTTTGAAAAGCAGAACTACAGTCTAGAAATCAACTATACAGGCATACAGGTGATAGAGAAGAACTGAACAAAGCAGAATCTGGCAATCGAGCGGGAGCGAAGGCCGAGCGCTTCTGTAATCTGGCCTTAGATGCGTTCCATCACGAGGTGAGGCTCACTGAGGTGATGCATGCGATGTATTCTCTTGAGGTAAACTTATAAACACAGATAATGGACCACATAATAGAAACAGAGCAACTATACGAGAATCTGGAGCAGTGAGAGAGGGCAGAACACTTGCCATAATACTATAAGGTCAGAATATTGCCTGCCTTATGGATTAGCAGCAGTTCCTGTCATCTATCACCTCTAACTATAAGACCTATATGTCCAAGGTTAGATAGTTTTGGCACATTGGCAATCTGCCATGGTTGTCTGGAGTTCTGTGAATTTGGGATGGTGGTAATTCATCCCTCGAACTATGGACGGAGGGAGATCGACAAGGGGTGTAAGGGGTATTAAGAGATGGAAACTGATGCCTATAAAGGTAACTGTGCGATAATTTTTGAGGTCCAATTATCGGAATCGGCACGAGGATGTGATTATCTCTCAGAAACCCCGTTGAAGCTTCGCTGCGGAATATAGTTCGGTCATCTCTCGGTACCGAGTTTTCTCCATATGACATAATTGATCCTATTTTTCGATTTCTGTGCAGGTAGACTTTCAGTCAATCTATGTCTATATCACAGATTCAGAACTACAAATACAAACAGAAAAAGGTATAAACACGTCATCGCATAGTATGGGTAAACAGGGGGTACGTTTGGCCTAAGTGAAGCGGCAAGTGCTTGACCGCATGATGATGTCTTGACACTTCACCATTACGTTTCTGAGATCCAACTCAGATACACGTCAGATAATACTATGCTAATCAGATTCCGAGGAACCCGTGTAGAAGCTCCAATTTAACGCCGAAAATTTGACTTGTATGGGATGGATGAAACTCGGCTTTCGGGATTATGTCGGCCACTGAACGGGATGATGATAGAGCGGCAATAGTTTGAGGTTTGTGAGTATATATATCCCGGAGGTCCTATCAGCTCTAGTGTTAGTATGATACTATATCACTACTATAACTGTAGATATTTCACGGCCACTCGGGCTGACTCCCACCATGTCGACCCTACCTCCAGAAAGATCTCAGGCACGACGCAACACCAACAACCTTGCATTAGTACCAACAGAAACTAGAGACACTCTCCATGAAGCTGGACTCAGCCCAAGTCCCCCTGAGATTGGGATCAATTACCCCGAAGTCGGACGTCCTACCGACCCCGTCTTCCCCGAGGAATACAACATCGAGACTCAAACGGGGTTGGTCCCAGCACAGACTCTTGAATCAATCCGTCCGACGACCAGCAGGGGCCGGCAGATCTCGCCGGCGGATGTGGAAAAGGGAGGCGAACCCGTGGATTTTGTCACGTTTACGATTAATGACCCCGATAATCCGCACAACTGGAACCGGTTATACCGCTGGTACGTCACCATCGTCGTCTCGGTACTCGTCGTGTGCGTCGCTTACGGGTCGGCATTCGTCACCGGTGGATTGGGCCTGATTGAGAACAAGTATCATGTTTCGCTCGAAGTGGCTACGCTGACCGTTTCGATCATGGTCTGTGGGTTTGCGGTTGGCCCGTTACTCTGGAGTCCTCTGTCGGAGATCATCGGCCGTCGTCCCGTGTATGTCATCTCACTAGCACTGTACACCATATTCCAAATACCCTGCGCGCTTTCTCCCAACATCGGTGGATTGCTGGCCAGCCGCTTTCTCAGCGGCGTCTTCTCCAGTTCCGGCCTGTCGCTGGCCGGCGGTACCATTGCGGATATCTGGAATATCGAAGAGCGCGGCATGGCCATTGCCTTCTTCGCCGCAGCGCCCTACTGCGGTCCCGTCGTGGGCCCCATCGTGTGCGGATGGATCAACGTCGGTTCGCACCGCCTGGACCTCTTCTTCTGGACCAACATGGCCTTTGCCGGTGTCGTCATGATCATGGTCGGCCTGGTGCCAGAAACCTACGCCCCCGTCATCCTGAAACGCCGCGCAAAGAAGCTCCGCAAGGAAACAGGCAATCCCAACATTATCACCGAGCAGGAAAAAGTCAAGCTGAGCTTCAAGGATATCGTGCGCACAAACCTCGTCCGTCCCATCACGATGATCCTCACCGAGCCCGTCCTCGACCTGATGTGCATGTACATCGTACTCATCTACGCCATGCTCTACGGCTTCTTCTTCGCCTTCCCCGTTATATTTGGCGAACTGTACGGCTTCAACGACGGCCAGATCGGCCTGATGTTCATCCCGATTCTGATCGGCGCCGGGTTCGCGCTTCTCGTAACACCGCTCATGGAGAAGCAGTTTCGTCATACCTGCCATTCGCGCGCCCCGACCCCCGAAGATCGACTCATCGCTGCGCTTATTGGAGCCCCGTTCATTCCGATCGCCCTGTTCATTCTCGGCGCTACCTCATTCAAACACATTATCTGGGTCGGGCCGGCCTCGTCCGGGATCGCGTTCGGCTTTGGCATGGTGCTCTGCTACTACGCCGTTAACAACTACATCATCGATTCGTACCATAAGTACGCGGCCTCGGCGCTCGCCGCGAAGGTGTTCCTGCGGTCTGGAGGCGGCGCGGCTTTTCCGCTGTTCACCACCCAGATGTATCATAGGCTCGGCCTGCAGTGGGCGTCGTGGCTGCTGGCGTTTCTGGGGGTGGGGATGGTGTTTATCCCGTACGGGTTCTATGTGTATGGAGCAAGGATACGGGCTAGATTTGAAAAGTATTAATCGCAGCATAGCATGTATTATAGTGTAAGATAGATGGGTTATAATGGCATAAGCATTTGCAATCTAGCAAGGCTGATCCAGATCTGCGTGTATCTTTCCTTACTCTGGCATATCAACACCAGAGTTCAGCCTTGTGTGTCGAACATGGGACGCATCAGCGGTGCAGGGCGCTACGAGACATGATGCTATTGGCAGCAACAAAAATGCTGTGGATGGTAACATAGACCTGTACGCTGTGATAGACTACCGTAACTGTACACACCTAGCAGGTGAAACCTACTACTGACTGTATTAATTGGGCTGCTCTCGAGTATAGGATGAAATAGCTCTTTTTCGATATCTTAGTGTGTGTTTGTTTCTCCATATTGCATATTTAGGGGATGGAAAGGAACTCATTCCACAAAGGACATCGAAGCATATTTCTAAGTTGTGCAAGGCTGGGCTTGTAGTTCTTATACAAGAAGAACAGCTCTTTGTGGCGCATGCTGTAAGAAGATCATGTGAAGGACATTCCCATACCTGAGCACTTCAACCTTAGCCTTGTAAACATGGAGTCTGTCAGCGTTGGCCTGAAGCAGTCATATCCTTGACCAGCAGCCAACAACACTACAATCGTCATAGTGTTCGTCATGACCACTGCAACTCACTCCCACGACGACTACACAGTGGTGTGGATATGCGCCCTGTCTCTAGAGAAAACAGCGATGGTTCTCATGCTGGACATGCAGCACCCACCTCTCCCCAAAGCCCCCTCAGATGGAAACAGCTGCACCTTCGGAGACAAAACAAGCCACCAACGGTTTTGTTACATGCAATCGCAGCGTTACATTATAGATCACAAGTCCTTTTCATAAGAGCCATATGTATAACATCCTCGACAGTGCAACCACCATCATGCGAGTTGTGCCGCCTCACTCCTGCGAAACGGCTGTGCGTGTTCTGCTGTAGCGGGATGGAGAACACTGGTATATTCCATTAAACCTGATCATCTCACCTTCTTCAAAACTAGTTTCTCCATCTCCTCGAGCATGGACTCTGCTAATTCCTCCAGTGGTGTCCCCAGTGTTTCCTCCGAGTCACCACTCTCCTTCAACAATTCTATAATCGTCCGCTTGATCCATTGCCGTGCCTTTGCTACCTGGAGCTCAAAGAGCGCCTTCGAAGCAGCGTACTCATGACTAATATAAACGACAAGACGAACATTGGAGGCCAGTTCACTAAGACAGCCCCTCGTGGCCGGTGACTTTCCATTGAAGGTGGAGTTTAGGAACATTTTAAGCGCTTCGTTATTGTATTTCTGTTTCAGGGCGCTTCTAAAGGAACGGCTGACAATGTTGAATTTGCCGTCCGCTTGTTGCAGGCGGAGGATCGTTTCCAGGCGAGGTAAATCTGACGGGCTTGGGTGGTCGGGATCGCGAAGTTCCCTATCCAGAGAGCGGGCTCTACAGCCGCCACTCGAGGAGGTGTCATTTGGCGAGTCAGTTGGCGAATGAGGACTATCGTCGTCGGTCTCATTTTCATCTGAGCTGGGTCTGCGGCGTTTGCGATTTTCAGCTCGGAGCAGGCTTGCACGTGGTCGTTGAAAACGTGCTTGAGGTGCATCGGCAATAGCCCCTTCGCTATCCTCATCCAGAATCGGATACGTTATGGTCTTCCCGCTGCGTACGCTTGCCGATGTTTCAATTGGCCGTAGCTCTTCAGGTCCAGAGCCCCCCTCTAGAGCTGGAGGCGCTCGTGATTCGTCCTGATGCTGATTCTGGGTTTGACTTTGCTGCTTAGGGCGGTCAAATGCCGAGATCCCAACCCCCGCCTCGAACGTGTTAGGACCCGGGGTATAATCACTGTCAAAGGAGGTATCTAATGAGTGAACCGACACCCACGGTGGTCGCGATGTCGGCGGTGGTGCAGACAACGAAAGGCTGGGAAGATCATCATGGTGGGAGGAATTATGTCGAGCAGTTTCCACGGAGATGGTAGGTCCGCCCCCCTCGCAGAAGACAAAGGGTCTGCGGCGAGCATCATAGCCAGCAGAATTCCAAGAACGAGTAGAACCTTTTTTAAGAGAAATACGTGGTCGTGTAGAGGTAGAAGTATGTCGTGGCCGAGTCAGTTGGGAGACTTCGATAGCATCCGCTTTATAGACCGATATCCCGCGTTGCTGGGCCGTGCTACGATCAATAGCCACATAGCTCGTCCACTTGCTAGGTATGGACCACGTCTGCCCAACGTGCTTTGCTTCGTGCTCCAGAACCTTTTCAAATCCTGTTGGATTGGTGGACTTGAGGGTTGGGTGAAGTGAATGCATCCAGCTTTGTCCGGTTTCATAGTCGTTCATCAATGCCTTCGCTGCAAGATGGTGAATGGCTGGTTGTTCAGCTGCTGTCTGAATTGGCAGCTGGGCTGTGAGCTTCTCTCCTTTCTCAGTTGTTGCAGTGATATTAATTATTTTAGGCAGCGAGTCCAATTCCCTCTCCAGCAAGTAGTAGAGAGAGAAATGTGAAAAGGTGCTTAGCACAGGGATATGGTGTGGAGCCTGAACCCACTCGGGATATTGCACTGTATATCCGGCAATCTGCCGCTCAGATGTCTTCATGGCAAGATCCTTGCCAAGATCCACATTGCACGGAAGGCGAGATGGTGTCAACGCTCCCTTCAACATTTGTATCACTCTTTCCTGCCAGGAACCCATCGAGGCCTCTATAGCCGCCCCCTTGCTGCCCGATGCCCTCGACCAGGCGATGAGAAACTCGATCCCCAATTCCCAAAGAAAAGAATCTGATATTCAAAGAACCGTTTGAGGCCGTTTCGCGCACTAGCTGTATCACGTTGTCCACATTCCAGACCTCGCCGTCGGTCAACAAAATCACACTGGTTGGTACGTCATTCCGCTTATTGTAGTGATCCATAACACTGTGCAGCGCGCCATAAATTTCGGTACCACCGTAGTTTGCTTGGAATGAATCCACGTGCTTCGAGGCGACATCCAGTTTCTCTTGGCTGTATCTCATCGAGGAAGGCCATAACCATGTGACGCGGGAACCAAAGGAGGCGATGTTGAACGAGCATGCTTCAGGGAGACTCCGTAAGAAAACATTCATCACATTGATGAGAGAGGGGATCTTTGACTCCATCGACCCCGATCTATCCGCCATGAAGATAATTTCGCCGACAAAATCCTCCATATTAACATGTTGGCAAAACAGATCGCCGGGGTGCACGGTGACCGCAATCGTGGAGAGGCCGGGTTGGCCAGGCTGCGACGCTGCAATAGCCTGTGACTGCGAGGATTCGCGAGAGCTACACAAGATGTGTAAGACAAAATCTTGATGAAGAATGGCATTTCTGTCCGATAACGTGGCACGTCCCTTGGAGTAATCCAGCATGTCCGATGATGCACCCGCTGCAAAATCCTGGAAGGTTTTGTGGGAAACGGCCCCCATCTCGACCGAGATGGGGTGTGATCGCGACTCCATCTTGCGGATGGCTGCCGGCATCGATACTTGGACGTTGATCCGCAGCCCCTCCGTGAGAAGGGATTGATTTCCGCTGTATCCTGCAGGCGTGTCCCCGTACCGCGATGCGATCGATGTCGGGATCGTAAGAACCAGTCCCCCAGTGCTGTTATCCACCTTCAGGAGGTTGGCGTACGTGATCTCAATCTTGACTGTGGTTTGTGCAGGGATATCTCCCACGCTCGTCTCGAACACCGCGAGTCTTAGTATACATGGTACAGATCCATTACTGTCTAGAGACAATATTTATGACTGTCCTGGGGCAACTAAACCCTCATCTGTTACCCAGAAGCAAAGTGGTTAACCGTACCCCATAGAACTGCAGAAATGGTCTATGCAAATGAAAAATAATTCGGATTTCAGCCTTAAGCTTTTCCTAATAGCAGTAGTAAACAAAATTGCTAAGATTATCAAAGGCATTACCAAATTGAACGGGCATATATATAAGACACACTTCCTGTTAGGTGCAAAAAGTGCGTCGCCACTTTGCATTAGCATCTAGGATATCAGTACGGTACACAGATGTTATGCCTGGAATTCATGGCCCCGCTAGGACTGGAGTAACTCTGTAATCTCTCTCTTGTCATCTTCCCCTCTTCCCCTCTTCCCCTCTTCTTAGTTCCCCGTCCGAAACTATCGAGTCTTTTATCAACGCCGTACTATTCGGTTTTTTTGCCCTGTTAGTATGAGAGAACAAGCGGACGGAAGTGCCGCGGAGCAAAAGAGGATCGAACAGAATCAACTGACGCTAATGTCGCTCTCGTCCCGTGAAGAAGCCAAGCGAGCGAGGGGTAAGAAGACGGAAATGCCCTCTGAACGCATGGCCAACAGTGTCGTCCGGGGAAGAGGCACAGAAAAGAAGAAAGAAGAAGGATTAATATGTAAGGAACGCCAGCGCCCCTTACCACAAGTCGTAATATACACAGAAAATCAATGAGAATAAATAGGACAGCACTGTTACGAGGGCGCAATCCGGCTTCCCTGGCCAAAGCGCTCTTTGAGTTGATTCTTGTATCTCGCCTCTTCCTCCACTTTTCGTTGTATCAAACTCTCGACTCCCTCACACCAGTATGGACTCACGGTCTTATCGAACACACGTTTCCTGCAATGCTCTTCGCAATAATAGCGTTGGATATGCTCCCTAAAAACCCGCAGAAGCCCTTTCGGACTGTGCAGTGCTTGGAAATACCAAAAACGTCGCTTATTCCAGCATCCTCTCATGATCTGGGCGTGAGAAAAATCTGAGCATTGATCTTTTCTTTCTTGTTCCTCAAACGCATCTATGTATTCATGGATATGCGCCTGGAAAGTATCGAGGTGCTCCCCGTGTTCAATATCATCAATGGTCCGGCCAGTCAGCCAATGAACGGGAGTTTGTAGTTCAACTGGGAGGACAGCTGCGAATTCTAGATCAATAATAGCTGTAATATGCCATTCTTCGTCGACGAAAATATTGCCCGGTTGAAGGTCCGTCAGCGTGAGTCTGAACGGACCGTGGCGATATTGACGAGAGATGAACTGAGGGAGAAGAGCACGCATCATCGTCAATGCAGCCAATTGTTCCTGACCATCTTCTGTGTCATGGATGGCATTTGGCTGATGATAGATACGATTGTCATGGCATTGTAGGAGATCCAGAAGATATGACTCCGCAGCTTGGTACACTGAGGTTCTGGGAATAGTCGGGATCCCCTCGTTTTCCAGGGTCTGTAGACGTAGCGTAAGAGGCCGACTCGCTAAACTAATGACGCCATCGTTATTCAAGGTCAGGGACCCGATTCGGGGAAACTCGGTACGATTCAAGCTTAGAATGATCCATGCAAGGTCGCTGAAGAGAGTTTGTCTCCGCGTTTTATCCCGGAGCAGAACTTCCAAAGAATATTCAGAAAGCTGCCGACCTTTATTTATAATGCTTATGATCATGTATCCAGTTGTCAGTCGGGTCGGACGCTTCAGACTGATGTAAGGACTGATGTAAGGACATGACGTCGGATGGCCAAGCCACGACCGTAGCGTCTGTGCTATGCGCCAACAGAGTCGAGAGAAAAGGGAGGCACTGGAGGGTTTGACAAACTGTAAGACATGGGTTAATCAGTTCAGTTTATCTGGAAATGAAGTTCAGGTTCACTTACAGTTTGGCCGTCAGGAAAACCGAACCCATAAAGGCAAGGGATAGGAACCGTTGGGCAATTTTGGTGGATCCAGATATAAGTGGCTACCTCGCACCGCAGCTTTTCATCCACATTCCCCGGATTCTTTTCCTCCCCGATTTTGAAGGGCAAGGGAATTCGAATAAGAACATGGTTCTCAGATGGGGGATTGACGCAGACTGGAATGCATATATTATAGTTGCCCATCATCCAATTATCTTCATCAGCAACCTGGCAACAATTTGCTTGCAGATGAAACGCCACGGTCGCTTCGATATCCGCTTTGAGAGAAATAAGATGTGCCTTGAACTCCCTCAACTTCTGCGGATAGTCCAACATGTGGAGAACATTGTCGTCGTGTTCGAGGGCTTCTTCCAGGGAAATATCCCGCTTTAGAAGAGGAAGCCTTGTCATCTTGGGAACATACTAGTCTGTTGGGGGAAGGCGGGAACAGCTACAGGTAAACAAATCCAGCTGGAAAGAAGCAAGTGGTAAGGAGGCTGTTGAAAATCGCACCTGCGTAGGAGCGAGGCAGAAACAAAGGAGAATCGAAGCAATGCAACAAGCCAGTGGATCATCATGCAGGCGGTGGGCCGACGCTAAGCCCAGACTGGTAAGACCATAATTATGTCATCCAGATCCTCCGCAGATCGAGCCGAAGTCAAAGATAGAGCTCATATCATAGTTTGTTTTGATTGCAGCGTATCACAGAGCAGAGGGAGTATCTTGTGGAGCTTTGCGCCCTATCACCTCTGTCTGTGGTTAAGGGCATCAGAAGGAATATGGACCAAACATTGGAGATATAATTCCATTCAACTAGCAAGAAGCAGAAGAACAAGACCTCTAACAGAACACCAGGCATGGAAGAAAAAGAAAAACCAATTCAGCTCCTAATATGTACCCCCCCAATCAGATCCCAAAAACACCCATCCAGTCTAATCAGTGTTGACAGTGCAGCGGGAGAAGGAAGCACCAGCATTCTCAATCATCACTCCAACAAAGTTGTCGCTGTAGTCGGTGACAACACGGTACTTGCCGGGTTCGCCGCCTGTTCCAATGGTCAGTCTTTATCCCATAACCAGAATATTGATGACCTACCAGTCCAAGTTCCACCCTGAATAATAGGATACTCGCGCAGGTCCTTGGTGACACCCTCAAAGACGTCGCTGTTACCGCTCTTGTTGCCAAACTTGTGAGGGTAACCGCCGACGCCATAGTCATCCCACTTCTTGCACTCCTTGAACGCATTGGCAACATCGTCCTGGGAGAGCGTGACGCCATCAGGGCAGGTAGCGCTACCGATCTTCTTCTTCTTGCCGCGGGTGGTCAGGTCGCTGACAGTGTGGCCGGTGGATTCCTCGGTGGTTTCAGTCTCGGTCTCCTGGACGCTGCGCTTCTCGTCGTTACCATTCTTGTCGTCCTTGCTCTTGTCGTGCTTGTTCTTGTCATCCTTGTCCTTGCCAGGCTCGCGCTTGGTGTTGGTGACACGCGTGCAGGCCGTATAGGCGCCACCGACGGTGGCGCCGGTATGCTGCATCACACCGCGGAAGTCACCGCGGTTGTCCTTGTAGTCTGTGACCACACGGTACGCGCCAGGTTCGCCTGCACTCGTCAGCTTGTGTCAGTGTCTTCGCTGTCTGACAAGCTTACCGCCATTGTACACTCCACCCACGACGATGGGGAATTCCCGCAGATCGGTGCTATCGGGAATATTGCCGAATACTTTTTGGTTGTTGCTCTTGTTGCCAAAGTAGGCCGGGTACTTGCCGATGGCGCCGTCGTCGAGTCTGCGGCACTGGTGCAGGGCCTCGCGGATATCATTTTCAGACAGGGTGGTGCCGTCGGGGCATTGGAAGTCGCCGAGTTTGGGGGCGCGCTTGCTGAGCGCGGGGAGGGGAGAGGCATGAGCCAGGGCCATCAGTCCGTAGAGGACGATGGATTTCTTGTCGAAGAACATTTTGAGAGGCTGGTGCTTTGGACAATGGTTTAGAAGAGGAGAGAGGCTTCTGAGCTGGAGTGGATTGCTTTGATGCTGCTGATGTTGATGAGAGATCTGGTAATATCCTCATGGCTTTATATCTTCAGATTCATTCAGGTCATCTCAATTCTAACATGTTTCTAAACTCGGAACACTGATAGAACGTCTCATGATCGTCAGGCTGAGTGAGATGTGCTCAATGTTCAAGGCTGAGCTGTACTCCATGATTTGGCCCCGAATGTTTTTCCTGTGTATGCATTGTTCTGCGTATACATTATGGTGATGATATCCAAAACAGCCCCCGCAGATCAATTCTGGCCTGGTAGAGATGCTAAGAATGCTTGATACCTTAGAGCCTTAGGGCCAAGAGTGGGGGCGGGGGGTAAGCACTACAAGCACTATCCACAAGCTAGTCTGGCCCCCGCAGCCAAGACTGGCTGTGTCGAGTCGATGTCGCACCATTCAGCACAGCCCACCATTTCTGTCCAAGCCTCATCCGCTTCTGCAGATCTCAATTGTGCCTTGTCCTCCTTTTATCAATCAGTCAGTCAAAGTTTCTACGTTTCAGATTCTCCATCTCAAACATACTTTCAATCTACCCAACGACACCTACTTTCTTTGATCACCTACAAACCCTCACTATGGGAAAAGAGAACTTCATCCGACAAATCGAAAACTCAGTCGAGTTCAAACTCCTCGACAAAGTAGTCAAGGAAGAAGTCACAGCGCAAGATGCAGTCCAAGAAGTCATCAACATGACCATGAGTGCATTATCCATCCATGGCCCAACCAAACAAGGCGGCATCGGCCTGCCAGACTACAACGTCTCTCTTGCGGTGATGGAGCTCGCTCAACGCCTGGAGCCATCCAAACACAGCAAGCTTGTCGAGTTTGTATCTCATCTCCGGAAGCAAGTTGCCGTTGATCCATCCACAAACGAACCCCTCAGGGTTCAGGGTGATACCCTCTGGACCGACATGCCGTCATTCGGCTACACAGAGCTGGAGACGTGGTATGAGTTTGGGGGTGACTACAAAGGTGAGACATCCGTTAGATTCGAACAGTCAGAACGCTAACGCATCTAGACCCCTGTGATGCAACTCTGGACTCTAAGCAACGCGATCGCTGGGCAAATCTCAACGCTTTCCTCGCGCAGCTCACTCAGGCCGCGGACATTCGCTATCCACCTGCCGGGGAAGAAGTGCGATTCTCTCCCTTGGACAAATCACTACGGGCCATCTGGACCATGGCTATGGCCCTTGAGAACGAGCGCCCTCCTGCGTCGCTGGGAGATACGGCGGCGATGGAGGCCGCTTGCCTGTGGTTCATCTATGCTGCGGAGCGGCTGTGGGCGAATGTACTCAATAATCGCACATATCCGGATGTGGCTGGCGCTGGGCCGGGGAAAAGGTATGAAGAGGAGGGCTGGACGGGCTATACGCGGGAGCGATGGGGAATCTGGGAGGATGCGCTGAAGGAGGCTAGGGCTGCATGCGAAAATGAGCGGATGTGGAAGCTGATTGATGATGCTTTGGCGAGTCTGAGAAGGGGGATGGTGGATCAATAATGGATAGACTCATTTAGCTCTAGTGGACATTCATTTTTTGCTCTGGATGGTTAGTTGTGTAGTATAATGATATCTATTTCTATTCACTTTTTACAATTCTAACAGGATCAGTCTGATCTGATTATGATATTCACTCTCATCCATTCATAACTGGCTTTGACCCTGTAAAGCTTGATCTTATTCACTTCATTTGCAAAGCAGATCCTGCATCATTCACTCTTGCTCATTGATCCTTTCTTTTTCTCTATTCATATACTACTGTAAATTATCATTTTCCCTTCTCCACTGACTTTCCCAAACAGTTACGAGTCAACAAAGAATCTGTCTCTGCTAAATGTGATGCTATTTCTATATCCATATGAGCGGCATCATTGCTCAGGCAAGGAACAGAATATTGAGTGGTGGGACCCTAAATTATCTCTAAGTGATAACCACTTTGCATATACATTAATGGTGATTATTATCTACTACTATTATTTTGGTTCGTGTTGTCAAAGAGTTATACTAGTAGTACACTGATAAAAATATATTTATTCGTCATTCCGTACTTCCTGAAGAAAATCCAACATTAACACTACTTTTCATGACTACAAATGTATATCTGACTAAGTTGTCTCACAGCCTGACCCAGCTACAGTTCTGATTGTGGATTCATGTAATTGTCTTTGAGCTTATTATTTTTGGGCTTTTGAGCCTTACGGACTACACTTTGCGGGCAGCTTGCGGTCTAGCGGACGAGCTAGTCCAGTATTGAAGGATTAGGCGAGTCTAACTGTTAAGAGTCAATGGCCAAGAAATTGATAAGAAATTATCTAAGACCTTGGATCATTAAAGGAATGACAAGATTGGCCCACTAGATATATTTTCGACAAGGCTGTCTTGATTGTGTGGGGCTGGACTGAGCATCCTCTACCACTTATTTCTGCCTTATATCCTGGCCCCATAATAAAGTTCGCTTCTGCACTGCCGAGGGGCCAAAGCCTCGTGTCTGCTGTTGTTTTTGTCTCTGGCTGATCAAGGGAATGGACAAGCTCATGCCCAGCCTCTCACAGGAATGCTTAATACGAGGGGAACAGTGGACGAGTGGGGTTTCAGCCGCTTATGTCGATCCTACCAACATTGGATGATGAATATGATTGCTTGGTTGAATGTCGATCTTGTCTGTTGTCAACGTGGCGCAGCGGCTGACAGATCGACAAATGATATACCCAATGAGGATGTCCTACATGGATGGCCCCAAGGCCTGTTCGTCTTATTTACCGCTCCTCCTGCCTTTGTCTTACACCTCTTGTCTATTCTCTTCAGCCAAGATAGAACGAAAGAAGTGGCATTCCTACGGGACTCGACTTGCACAATGACCAACGCCCTCTCCGCCGCTACCTGCGCCATCTATGCAGTCCTTGCCATCCCAGTACTCTACCTCCTCGTCCGCCACGGTCGCTACGGCCTCCTGGGATGGCTCTTCCTGTTCTTCTTTTGCACCATCCGCATCATCGGTGGCGCACTGGCCGTCAACGACACCGGCATCGCCGCTAATATCATCTCCAGCATCGGTCTTTCTCCTCTCCTCCTCGCAACAGCAGGCATTCTACACGAGGCGTGAGTACTCAGTCCACAAATACGAGATCCATTCTAACGCGAGCAGTCGACACTATCGCATCCAACCCCTCGACAAGAAAATGGAATGGGTCTCCGTCCTCGCCTACCACATGCTGGTCGTCGCAGGCGTGGCCCTAACAGCAGCCGGCTCCGCGAAACTCCAGAAACACGAACAACCCCTCGACAAGGCCGAGAAGATCGCCAAGGCGGGTATTTCAATTCTAGCAGTCGCATGGGGGATTCTAGTCGCCTGGACTGGCTTCTCGTTTATTGCTCCCCGGGGACGGAATTTCTCGCTTACGAGGGCGGGGACTGTCGTAAGTAGTTACCCCCTTGTGATAGGAGTGCTATGCTAATGATTTGCGAACAGCTGCTCACGGCCGTCGCCTTCTCGCTCGTCTTCATCGGCGTCCGAGTCTTCTACAGTCTTGCTGCGCTGTGCACGCAGAAGGCGTCGCTTAATCCCGTCACGGGGTCGCTGGCTATCCGCGTGGTACTGGGCTTCCTGCCCGAGGTGATTGCCGCGCTGGCGTATATTTTTGCGGGGATCAAGACGCAGGGAGCGGCGCTGTTAGCTCATGTCGAGGAGGAGGAGATGGTTTCGGTTCCGCCGAAACCGCGGGCGCAGCCTTGGGTTTAGCTGGCTTAGGCGCATGCGTTGTTTATATTTGTCTTTCGCTATATACCTAGATGATGAGAGTTTCCAATGGTTAGAGTAATTATAACGGACTGTGTGGACGTCTTATAGAGGAACGTCTTACTAACTTCGCACTCAACGCTGTTTCCCTATAATTGCTTGGGGAGATCAGGGCAGATTCCTGCTATAGCACAGACGTACATGATATTAATTGACAAACGCATGAAGACTAATATTAGGATTAGACATTAAGTAGATACCATCAACCCTACAACTCAATCTCCTCAAACGGTCTTCCCCCTCCCCCGCTCAATACGACAGGCCCAGGAAGCCCAAACGGTAAGCATCAAATGAACCACCCTATGCCATCAGCTTAGTTTCGCCTTGGCAGGAGTCCAACTTACACATTCACAAACACAACCACGTACGCAAAAATCTCCACTCGGAGCACTGCGTCCCCGTCACAACCCCCAGCGTAGCAGTTATACCCGCCCTCCATCACCGGCGCCAGCACTGCCAGCCCGATGCACCCCGCAATCACATTCGCCAGGAACGCAACCAGGTCAAAGGCGACGTATATACCCGGGTGGATGCGTCGGGGGATTAGTCGTATTGTCAGGGCGATGAGGGACCAGAGGAAGGCGTATGCGATCTAGGTCTTGTTAGATTGATGACATGGAGTGCTTAGAGGCGTGTGGACGTACGGTTCCCAAGACGACGGAGTTGATTCCCCTGCTCCATCGTCGGAGATGCCCTTGTGATGTGTCATGGACCAGGCGAGGGAGACGAAGCCGGCAGCGGAGGTGAGGAGGGCTGCGGTGCGGAGAAGGAGGACGGCGGAGTGGTTATCTGAGAGGGCGGTTGGAGTCATGGTCGAAGTTGTTAGACAATCATGGAAATGGGGGACAAGTGACATATATCTATCATGGTGATCAGCACACGTATAATGTCAGCTCGTGTTGGCTGCGCTGCACTGACCAATCTTGGGGCGGAATCATCGAAAGATGCGATGATCACTGGGCTGTACAGCTGCGGGATGCTTGGCGTGCCTTGGCGGTTGGCTGGGCAAGAGTTGGTGGGTTGAACTGTTACGAGTCGTCTACTCAGACAATACTAGATAACATCCTTATATGAGGACTAATCCCTTCGGACGATCACCACTGGCCCATAGTACTCCCTCCGCCCCTTGACAGCATACATGACCAAACTGAGGGCCAACACCCCCCCGAAGATCACCACGCTCCAGTTAAAATTGTCCATTGTGACTGGGGTTTCACTCGGCCACAACGCCCAGAACAGCGCGAATATGCAGTAGAGCAAGCCGACGACATTAACGGTCAAACCCCATCGGCCTAGATCCCACCGCCGCGGGGGCAGGGTATCTGGATGCCAGATCTTGCGGTAGATAATACAGCTAATGGAGATGATGTAGGTGTACATGAGAGCAGCTACGTTGAGCGAGATGATGGCATTGAAGGCGGTTAGCGAGCCGATGTTGATGAGGGAGAGGAGGCAGCTGATTATGCACGATAGGGCGATCGCATTCACAGGTATTTTGCGTTTGGGGTCGACTTTGGCGATCCAGCGGGCGAAGGGCAGTCCTTTATCCCGGGCAAAGGCAAATGTTTGCCGGGATGTGGAAGCATTGAACAGAATGTTGCTGAAGATGACGGGAACGAGGATGATCGCCGTCAGCCCATTGACCCCGGCGACCGACGTGGCGTTCTTGAACACGTAGATGAACGGGAATCCGGTGTCGTCGGAGAGTGCGTCTTCGACTGAAGGAATGGCAAAAAGGAAGGAGATGACCACCACAATGGCCATGACGCCGTTGCTAAAGTATCCCCACGCGATCGCAATTGGGACATAGCGTCCAGCGTCCTTGACTTCTTCAGACATGTGTGCTGTTGCATCGGAGCCTGCCAGAGTTAGAGCAATTCGGAATGAGGCATCAACATACTCAGCGAAGCATAGATGGCAGAAATCTGCCCGATCATGGCGCTTAGCGCCGTACTGGACCAGCCTCCGCCATTCGTCCACTCCGTGAACACAGCCTTGGCAGATTGATGCGGAGCCATGGCCCACAGTACAATCACGACCACAGTCCAGGACAAGATATGCAAGATCATCAGCAGGTTATTGAATAGAGGCATCATGTCCGCGGCGTAGACGTTGAAAAAATAGATCACCACAATCATAGCAAAAACGAACAACGTTCCTTGCCACCGCTCAGGATTATACTCTGGATCACGAACGCTGATGAGACCTTGGATGATTGTCCCGGTCAGAAAAGACCCTGATGCAGAGCCGGCCTGCCATGCTAGAACGGACATCCAGCCTGTGATGTAGCTCAGGAATTTCTGGTATCGCGGGGAAGCAAACTCGGACACCCAGTGGTATTGTCCGCCAGAAGTCGGGGCCCTTTGCAGTCAGCAGATGCCTTGATCACACACCATGCAACGAGATGAACACGTACATGGAAGCCATCTCCGACAACGATGCGATGATAAAGCCGAACCCGACAAACGTCCACACATAGGACCACACCATGCCCGCGAGTCCGCCATTTTGCAGCCCTTGGGTGTTGGATCTGAATCACTCAGTATGATCGGTCGAAAGGAGCAAGCGCACTCACATGAGAATAAACTCCCACGTTGCCTGAAGTACCGACGCGAAACTCAATGCAGCCAAAGGGCGGAGGTTCCTCTGTTGGTGTCAGAACATGGCCATATCACCATCACCGACTATTCACCTTTAGTTCCTGAACCTTTCCCATGCGCTGCATATCATGGTCATCATATACCGTTCCCGTGTGTTTCGCATTTGTGCTGGTCGCGTGGTGTCCTGCTTCCACCTGGAGCGAGGCCATGGCCGGCGCCTTGGATCCCGTCTGCATCGTAGAATTATCATGTATCGATGCCATTGTCGGATTATCGAAGTCTAACGAAGGTCCGTCGATATGCGCAAAGATCGAAAGGAAGGAAAGGAGGGGAAGATGCAGGCTGAAGCAAGGGGGGAGTGACGCTGGCGAGAACAAACAAAACAAGCGAGGTGGGGTTACACAGCAGCATGGGTGCTCGTGTTTGTTGCTCTTCAGCACTCTGACGTGGTGGGATAATAAGCATAACCCCGATACTAACAGTCAGCCTTCTTTTCATCCTCATTTGCATCAGTGGTCAGAAGACTCGCCTTGATCCCTGCTGTCTAGGATGATCATGCAACTAACGCATCAACAAGCGTTATTCACCAACCACTGCGATTTCTCATCATGTCAGATTCTCATTCGAGCCAGCTCTCCTTCCAAATCATAGGGCCAATCCTTGGCTCTTAAAGCCTGTGATACCCATCGCTGACTTCGCCTTCCTCTGGCCATATATCCTGGTTATCTCACCTGCTCTGCTTATATGTGCAATTTATTACCTTCTTAACAATGTCGCCCTTCCTTATGAGTAGCTCTTATCGACGTCGACGACAGTCATGACTACTACGGCTCTCCTGTCGGGTGTTAGTAGCCCTCCAACGGTGAACCGGAAGGATAACCATGGAGGGCTGGTAGTGGTGATCACCGGCTTCTGCTTGGTCTTGCTACTTTCGTCCCTGGCTGCTCGGACGTTTTCCTCGTACAAGAGGCGGATTATCCAGAAGGACGACTACGGGTTTATGGCTGTGCTGGTAGGACGCTGAAGTTTATTTGCAAATACAGCCTAATTTGGTGACAGGTTGTTGCACTGGCGCAGACGTCCTTGGTACTGGCGCAGGTTCACTACGGCTGGGGAGCAACCGAAGAGTCACTTGCCTCCGCAACGAAGGAGAAAATGCTCAAGGTAAGTCAAAGCGACCGTGTGTTTCCTTCATACTGACATCCGCAGATGGGATACGCCTCCGATATTCTGTTTGTTGTCACCCTCGGCCTGTCGAAGATAACGACCGCAGTCTTCTACATGACCCTGTTCAAGCAGAAACTCCGTACCGTCATCCGTGGCCTTCTCGTCGGAGGAGGTGTCTGGGCTATACTGTCGGTTATACTGTTAGCTGTCCGATGCAGCCATCGACCATGGCTCGATATCGACGCACAATGTGGCGGCTTGGTATGGTCAACGCTATCTAAAGCGATCCATGCTGACAGACACAGTTCCAAAGATGGCAGGCAATCACCGCTATCGATATTATCCTCGAGGTCCTCCTCATCCTCTACTCCGCCCGAGCGATATACAGCATCAAGATCTCAACGCGACAAAAACTCGTCGTATTCGGCACCCTCAGCTGTCGAATCATGTAAGGTCCCTTCCCGTTTCCGCGGTCCCGCTGACGAGAGCAGACTCGTCCCCCTGGCGGCTATACATCTCTACTACGTCAAAGTCCAGCTAGATTCAGATAACTCCACCCTCTATGGAGCGTTCGCCAGCATAACCGCGGAACTCTACCTTGCCATGAGCGTCGTCTGCCTCGTCGCCTCATTCATGAAGCCCGTGCTGGCCGTCTATGTCGACGAGTACGGCATCGCCTACACGGACGACATATCGCCGCCGAACTCGAAGTTCCGAAGTCATACCTCATCTGATAGCAGGTCGCGTAGGTTGCGGCGGTCGGAGATAGAATCCGACCGCGGCTGGGAGCGCACGCCAGGTCGGACTGTCCCGGCTGCTTCAGGGGGACGCATCATAAAGACGGTGCAGATTAGTGTGAGCGATGGGCCGATGGAGCTTGAGAGGCGCGGTCCGGAGGTGATGACTGGTGTATAATGTACTGTAGAATGCTTCTGTTGATATCTCTTTGGACATCATGATAGACGGAATATAGTGACAATTTCTCAATTAGAAAGAGATTGCCTGTTCTGAACAGAAGCAAGATACAATCTCACTAAGGTCATCCTGTAGACGACAGGCTTGGTACCTGCTTGAGCCGTCATGTATGTAAATCAAACCATGTGTGGCTGCACCAAGTTCAGTCTGCGTCAGTCGAGAATGGACTTGATCACAGAATTGGTCCCAAACGTCAAATTCGGAGGCTTTACGAGGTTCTAATAAACAAGACGCGATGGAAAAATTGAATTGGATTGCCTACATAATTATAGACTGCTCATTGTTTAGGTTTACGTACTAATTGTGTGGAAGGTTTCAACAAGCGGATATATATAACTTTCGGGAGTCCCGACAGTATCAGGCAGAGATTAAGGGATTGCAATGGCTGGCTAACCTCATTAATTTGAGACTAATGCATACATCAAAGCTAAACTGAGCTATATCAACACAGCTTCATAACGATGATAGTCGTGACTCGTGTGCATTCATTGCAATAATGCAAGTCACCTGACTGAATCTGGCAGTAGTCTAGACTCTAGAGTCTAGAGTCTAGACTAATTTTCTCTCCCACACCGAGGGGTAAAGAAATCTTGAAAGTACCTGATGAGGCTGAACGATTATCTTCTGATTAGCTGCAACAAATCCACAACGTCACAGCTGAAGGGACGGGAGAGTGAGACTCGGGTAGGATCTGCACCTAGGCAGCCACAAACCCACTATTGGCCAGAATTGCAGCCTATGACGTGAATCCTTAGGCAGCACTGCCCCAAAAAATACATAAATATGTGTACCTAGAATCATTTCATATCACCAGCAACATCATCCGTCATGAACGGGACAGTCGAAAAGGTCTTGTATCTCTCCTCCCTTGCCGTGGGATCCTGGGTAGCCAAGAGACTCCTGGACGAATATGGCGAACTCCCGCTGCATCTCCTCTGCTCCAGCATCGAGGTCCACTCCTACGATGAGGCCTACAATTATCTCCTCTACTGGCTTATGAAGCAAAAGTTCGACGCGGACAAAAACCGCCTGCTGGCGATAACGTCCCTGACGAGCGGTCAGGGGGGTTTCTTCGGTGAAGACAACAACAAGGACAACGATGCGGCTGAGGAGGACGAACTGGAGGTCCAAGCTGACGCAGAATACAAGGCCTCCCTGGCAAATACCCGTCCATTGCTCTGGGCTCCTTCAGCGGGAACACACTGGTTGCGGTACCGGGGTCGGTATCTCGCGCTCACGCGGGAGGTGGAGGAAAACCGGCAAACGGTGTACACGCGGACGGAGAAGCTGCGGATCTCCTGTCTTGGACGGGACCCAGCGATTCTAAAGGAGCTGATGCAGGATGCTCGGGTGGCGTTCTCGCAAAAGGAGAAGGGAAGGACGGTCATCTACCGCGGCATGAAGTCGATATATGATGGCGAGCTGGCCTGGAAACGGTCGACTTCTCGCCCCGCACGACCACTGTCGACCGTCATTCTGGATGAAGCGGCCAAGAAGGCCTTCCTGGAAGACATCCAGCACTATCTGCACCCCAGTACGATGCGCTGGTACAGCGACCGTGGCATTCCCTATCGGCGGGGATACCTGTTCTATGGACCTCCTGGGACGGGGAAATCCAGTCTCGCGTTCGCCGCGGCAGGGTTCCTGGGCTTGAATGTATACATGGTCAACCTGAACTCACAGCAGCTTACGGAGGATGCCCTGACGCAGATGTTTCTGACGCTTCCGAGACGATGTCTGGTGCTGTTAGAGGATATTGATGCCAATGAAGTGACTGGTCGCCGCAAGCCGAGTGCACGGCGCCGAAAAGGGAAAAACGGGATCTCTCTCTCCTCCTTGTTGAACATCATCGATGGAGTCGCCGCTCAGGAGGGCCGGGTGCTGATCATGACGACGAATCACCATGAACACCTCGATCCGGCGCTCATTCGCCCTGGCCGGGTAGACTATAAGCTTGAGTTTCAGCTCGCCAGTCAACACCTCTGTGCCGCAATGTTTCGGAATATTTTCCAGGTCTACACCTCGGCTGAAGTGGATAGTGCACAGGTTGCCTCCTACGCTCAAGGTGACATATCGACGAAAGAAGGACCTGCAGTGGTTGATCTCCAAGGTCTCGCCAAAGCATTTTCTGAGAAGATTCCGCCTTGCACGTTTTCGCCTGCTGAGGTCCAAGGATATTTGCTACGGTATCGGGAATCCCCACAGGATGCTGTAGCTGGCGTCGAAACATGGGTTGAGACATCGCTGGCTGAGAAAGCAGCTAATGACCATGTGCTTGATGATAAAGAAGCTGAAGGTGACAAGAGTGAATCTGAGGACGAGTCCGAGGATGAGGATAATGAGGATCCAGATAAGCAGCCATCTCCTTGATGTGTTCGAGAATCATCCTTAGAGTGTGTGGGAGCCACTATTCTGTGCAGTTCAGAAGTCAAGAGGGACAATCACACAGTAAATCTATTTAGTAGATTATAGTCTATCATAATATGTGCACAACAAAATCATCAGACAGTGATCTCTAAGAAACAAAGGCACCTTGTCGTCTAAGGTAGGTGATTTAATCGCGTACTTGATCCCCTCTGCATGTCACGCTACACATCATCCTCACAGTTCGTTGGAGCAAGCACAACATCATCAATAAACACCCTCCCCAGATAAGAAGATCCCTCAAAGGTACAGCTAGCCACGATATTCAGATACTCCTGCGCCAGCCTCGGCCGGTAATGGCCGGAGATGGACGTCCACTCGCCAGAGTTAAGCAGTGTATCAGTAGCCACGAAACCCGTAGTCGAGTTCTTGCCCATGTACACATAGAAAGAGCAGTAATTCGCGCTGGGGGCCGCCGCTTGCACCTGCATGCTGAAGGTGTAATCGACGCCGGGGTCGAGGTTTCTCAAGGGTTGAGAGATGGTGTTGCCTCGGTTTCCAATGGCGGTTTGCAAGTCACTACTCGCGTCAGCTATGCTCTGGCAATTCGTGGAAGGACATACAGGTAGTAATCCCCGTCATATGCTTCAGTTGCATTGCTTATCTTGGCCACGTTGAGGGCAGACGGGAACCAGGGGAATAGATTGCCTGACTCGAAAGATGGGTTGGCGACGATGTTGCAGGGTGTTGAGAGGGCCATTGTGATTGCTGATGATGAGTAGTAATTTTATGATTCGTAGGCAGGACTGCTCTTATTTATGCCGTGAGCTGATATTGATCAGAATCCTGATTTAAGACTCGCTAAGACATCTCATGCAGGTGTCAAGCACCATCTCCACGCGGGAGAAACTGAGCCAATTACTGGATTCGGCTGTTGTTATGGTTACATCGCGTCAGCCTTAGTCTATCTGTTCATCTGTATTTAGTATACGACTCCATCCAATCTGCTTTACTGCCATTTACTGAAGCATACAAGCTTTTCTCCTCTTTCCCACCCAAGCTACACTATTTTTATGCCCGGCAGGCAATCCAATAGCCAAATAGGGTCTTCTTAGGTACGGCAGGTCCGACATTGTAGTCCTCCAAGATGACATGGCCGTGAAGATGCCCTATAATACTGGGACAGTACCGATGATGAAGTGGCTATAAACACTATGGTCATTGAGCGAGAACAGCAGGGTTATCAGGGTCTGGAACAATGTGATGGGTTCCTCCCATGTATCGGCTTCTCACAAACGACCACCCAACTCGCCTTGATGAAGAATGGGAATCTACTTTCATATTTATCACAAAATCAGCCATGGGAGTCTTTGCAACGTTCATGATTCCTGTCCTCCGCCATATTCATGACTGCTCGCTCAGTCATTGTCGCAGATATTGCTTATCAGAATCTTCTCCTTGATTCCACACTGACCATCATATCCTGCGACTTTACTAAATCAACAATAATGCCTCAAGATACCGACATGGAGACTGCTGATGACAACGGATATTCAATTCGGACGGACATCGAATAATTAGGGGCGGTGATCTATGAAGTCGTGACCTGGAAGCACTGGAAATTCGATCTTCACCAGAACCATGGTTCTCGACCTACTGATCGCGCAGAGAGACTCTCCCAAGTACAGAGGACATTTGACTTGGGCCAATCATTGAGAAATGCTAGATCCGGACTGGCTTTGAGCATGCTGCTCACCTAGCTGAAGCGTTGGACGCCGTGTCTTGGAAGACAGGGTCTGCTCCAACGGCATTTATAATTGGAACGGTCGGGATAGTTGTCTTGCCGGTGCTTTGGGCCTGGAGAGTGAACCTGTATGCAGTGTTATCGAGCCATTTCTTTCCGGCACAAACGCATGTCTATATCCATGTCAGCCTCTGCCATATGCAATGTTGATGCTTGGTTGTGCTTAATGCGGATGAACAACCAAAAACAACGTCTACTGCAAAGAAAAGAGATCCCGACAGCTGAAAGGGCTATATTTTTCTAATTGCTGAAGAATGGTCCAGGAAGTAGAACTGGCCCTTAATTATGCCGTGTGCTCGTGTTGATGAGAATTCTGAGACATTGACAGCAGGCATCAAGGCAGCCGTCTCTTCGCGATTTCAGGATTGGGCGGTTGTTATGGTTACATCGGGTCCCTTAATTAATTCGCTTAATTTAGAGCCACTAACTACATGACACATTTTGTTAGTTTGTGAGAAATTGAAAGGGACTCTTGAAGGCTTGAAGGCTTCAAGATTATTAATAGTGGACTCAGATCAGGTAACCTTGCTTTAAAAGTTGGACGCCTGAAAAAATCGTCTGAAACCTCTCCATTCACCAAATCAAGCAACATCAATATGGCTCTCGGTCTCAGTCATGCCCGCACTAGCCTTTACAAAGGCCTTGCCATTGTCCTCCTTGTCTCATGGACTCTCACTGCGCTCAGTTTCACCGCCCTTGTCGCCCTCAACACCAACAGCACTTACCTCGAGATCATCGCTTGCACCACCATGTTCACTTTCCTCATGTGCCGTCTCCTCGTCCTCTGGGACCCATCTTCTAGATCTGGAAATGCCACCATCGCTCAGTTGATTGCGTCCGCGGACTCCGGATCCCGACGCGGTGCTCTCGGCCTATTCTCGCTGAGCTGCACGTGGCTATATGAGTTACTCAACCAGGCGTTGCTGTTGTTCTTCATGACGGTTTTCGGGGGCGTTATTGCCACAGCAATATACAATGATGCGTTTACAGACGGTGTGCATGAGACTGAACACGAGAACGGCAGCACAACCGCTGTCTCTGTCCAGGTCAACCAGCTCAAGGAAATGGCCGGGTTTGATCTGACGGAACTGTTCAAGATGATCCCGCCTCAGGTGTTAGTTTATTTTGTTGGATTGATGTGGTTGAACTTTTTGAGCTTGGGGGTTTATGTTCTGGGTCATGCGGTGGTGTCGTTGAAGAAAGTGTTGACTTCGCCTATGTATACCGCGAGCAAGGAGTCGACGGTTGATAAGGCAGTGTCTCTGGATTCAAGCAAATAGATTGATAATTTAGCTGATTAGATGAGCAACCTATGCCGGCGTGTAGATCTCCGCCTCGATGATCCCCAGATCGCCGTCCCTTGAAGCAACCGGCACACTCTGGCCAACAGTAGCTTGAGATTCAACGTCACATAACCCGGAGAAGTCGGGGATCTCCCTTCAAAGGCTATTTGATCTAGGTCCCCTAGGCTAGTCAGGCTAGTGAAACATCGACAGCACATTACCTTCAATATCAAATAGAGCCCTCAAACTGGTGCTTTGAAGCGCTGGGTGATAATTGACCCTCGGTTTTTCAAAGGATGTCGTTATTGTGATGATACAACTTTGTAAGACTGCAGCACATTTCAAGCTAATTCACATGTTGATTTAGAGCATGAAAGGCCTAGAAATAATTAGTTCAGAGAACATCCAATTCTTGGGATGAGCTTTGACTTCTGGGTTATTGTGTGTGGTGTAGCTGATAGGGCTTTTCATACAAAATCATCATATGAAAGAAATAGTCATGGCAGATAGTTACATGTCATTTGACGAACAAGTAATCTAGATGTAGTTTGTGTCTTTCCATATTCGGACTCATCAGATGAATGAGTGGAACCGCAAGCTGCGGTTATGATATCACAAATCCACAATAAGGACCCAGACCCAATTCTCCGCCACTCATCCCGCCCACTTTCATTGTGGGAATGCGTTTGGTTATATGATATTATCAAATACTGGAAAACCATGCCAGTAGTTTCTGGTCTTATATATGCCAAAAGATAACCCGAGACTGGAGATCCCAAAAGGCCCGAAAAAGTGAAAGCTTTCTTTGACCGGAAGAAGGCTGAACCTTACTGCCCTGCTTTTCTCGATGGAAGGTATACACGACATTAGGAAAGACCGATGGCTTTGATAAGATGGGGCATGGAGATAGCGGTTGGAGACTGCAACGTTGGATAGTGAAACGGATTCTAAGAGTAATTTGAGAGAAGGGCAATGTATCATGTCAATAACTTTCTACCGAGATTGATGATCCTTCATCGCTCGGTATCTGGAAGTCGGCTCGCAGGAGACGCTTGAAATATTGCTTCCTTGCATCTGGTACCATGCACTGGGATACATGTGTGCATAATGTATCGCAGCAAGTACCTGTATGGCCAACAAATCATCACCAATCAATCGACTGCTAGATGGAGCTAGTAATCGTTCTTATTTACGTTCCCCAGAGAGTCGAGTAGTTGGCCTATCTTGGTATCACCAGCACAAGTGGCAAAAAGATTTCGGTTTCAATTTGTCACCCTAAAGAACCTGATGAGTTCTGATGCATGGAGAAACGTTTCATGCTTCGCAATGGTCAATGCCTATGAATAAGAGGGTTCCATATTTGTAATTGAAGGAGTTGTAATTTGTGCATAGTAATTTGCAAGTTCGCTCACAGGCTTCAGACTGTGAAGGACATTGAGGAGTTGTCGTATTTGGGGCTCAAAGGACTCCGTCGGAGATCTTTTCTGAGCAAAGAACTCGGCAGCCAAATGGATTGGATAGGGTGTAAGAGGGTGAGTCTGTTCTGTTTAACTGATGCTATCCTAGAGACTAGAACAGAGAGCGTTACCTTGAAAATACTGAGCTCATCCAAAACTCGAGTTAAATTAACAATTTCCATAGCAGCCGCCAATGCTTCTTGTTCAAAATCAGGCATGATCACTGGTTCGATGCCTCCCGATGGTAAGGATTTTGAGATATTGTAAAGGTAAATAAGTGTCGTATGTGCCACCATGTGGGCAAAGACACGCATAGGATCTGATGTATTTTGAGAAGTTATGGGGACCCGCGTTAATGCCGCGATATTCCGAGTTAAGAGAGAACGGAGCCATTGATGTCGATCCCAAAAGCCGGTAGAGCCGTTGCCATAGACAAGCTCTACCCCTGCTTGTTGTTCATGCGATATACAGCGGCCGCAGATCGTAACAAAGATAATCAGTGCGGTAAATGGAGGCAAGTCCCGGTTAGATTGATCAGCAATCTCCTGGGAAAGGAAACCGCCAACACTACTTGTGCAGTCCTGGAACTGTTCCTCGGGCGCGGGAAGTCGGGTACAGATCTAGCATATCAAATCCGTCAATCCTCGATCTTGCGTAGGAATCTGCTCCTTTCGTTACATACCACAAGCTCATTAAATGCCAACGGCCAGTTGTTTCGCATGCTGACTAGGCGATCCAGACAAAACGCCATCCAAAATGTCCTCCGCCGTTCTTCAGTACCGGTGTCGTTACACCTGGTCCCAGCACTGTTCGTCAGTCGCTCTTCACCGTCAATCTTGTGGAGGCCTAGAAGTTGGACCAGCCGGCATGTACGTCCAAGGCTCATCCAACCCCGCCGGTAATGCATACGGAGAAACTCGTAGATCGCAATTAATGTCCATGCTTGAGCTTCCTTCACATCGACCGAGTCCACTCTAGAGCCTTCAAGCTCCAAGCGATGGAGTTCTTCCCTTGCGCGCTGATAGAGCACTTCATGCATATGTTGGTATTGCGGCGATATCGATGCAGCAAGTGTCCACATAGCAAGCTGTAGGCAGACCCCAGAATGTTCGCGTTTCAACTGGATGGACTGAGACAGGAACTTTCGTTTATGAATAAAGGGCGTCGAGGGGTGAACTCGCTCGAAATATAGCTGAGTGCTACTTCTGACTTAGCAGGTCCGTTGAATCCGCTGTACCAATCTTGCAGTGTGTGGCTCACAGATCTGCTTGTACTAGGTCCGACAACAAGGCTGTGCATTGACTTTGGTTTTCTACCGGAAGTCTTTCGCGCACCAGAGTTGCGCGATGGTTGGGCGAGCGGGTGTCCGTGGAAGAATTTTCGCGCGCTGGAGGAATACTTGCATCCGCATTGTTGTTCCGATTGGTTTGGTCGTCGTAGAACGCAGATCTGGTTGTGTGCTCCTGAAGGCGACGTTCTAGTTCCGCTGAAGCTCGGTACGTATTTATCAGTAAGCTATCATCTTCGCTCATCTGTTCATAGAATCGAACCTACCAGCCCGGATTCGAAGAGATCTGAGAAGACCTTTCTTAGGACCCCTCGCCGATCGCTGCGGATTAACGTTGCAGCTGATGCCTGCCTCCACGCATACTCCGCATCGCGGCTGCTGGCCATCGCAGCGGAGCTTCCGTCGTCGACATTCTTCGCACGCTAGCTTGCGTCGCTCCTCGCGAATGTGCCGTTCTGTAGAGGAGACCGAAAGAGACATGATGCAATTAAAGCAGAGTCATTTTCTCCTTGGAAATGTTACACGTGAATCAGTCGAGGCTGCAAGTAGTCGTTACGTAGTACATGTACGGCGAACTATTTGTACATTGTGGAACTCTGGAACTTTACTGTTCCCCGCATGTATTACCTAATACCACTACCTCCACAAATACTAATAGCAGAATTGTTATATAGTAGGGATATTGAATAGTATACTATTATTATATTATTATCAGATCCTTATATACTAAGGTGGTGCCCTGTAAAGGTAGAATTTATATATACATAGAAAGATGTAGGGGGGTATCCCACTATCCCTTAGATATCGCATATTCAAAAAATATATAAGGATATTGGTACCACTCTATTCAATATCCTGGCTATTCAATATCAGTGCAGTGTGCGCGACCGTAGGGAGGGCCGAAGTGGTGAGATGTATCATTGTAAAAAAAGCCAAAAGTCCACAATGTACAAATAGTCCGCCGTAACATGACATCAGCCCAAACAAAGATACGGAATTAAAATTGCCGTCAGGATATTCCAAGAAAACCGGCGGACTGGAAACATGCCATACCCACATGTAGCTCAGCTGCTTGACCATCGGTTCGGAAAACAAGGCCGAACAGGGATTAACGAGATTCCCACTGTCCCTCTCTACTATCTAGCGAAACCACAGCCAAGGGAACAGGCTTGGCAGAATTAGCGGGGAAAGAAGACCCTGCTGAGCTTAACTCTAGTTTGACATCGTGAAAAGACATATAGGGTGTAGAATAGGTGGGAGCTTCAGTGCCAGTGAAATACCACTACCTTTGTTATGGAGGTTCCAAGCCTAGAGTTTAAGTACCGAATTCTGCTGTCAAACCACGCCCACACTTTCCTGGTCCGAGAGAAGGGAATATTTGTCTGTGCGCTGTAAGTCCTGAGGAATTCCTGGCGATATTGCTCAAAGATAGTTCTCCCAATGCGTTCTTTGAAGTTATCCAATGTCTCTGCGGCATCTTTCGGGCGTTGCATGATCGGATCGTCGCCACTGAACTGCTCAAAACTTAGGGCCTTGTATTTTCCGTAAACACGGTTGGTCTCCGAAGCAATGACGGCCAATTCGACTTGATTGAAACCGAGTGGCACTGCAACGATAACAGCATCGTCCAGGCCTTTCATCAAGGTATCGATCAAAGGGTGTTGATTGCTATTGTAGTGAATTCGAATAGTCTAACCGATCAGCTTCGATAAGCGAAATAAGTTGGGTCAAGGGTGACCGTACGGATAGTGGGGGACCGCCGGCCAATTTTGATCGCTCACTTGACTGTCGCATCACGTCCGAGAAAGCACTGCCTTTTCAGGTATAGTGTGGTGTCGATGTAAAGGAAGACGGAATGCCCTCTTCAACTGTCGCCATGTAGTCTCTAAAGCGAGAGGTGTTCGTTGTCGCTCAATGGCAACTCGTAGATTTGAACCCCCTCGTGATTTGGATCCAAGATATACCTAGTCTTTTAGGTGGACAAAGAAGCAGCCCCCACAAGCCATTTCAACAAAAAAGACCTCGGGTTGACACTAAGTTCAGTTGACCTTCGCAGTTAGTCTAGAAGCGGTTTAGAACCAAGAGCCACAAACTTAGCGCCCTGTTCCGGCCCACGACCATGAGTCATGTATCTGAGCCTGGTAACTTTGTTAATCACCTCGGACGATAGAGTGTTGGTCAACAAGACTAGAAACTGACGATAGTATTCCACCTTGTATTGTTCGAATTTTACATGCAGCAAATACGGTAAACAAAGCCTTCCTTGAGAAATCCAAAGCGAAGCCCAATAACGACTCAGTGCGGAGATCAAGACGGCGCATTTCGCGAGGGACAATGTTTTGTTAGTTGGGAGAGGCGGATGGAGAAAGTGAAATAATCCTGGGCCCCAAAGTAGCTCCAATGGTGGCCCCGAATGATAACGCCATGCCAATGTTCTGTAATACCAACAGCCCCAGCCCAGAATTGACCAGCAACGTAGCTTGCTTCCTTGGTCTTGAATTTTATTCTAAGACACCGAGTCGGTAGCGCGGCACCGGCAACCTTTCCGGTGTTCCCGGCGCATATAATCACCAACGGCGCGTAGTGACCTCTAAACATTGGGAGGATTTGATGCGACCGCCCACGGCCTCGTTTTTGCGTTCTTACTCAGCTCCGTTGTATCTCCGTATTGCTCGATGGCTATGTGCAGATGCTTAGAAGCCAACCTTCCAAGTTCGCCTTGTGATCCAATAATATATCACTGTACGCGTTAGCAATGGAGATCAGTGCGGTCGTGATCGCAGCTCTCAGGTGATCCTCAACCTGTGTCTAGCTTACTTTTAAAAAATTTCTCTGCTTTGGCCTTTTCTCCGGCATCCTGAAACCAGTCAGGATGGAGATCGTCGAGGCTTCGCCTGAGGACCATAGATGGGCTCTCATGATTAGACATTTGCAGTGTCCGCTATGTTTCTAACGGGTCGGCTGTAGTACTAGGTTTGAAATGGTCAGTATGGACCACTGAAATTCGCGGCAGACAGAATGAGATAAAATAAGATTTCCAGGCCATGGTTACTAGGCCACGGTTTACTAGGCCATGGTTTTCCAGACCAGGGCTTTTCCAAAGTGAAAGTGCATTCTTCAGTATCCATGGTGTGTGCAGAAGTCAAATCTCCGGTCCCAGGTCTTGGCCACGAGCATTGGTGCCTGCGACGCTGGAGAAATATCAAACTGCCGGTTCCATCTCGATTTTGGCTCCTCGGCAGCGACGCTTCGCCACTGCTTAAGTGCCTCCAATTGCACCGCGTATGAAAACCAGTAATTGATCACTTGACGCAACATTAACAACATTTTCTCCCCATTCTTCTTCTCTACACATACACAAATTCTATTCTAAAATAGACAAATCGAACAACGGATTCTAAATGCCCCTTCAAAGCAACATAATCACTAATCAAGGATCTCAGACACGCTGATGAAAGAGAAAGACGCGAAGTCTCCACGTCATTTGACCTCATAACAAAGCTTCACCGCCAATTTCGCTTCCGATAAATCCAAAAAAAAGCTGAGACGGCACTGGCAAAGCCCAGTGCCATCCTTATAGACGGGCTTTGAAACAGATTTGAACACAAGTGACGCCTTGACGAAGGATCATCCAATCCCTTATCCCGTATAAAGCAAAGACTGAAGTCGTCTTGGAGCATGCCCGCGCTTGCGTACTGGGATGTCCAGCATTTATTGATCACATCCCGGTACCTGAGACCCTCGAGATTTGGGAACACATTGGCGCTGTAAAGCCTTTCAATTTCTTCGAGATCGTCAATTTCGTTGTACGGCCGAACCCCCGTGGAAATTTCGTAAATCAAGCATCCCAAGGCGAATAGGTCCGTTTTGAAAGTCCGTGGTGACCATGGCGATATTCGGTATCGGTCTTCCTCCTCCACTAATGGCTTAAGGTCGCCAATGACTGATCCAGCAAAGTCGCAAAGCTTGATCGATAGGTCTTCAGCCACAAGGAAGTTCCGCGGACTGATGTCAGCATGGATCACACCGTATGAATGGATCAAAGCGACGGCGTCAATAGCATTTTGGATCCATTGGTCTCGGGTGTGGCTGCGTATTTCATTGTGTTGCATATATTCGCGAAGATTTCCCAAGCGATGATATGGAAAGTGGAGACCCCTATCTGTGATAGCGAGGCAATCGAGGACGTTGGGATTCTTGGGCAGGGTTTGGTAGATCAGTTTTTCGCGGCTAATGCACAACTCGGAGATGGACTCGATGTGTTGGACTGTCTCAATCACTTGTTGGCTGCATCCCGTAACATCGTGCTTCAGGGGTGTCTTGATAACTCGATCGCTGCTGTCCTGGAAGACAGCCCCAGCTGAACCGAGTGCAATATAACGAATAGTGCCTTCAGGCTGTATCAGAGATGGGTCGTCATCCATATCTGTCAACGAAGACATGGATGGAGTGGAAGATTCAAGTAATAGAAGTAACGGCAAGGGCTGGGCTTTATTTGAACCCAGGGGCCGGAGCTCCACATTGCAAGAAAGTCACGTGGATTTTGGTTCCACATGCGGCTGTTGGTGAAGCTCCTTGTTAGGAATTGCAAGTCATGGGTGGAGCTATTTTATGGATCACACCGTCTTTTGTCACTTTAGTGGACGCACCTCGAAGCTTATGCAGTGGATTATGGTCTTTCTTCGATTGCTTCAAGAACTTGATGATCCGATCATTTACAAATAGATCTAGGATTCCGAAAGTCTCAGACAGACTTCCAGTTGCCTATAATTGTAAAGGTAGGCATACGCCTCATTGTTAAAACCATTTCAAATCAGATCTGACATGGGCAGAGACTGCATTCCGCTTTAAAGAGAGAAACTAGTTGGTAACTGCCCCTTCCCATTTGACTTATGCAAGTGGCCACTTGACCTGATTGTAGTGTACTCTGCCCAGCAGGAACGAATTCCGAGACATAATTTGCTCACTGTATGGCCGAGATTTAGTCAACAAATTCAAGCACTTCTTAAAAATACTTACTTTGCAACCCGGGCAATTGAACAACCGATTGGTAGTTTGGCCGGCTGGTTCCTCCTTCGTGATAACACCACACTTCTCAGGACAATCTACTTTGATGCTCGCCTGCGTCGTATGACCACATTTCCACTTGACGGGACCTGTGAGTCTGGTACACATCTTGGACTATTAATCTCTTAATGAACGACTCGCATGCTCAGGGGCTAATCACTAACATTTGATAAATTGGATCGGTGGAGAAATTGAGATCTCTCTTAGTAATCTGGAGAGGGAAGGAAAGGAACTTGAGACTTGACTTCCTTTGACGCTGGGTATTTATATCACGTTCATACCACTATTTGTAGATCCAAAATAAGGGTGTATTGGAGCCAACATGATGCACGGGCCGCCTGCAACAAAAGAGAACACTACGCATTGTATCTCATCAAGTGGACAGAAGCGATTACTGAAGGTTGGATGAAGCGCCCGCCCGTACATCAGTGACGTGTCTTGGGGCGTCAATTCCACAGAAATCACGGATGTGGGTGGGATTTTTGAGGCCTGGCACACATATCACATCCTTGCTGCACTAGCGCTGACGTCTGTGCACATCCACCTAAAAATGGTAAGCGTAAAAAGCTGTCACATGAGTGCAGCTTTTACCAGGAACGTTGGCGACGAGTTTGTATATTTTCCAAGTAGTTTGTCCATTGCTCTAGCCTGGCATGTCAATTCGATAGAACAATAGGATGGTCAATTTTGTGATTACTCTGGCTCGAGCGTTGGCTTAATCACCTCGGTACTCCATCTGTGACGGAACCTGCAGCTATGGCGCATGTGGAACTTTTTGCCTCTCAGGTGGTGTGGTTTGATGCATAAATAGATACTCTTGGCAATAGCCCTGGGGCTATTGCCAAGACTTGGTAGGCATTTATGTTGGCTCTCTTCCCCTGGAGTTCCACCTTTCGTTTGCTACGAACCTGCTGGCCTTGACCACGATGAGTCTCGTTGACGATATCCTGTGTGCGATTTCAGTGCTATCATCAAATTTACCAAATGTGAACACTCAAGATCTGCTTCCACGCCATCGACCAGAATTGCAGTCTGCGTTTTACAGTTTAGAGCGAATACTGAGCTCACCACCTCCATCTCCGACAAACCGCTCGGAGTCTACGAGCTCAGTAGCTTCTCCGCTTCAGCCTCTTGACACATCAGCTCTGTCTGGTAATGAAATCGGGGGACAAGCTGATAACGTTGAAGCTCTAAATGTCCAGAACTCAACCTCAGCCGATCGAATAATGCCGCCGTCAAATCAAGATGAGTCCGAGCGACCTTTGGCGCAACCGCTTTCGGGCAAGACGGATCTAGTGTCCTCTTTCATGGAACGTCTCCAGCGCTCTTCAAGAAAAATACGTACCTTCGTGGCAAAGGACGCGGAAGACGCAATTTCCAGACGTACCAACTGGACAGAGCTCGATCCGCGTCTCGTTGACATCGATTTGGCAGAACGCCATACCTCAGAGACCGGAAAGTTTAGGGGATGGCTTGGCAGGTATTCACTTACCGAAGATTATTTGGCCTGGGCAGAAAACAAATACAAACATCCTCGCGAAGCATTTCTGGTTTTGGACGAAAAGACCGCGGATCAGAGAGGTCAGGGCCACATTGCTGAATATGTGTCCTTTGTTGGCCTACCAAAAGGAAAAGCGCACAAAGCTATTCGCCATGGATTGAAATACATCTCGTTTGAGCACATATATGGGAACCCCGGAGTCTCCGTGTTCCTGTGTCACATGTTTACCGCGTTCAGGGACCTGCCATACTCGCAATTCAAGTCATTGGCGACGATTATTCATAAATCGGCCAAATGGTCCAAATTAGCGGCGGAAAAATCTGACTGGCTATCCCGATGTCGATTGATCTACAATGAGGACAACAGTACGTCAAACACTCGAAAGCAATGCTAAAGCTAACGTTAACAGAGCAGTATCGGTCTCGGTCGCTTAGCCGGAAGCGTCCGCTCGAGCTCGAGTGGACAAATGAGCAATCTCAGCATAAGAGAGTGGAAACAGCCAACAGCGCTGCAATAGGTGGTGATCTATGCTCAAACAATGCTTCATCAAACCTGCGGCCACCTCCAGACTTTGACCCGCCCCAACCAGCAGGTGATCTGGATGCTGAACACCGACTTTCAACTGATGGCCTGTTGCGGCCAAATTTCGATGTTTGGGAAGATCTGAATATATTCCAAAACCTTGATCTTTGGCAAGAAGATTTCGGCCCTGTTCAAGATCACATGTTCCTATTCTCCCAAACAGCAGAGGGCACAGAAAGTGCGGGATATATATCCTCTGAACAAAGAAACGCAAGGCTGGAGACATTCAACGCATCACTAGAAGATGACTGCGGACAGAATGCGTCGCGGGTGAATTTGCCTCTATTCAACACCCTTGCAGCACAAACAGTTTGCTAAAGTACATTTGTCATTTGTTATTTCCCCAATGTTCTTGAGCATTGCTATTTGCTCTCATTTGTCACCTCGAACCCGACAAAAACAACGTCAATGTTCTCACCAGCGAGGGTCGGCCGGCCTTCAATATAGCAATATGTATCAGGTGGTAATTGGCCGCCTGTCGAGAGGGTTGAAGGTCCATTCATCGGGATCATCAAGATTCGTTTCGCCGGATAGAGGTAGTTCAAGATATTTGCACCACGCAGGAAGTGTCGCACTGTACAGCCGACGACCTGAGACTGATTAACAACTTGCTTTTAAAGAGAAGGGCGAAGCAGCGCATTCACATGGAACCCTTGGCTTTTCAGTTCTTGTTGCATCCCTTGTCGAAGAGACTCCACGGCCTTATTGAACTCATTGCCCCCGTACTGCCATCCGTCTGTGTTCTCCTTCAAACGATCCGTCTCCCCTTTCTCAATCAAACCCCTCATGGTGTCAAGGATTTGCTTTGAATTTTCCGAGATCGTTTCGAGTCGCATTTCAGACAAAGTTATCGTATGTAGGCGGTGCTTGGATACATATTATGATGGAGAGATAGGTGGAATGAAGATGGAGGGGTTTCGATCTGCAAAGGTACCTCATATCACCACCAGATGAGGGGCATTTCCAGCACGTGATATCATACCACGTGATAACCTACTAAAATGGTAAACGAGGCAAAGAAAAATGCCAAGTTATCAGAGATAGTTTCAAAAGGGCATCACGGCTAAGAGCTCCCACGAGTGTTTGAGCTGAAGCAGCAACGATCCCGTCGTCGATGACGGTATTGTCCTGGTCCCTGCACTGTCGCAGAGCCTTGCAGGCTTTCAGAACAAGTTCGGCATCATCACTAAGCTGTTTTGGAAGTCCCCAAGAAGGCAGACGATCAACTCTCGAAGCCAATAATATCCTTAGGGCGAATTCGGCCGGAACTTTCAAAATTGCAGTCGATAAAGAAGCCTTTCTATAGTGAGAATCAATAAGAATTATCAGAGGTATGCTAACTAACCATTTTTCGAACTTGAATTTTGCTGGAACGAGGGAATGTTTTGAGATTGTTGTCGCTTACTCTAGGCTGATATCGAAGCCTTTTATAAGACTTCTTTTCTTATATTGACTCTCTGTCTATGTTTCTTCAATTAATGCTCGAGACCTATATCCATCCAAGCAACATCGGCTTGTTGACTGCCTAATGTCCTGTCTCTCCAATATGCAATTTCCTTCTTGGCTTACATGGTTGTTTCAGCCTCTGGCTCCATCCACAGACGATGACGACTTTTGGGATAACCAACCGGTGCCACGGAAACAGCAAGTTGTCGATACTCCGTGTGAGCCGACACACATAAAGCCTCCATCCCCTACTCATCACCAGGCCGGTGCTAAGGAAAATACTCACCAGCTATTCCAAGCCACCCAAGGTAACTATATTCATACATTTACGCAGAAAATGCCTATTATTCCTTGCCAACTAACCGGAACTCTCAAGCATATCCTTCTCAGCATTCTTGCAACAGCAGCATTATTGAACTCCCCTCACCCGACATCCAACTTCCTAAGAGAGCAGCGATACATCAGTCAACAAGACCACCAGCCTCAAACAACTTCTCAAGGCCCCTCCCCTATCCCTATGATGACATATTTACTATATGGTCGAGGCGAGCCATTCCGGTCGGTAGTTATATCTATAATTAACTTCGCCTCAAGATCTAATAATCCGTGTTTTAGTCAACCCAGCTGGATGTCCATGTACTCGGTGAAATACAAAATTTCACAGAGTATATCATGGTTACTACAATTGACAAGCCTGTTATGAGTTTTCGGGTTGAGTTCCTCGACGGAACTACTGGGTTCGTCTATTGTGGACAATGGGTTCACGGGAGCCCGGAAAGCTTTCCGGAACTATTTCGCCTTCACATAAAAGTTTCTCTAGCCAAGGAGCTTGTGGATTGGGTGTACTTAGAGGAGAGATACGGGATAAGGAAGAAAGAGATGCTATGTGTAGCGTGGGCACGTAGTTCCATACACACGGAGAGTAACCAATGTTCATAGGTACAAAGACACCTTTTAATAAAGATCGCTTCGAACGCATGACATAGGAAGGAAGCGATGATGATTGTTTGAATCAGCTCTCCTAAAATGGCCTCTCAGACCCCGAGACAAACCTCTCCGCGCCTCTCGATTACATATGGTACCATATACACAATGTCACATACAATGGGTATGGGGTCGATCCATCCGCGCTACGCCTTAGTCTCATACAACGTGAACAAAAAGCCCTTCTTCGCCCAACCCCTGACCAATCTAGAGCAAAGAGAATAAGACTGCAACATCTCTTTGCATCACTCAATCTCTTGTGATTTACAATCAATTTCAGGAGATAGGACCGAATTTGTCCTACATGTATAAAGACTTGGACTCTCTTGTGCTATAGAATCAAGACCAAGAAGACTTAGAGGGATATGCCATGGATTCCATTCAGAAGTGAGATGCACCCGCTCCAATTTCGTCTCAAACAACTTCTGAGAGGTAGTCCTTACACCGAATGATACTACGACTACGACTTATGCAATAACTAGTGTTCACAATCGCACCACCAACACCCTCAGCTGGGACAATCTACGTTGTCTCCCACAATCCAGACAATATAGCCTTTTTCGGTTCGAAACGGCACTGCCTTCCAACGAACCCTACAACGCTGCAGCCACGACGAGGATGAGATCGTTTCATGCGGGAGAAATCTCGCATTAAATTGATGTGGTTGATCGCATCCTGAAAGGCAAGGAATAGATCGAGAGAAATAAGGCCCCAGATTTTGACAGAGTACTGGATCAAAGTTCCAACTGGCTTCGGCTGCCATTCCATTTGAGGAGAGATGTGCTTTCAACCTCACATAGTATATGAAAGCCGCTTGTCTTTTGCGCCAAAAAGGAAATACCTCATCAATATTCGATGACCGATAGCATCATATGATATATCCAGGAGCACTTTTCGTTCTTTCTCTCTTTCTCCGCCCTCCTTCTCTCTCCCTTTCACTTTTAGGTTAGCTGACAGCATCACTTCGTTATGCTCTCACCTCTCTGTTTCTCTATTGTATTTCATGCGACGATTGTTCCTGAAACGCATCAGGTGGTTACCAATCGCCGCTGAAGGCAGCTGACTAGAAGAGACTATTCCCCTAAATTGGTCAGAGAGGTCTAAGATGCCCTTCTGCCTTGTCGAATGATCTGCTGGTTCCTTGCCAGTCTTGTGCGAAGACGCACGCGTGGACTTCGGCATTGGTCTAGAACGGTATGTTCTCAAGTGGGTCATGAGGAAGCGATAATCGTTTGAGCCATAAACCATCGATGCAATATCAGCTCTCGCAAAGCGGTTTCTTAGATCCCGAGACGCGTACCATATACAATCAATGTCACATACAATGGGTATGGTCGATCCATCCGCACAGTCTCTTCCTCATCCCCATTCATACAATCACGAAGATGTTGCGCAACATGACTAGGGCTTCGAAAAGCCAAGATGTGGAAGCTCCCAAACCTCAAGTAAGCATCGAATTTTCCCTATGCTATCGCCCATACTGATTGACAAGACAATGAGAGTCTGGATCCCGAACACCTTTTCTGATATAATGGAGGATGTCGGAAAAAGAGGCCTAGGTCATGTTGTCCTGGATGCCGTTCGACTCGACCACCGAAGATTGACAATAAGCTGCAACGTCCTATACGATCCCGCTGAGGACTCGACTCTCGCAGATCTGGCCGTGCTTGGGCGGGGGATGTCTCAAGTATTTCGGCACTACCGACCTGTCTCTTCACCATTGAATGACTTGAGTCTAATTTTTCCGTCTGAAGAGTCAGATGACCCGGCTATTGAAGCCCAGCTCCAATACGATCAGGTGTATTCCAGGTATCTGCAAGAGTATCCAAAAAGACGAAACTCGGCCAACAACCTTGGGTCTAGTACGCGGGATTTGGTCTTTGCTTGGTACGAGAGACGTCTCGATGAAATCAGCGACATCGTCCAGAAATCTCGTCTCTCCCATAGGTCCGGTGGTGCCGCCTGCTCTATTGCTGGTTGCCTTTCGCTGCCACAATTACTTCTGGTGACCACATACACGTTCCTCCGATCATGCCTTCCCTTCCAGACGGGCGACCACGGCCAAATACTGGATATTCTTCGGCGTGAAGAGAAAGACTGGTGGCCGCGCATCGGATCTGAAGGGCTATCAGAACTGATCTCGCGGAACCACGAAGCAAGAGACACTCGAATGGATAGGATATGGGAGGAGATACGCAGCACCTTAATTCAAGGCCACTGCTGTTTTTCAGTATCTTCCCAAGACCTACGAGACCAGCTCCGATATATTCTCAGCAACTTGGACCAGATCTCAGCGAACGGATCAAGTACTAGGCAGGAGCAATGGCTGTCTCCTCCAAAGACGCCTTTTGGCAGAAGAGGCACTGTGGTGCTCGTTTGCTTTAGTCTCTCTGTCGTACCGAGCGGTTCAATGCCGCCAGTTCACTGGGAACCGGACAATTCCACACTCAAAGACATGCTTCGTCATTTGAATCAATCGCCACTCTTCTCCAACGGCATAACTCTGAATGAGTTGTGCACTGCGTTATCGTCACTTGATTTACTGTTTTCCTACGAGGACAAACGCGTCACCAATTTCCAGGAAGAAAGAGAGCTGTCGAAGCTCATTCGGTTAAGCTATAAGGGACCACATGTGCCAACCATCGGCTACCCCTAAGATCCCGCTTCTGGTCAATTCTACTGTTCAGTTAGATTGTTGGTACTCGGCGACAGTGCCCTAGAGATAAGAAAGAGAGCTATTGAAGGTCATTTGATTGAGCAGTTAGCTACACCATGTGCCGGCGATCGGCGCCCCCTAAGGTCCAGCTTCTTGTCAATTCTATGGCTCAGCGTATGTCCTCCATCCTAACATGGAGGGAGGCTGGTCCATCCAACTGGATAACCATATTCCTTACACAAATTGGACAGTGCAATTCTGTATTCGTTCTTTGCTTCCTCTGAAAATCGAGAGCCCTCAAGAAACGCCTTCCATTAATAAGACCAAGGCTTGTTTCCATATTGTTGGCCATGTTTCTATCCATCAGACGGTCATTGATCTCGTCAATCTTGTTGACTGCCTCTTTTACCGCAGGAGGCGGATAGTTATTGGCGGTGATCGGATTAAAAAAGGCGATGAATGGGTTCTCCAAGAGAGCAAAAAAGATCGTACGTAAATATCGAGTTGCTTGATGGTGCGATTTAAGGTGATATAGCTGCATGGTTTTCATTGTAGGATCATCATCGTGGCTAAAGGCTTTGTTTATTAGCCCCGGTCCTGAGCCTCTCTGGTGTATAGCCATTAACGACTCACAGCTCCTCTTCTGACTGTGGAATTCGGGTTGCAGCAGTGGGTACCTGTTTCGAAAAATCAAACAGGGGCTGAGGAGGAGCTGCGAAAGCGCTCGGGTACTGGCCGTATGTTTGCTGGAAGGTTGACTGAGGGTAGAACTCCTGCTGCGTCTGGGGTAGAAATGATTGTTGAAACTGTGGCGGCAACTGGAATTGGGCAGGAGCCGATGGCTGTTGAAAACGACTGTTGAAAACGAGGTCCTTGCGGCGCGTTCAGAGCAGGAGGAAACTGTTGAGGCATAGATGGGAACCACGGGTTGAAATTGTGCTCCCTGTCGGGAAGTGCCAATGGTGCTGTTGGTCTGGAGTGACTATTCGCGCCAGGGGAAAGGATTGCAAGTGCCTCTTTCACAGAGTATCCAGGATCACCGATCATATTTTCAGCAATCAATCTGTCAGCTTCGTGAGGCGCGAGTATCTTTTTGAGAGCAGACCGTGAAACACCTTCCTCCCGCAGCGGAGTAGTTGTCCCCTGGTGCCAAAAGCCAGCCACGATGAATGGAAGCCTGCTTTTTCCCAGTTCTAATTCTCTGACGGCCAGCCAGTTAAGACCGTATTGACCACCGGCTCGGACTTGATCGCGAAGTTTCATGATCTCTTGTTCTCCACGCAGTGTGGTTGGGATATTGGCCCTGGTAGCTCCGTCCAATGCCGGTTGACCCCCAGCGGCAGCGCTTGACACAAGCCGCACCCTGCCCTGCGCATCCTCCACCACAAAGCGGGCACTTCTTCCAAGTGATTGAACCATACGTATCGTTTCACCGCTTGATGTGTAGCCGGGGTTGATAGAGCGCGTTGTCTTTCTCGGTACAATGGCGATCGTACGTATCTGTCCACCAGTGGAGTTCCAAAGCTGAACACTGTTTCCTGGAGTGTCTGTACTGGCGTGAGGCTGCGAATTGCCAGACGAATTGGCGGAAGATGCCGATGCGCCAATTGAAAATGTGGCCCATTCATTTGGATAATGAAATTTCTGACACCATTGTAAATTCGCAGCGCTTTGCGTAGGTATCAGCTCCGGCTGCAGGAAGAATACTCTCCAGCGCCCAAATAACTCGGGGTATCTGATCATCCCGAGATCAGGGTCTTTCTTCAGTCGTTCATTGCCAGCTCTCATCTCAGCATTAATGCTGTCGATCGCCGCAACAGCGGCCTTGGCTTTTTCGTCTAGGCCTTCCAAGTTCGCCTGAGGGTTCAGTCTTGGATTATGTTCTAATGCAGAAAAAAGCACTTTGAGATGCGGGGTTGCTCGCTCGTGCGCATCTTTATGGTATGATGAAAGCTGGCCTTCGACGTGTTCTGCTGGGCGGCTTGCATCATTCCCATAATAGAAATTAGTATGCCTATCGGCCGCGCCCGGGAGAAGACTTCCAGATTTTTCTCGGAATGATAACAGCTCTGACGCGATTAGTAAATATTCAAGTGACGTCTCCCTGCCACGAGACACATACTTTGGAACGCCTTTTGAGCCTGAATCTTTTCCTCTCCTTGATATTTGTCGGGATGGAGAAGCGCTTGTAGCTTTCTGAAATCCACGGCAAACGGAAGAGCATTGTCAAGGGCGTTCTTAAACGTGGTTGGGTCATCAGGGGCGTCAGAGATTGCTCTGATAATAAGCAATTTTTCGTTGTGACCGAGCTCCTCATCCTCCTCCATATCAATGTCCGCGGAATTAGACCGCTGGTGCTGCTGTGTGCTGGGGATGGCAGGAATCTGGGTCGGAGCGGGAGTCTGGGCGGCAGCGGGAGTCTGGGCCGGAGCTTGAGCGGCAGCCATAGCCGGAGGGGCAGCTTGAGCTGGAGCGGAAGTCTGGGCAGGAGCTTGGGCGGGTTCCTGACCTGTGGCTGTTCCCTGAGGTGGAGCCTGAGGCGTAGGGCGCTCAGAGCCTGGCTTCGTTTCCAATTGTGCTCGGAGGTCTTTGAGATCGGCCGTCGGCATATTGTCTTTTTTCTTAATAAATATAATCTTATTCTTCTTTTTTTTTTGTTCTTTTCTTTTTGGTGAAGTTGAGGGACTGCTTTCAGATGTTTAAGATCTTGCGAGAAGCGGGATGATAAAACCTGGGTCAGCCGGGTAAATTGAGAGAGTATTTGCGGGCAATATGAGAACAACTAAATTGAACCTGAGTTGTGTTATTTTCTTAAAGGCAAGGTTTGAAGTTATTTAAATACATTATCATGCCACGATTTCCGACCTTCAGGCCAGAGTTTTCCGTGCTGAGAACACGATATCCCGTACGCTTTCCTCCATGCCACGGCTTTCAGTGCATATTCCACGGTTTTCCAATGCTGATCTCTCATCCCCCTCTACTCTGCTGAGCTGTCGCTGGTTCATAGTTTTACTGCCGTCAGTCTTAGTTCGCTTTCCTTCACATCATTCTCGCAAACGAAAGTCCGCAAAGATGATCAGCCATTTGAGTCTTTTCCTTCTAATAAGTCAGTTAGCATACTGCACACTGGAGTGAGTTTGATGATCAGTAACTAGATCTTCCCTCAGAAGGCTAAATATTGACAGGATCAACGAGACAATATCCGTCGATGTCAGCACGGATAGTTTCACACACCTGGTCGTGGTGGGCGGTGATGAGACTCGATTGTTTATTCCAGATCGACTTAATGCGAATATTGGGGATCACATACGCTTTGATTTCCACAGTCTCAACCATACGTTGACCCAGTCCACTCTGGAGAACCCTTGCTCGCCACTTTACCAGTTTGATACCGGATTCGGCCAGTTCAACCCAGACGACAGGGACGGCCTCTCAGTAACCTTGACTGTCAATACTTTGAGACCACAGTGGTTTTTTTGTCGACAGACTAGCCCTTCTTCCCATTGCCATGCTGGCATGATCTTTGCAATCAACCCAGGGGAGAGAATGGACGAGTTTCGACGGAATGCAAGGATTGGTCGTGGTATATCATACGCTTCCTCTGTCAATCCCGACTATCTTACGCCTCGGAAGCACAGCTCATCCGCAACGCCCAAGAAAAGCGTGAGTTCCGCGACCTCTACGCATTCGTTTACCCCTACTGGTTCTATCCCGTCACCATCGCCTGTTCCGTCGACCACAACTCCAATTAGAGATGGCAAAACAATAGTGGTTCTCGCCAAAACCGTCACCAAGGACTGTTATTGCTCTAATACGTTGGCTGTGCACCCGACCACTGCCCCCACCTCGAAGAGGAATACTTCATGGGCTTCATCTTCGAATAACATTCATTCTGGAATTATGCGCAGGCTGGGTATGGTGACCCTGGGCCATCTTTTGTTACTACTATTTTGATGTCCGATCTGGCGCCTGAACGTTTCTTGGTCTCATATGGGGCTTTGCTTCGATAGATACAGCCTGTGCCACTCGCCATGAGCATTTGATGCTCATATAACGATGTATGTAGGGTATATTCGAAGCAGTCTTAGTTAAGAAATATACGCCAAATTATTTAAGAAATGAAAACTTCGCTAAATTTCACTTCCGCTGATTCAAGGAATTGGCGTAGCCTTTCCAGTAGATCCAAGCTTGTCTCCATGAACAAGAGGCGTCTATATCAAGGGCCATCTGTGCATGTGCAAGCTCAGACAGATAATTCGCCCATTGTTTCTTGTAAAGAGGGATTACTTCGAGCAGGACTCCGTATATGTAATCCAATATTATGTTGTTGTTCTTGTATTGGTCACTGCGTCATCAGAGGGGCGGTAGCGGTGGCAGCCGCCCATCCACGCCCACCAGCTCATCGGTGACAAGCGTAGAGCAACACCTCAGCCAAAACGTCTTACCAGACCTTGATACCCGACACAAATGGATGAACGATCCCCACGTCGAGGTGATGTGGAGAGTCAGTGGCCCGAAAACTGAGCAGGAAAAGTTCTTGCTTGCCAACTTGTCTAGCAAGCACAGTTTTCCCGTCATTGGATTCCAATGGGAAACCCTTTGGATATTTTGAGAGTTACTAAGTAAAAGAAGATCCTCTGGGCCGATTGTTGGCTTGTGTGGGTAAGTATGATCCATCTCCTTATTGGTGAGCAGGAGGTCCGCACCGGCTTGCGGTATGGTTGAGTGCACTCATGCACCATTGCTTTTTGACGGATATGAGGACTGAGACAGTGATTCTGGAACTGAGGGGCGATAATACAAAAGAGCGTTCTACTCCAACCAGTTTCGGTTAATATGTGACTAACCACCTCGTAGAATGATCGGCTATCTGCAGGAAGCAGGCTTCTACAAAGAAGGAGAAGTCAGTTTCCCCATAAACAGTCTGCTGTCATGAAGATTCGGCGGGAGTACTGGGAGGCTCCGGTGTTGTAGATTCGCAGGATGGGTGCTATATTAATTGCATAATGAGATCATGAGTCATAACTAGCATTGAGTACTTCTTGATTTTCTGGGGTTTCTTATAGTCGGGTAGGTTCCTATTAGAGCATTTGAAGATGCGTGCAGCGTGGATGTCTCTGTCTTACCGCCAACATCAATGACAGTGCCAGTTGGAATAAGACTTGCAAGCTTTATCCCCTGCGGCACTAAAACCCTGTTGCAACGTTAAAGACACCCAAATGTTCGGAGTTTCGGCCGAGCTTCAGGAGTAATATTTCGGAATATCTTTCGGACTAGGGTTTCGTGGCAAGAGTTAGCCTCACCGCCACAGGGCCTACAGACCATTTCCCTAATCCGTTTGTATCTGCGTTACCCTGTCGTTGAGATCTTTTTCAGTGAAATTACTGAGGGGTCCTTTAAGCTCACTACACTACTAATACAATGGAAGAAGAACATTATGTAAAGCTTACCTCGGATCTTGTCACAGTACATAACAGGGTGAGAGAAACCAACCCGTGCTTGAGCCGCCCATCAAGTTACATATAATAATACTATTGCGCGCCTGCTGATCGTCTTTTATAATTAGCTCCGTCCGATAGTTCGGATTACGTGTACCTCAACAAGACATAAAGCGCAAGCCCTCTGCTGAAATTGAGGCAGAGGATTTTGTTGCACAATCTGAGACCCCACTGAATAATTGAGACCCCTCTCGTCTGAAGAAATGAGAAAGCCCCACGGAAGCTACTTGCTTGATTGACTAGAGTATTATCAATATGTCAAACTCCCCAAAGTCCAATGTTCTGGAGACCGCAGAATCGTTTGCGTCGCGACATTATGATTTCCTGGTCGTTGGAGGCGGAACCGCCGGCCTGGCGCTGGCTGCCCGACTCTCCGAAGAAACCTCTTTTACTATAGGCATCTTGGAAGCTGGGCAGCCCCATTTGGACGATCCGAGAATATTGACGCCAGGTCTGTGTGGCACCCTTTCTGGTGACCCTGAGTACGACTGGAAATTCATAACCGTACCTCAAGTAAATCTTCCAACTCGGTTCTGAGTGATTCTTCAATAGGCCAAATGCTAATTACTCTCACAGGAGCACCTGAACGGACGTCAGATTGGGTGGCCGCGTGGTCGAGTACTTGGCGGCTCAAGTGCAATAAATTTTATGCAAGTGACTTATCCGACTGCGAAGGAGATCAATGACTGGGGGGCTCTGGGAAACAAACATTGGTCCTGGGATGATTTGCTACCCTATTACAGAAAGTTCCAAACCTTTGCACGGCCTTCGGCCGAAGTAGCGAAGTCGCTGGGAACGTCGCATTATCAACTTACAGACTATGGTGGCACGGGTCCCATCCAAGTTAGCTTCTATTCCCCGCATGATCTGCAAGATGCCTGGTTGAAAACATTTGAAACCCTTGGCCACAAAATGTCCCAGAGTCCCCTCTCTGGCGCAGCGATTGGAGGGTTTACAAACCCTGCAAGTGTGGATCCTGAGTGTCGGACACGAAGCAACTCCACGAATGCCTACTACCTCCCAAATGCAACGAGATCGAACATATTTCTCCTCACAGGAGCCCAAGTCCTCAAGATAAATTTCGACGCAACGAAAGATGGGCAGTTTATGGCCAGTGGAATCTCGTTCTTTGCCCAGGGCACAAAATATGTTGTGAAGGCACGCCGCGAAGTCATTTTATCTGCTGGAACTATCCAATCGCCTCAGATTCTAGAATTGTCTGGAATAGGCTCTGAGGATGTGCTTTCTAAGCATGGTATTGATGTACTGACCAACAACCCCGGTGTTGGCGAGAATCTCCAAGATCACCCTATTGCAACCCTGTCCTATGAAGTCGCAGATCCGAGTTTATCCTTGGACAGTCTTCGCGACCCAGCACTTCTTAAAGCAGCCCTGGAATCTTTCCAGACTGAAAAGTCTGGTCCTTTTGCTTCAGGAGTCCAGGCCAGTGCATTTCTTCCGATCATCGACTTTGTCTCGGAGCGAGGAAAGACAGAATTACAAACTCTCTTAGAAGATTTACTGAAAAGACAGGAGTCTGATAGCATCAAAAGCCAACATTCGTTGTTGAATCAGGCTCCATTAGATCCGGGGGAATCTACGTCTCAACTGATGTTGTTGCCTTTTCAAGTACATAGCGAGTCAGCGCACGACCAGCAGGCACTATTCACTCCGTCCGCAGCTGGCGCGTATATTACATTGACTGCTCATATTGCTCGCCCATATTCACGCGGTCATGTGCATATTCGGTCTCCAGATCCTTTGGATCAGCCTTGTATCGATCCTTGTTACCTCTCGCATCCACTCGATCGTGAGATTCTGGCTCGACACGTCAGATATCTCCAAACCATAGCTAGGACTGAGCCGTTGGCTTCGAAACTAGCAAAGAACGGCCGGACAATTCCTGATTGTATACCAGTTGACCTCGATTTGGCTTCAGCAAAAGAGGCGATAAAGAAAGCTGTGACGACGCAATACCATCCCGTCGGAACCTGTGCGATGATGCCACTAGAGAAGGGTGGAGTTGTCGATGCAAAATTAACGGTCTACGGCACTGTGAACCTCCGAGTTGTCGACGCTAGCGTGTTCCCCATGCAACTACGGGGCAACATCCAGTCGACCGTGTATGCAATTGCGGAATACGCTGCTGACATGATCAAGGCAAAATGGGTTCGGAGAGGTGAGGATGGTGATCTACACTAAGGTACGTTGAACCTGTTCCTCTTAATCTCTTGCTAACAACTTCTGAAATAACTGCTGAACTGTTGACTTGTTTTCGTCAATGTAGTTTGGACATTCAGATATAGGCTTTTTTGTTGGCACGTTTTGAAGGTGCGTCCCACCTTGACACTCGAAATCAAGGTCGTGGCCACACAGGTTTGTGCTAAACCGACGAAACTGGCGCTGCCACCATTGAAGAGACATGGCTGTGATTGAAGTAATTAGAACTATGCAGTGCTTACGATGATGCTGGATATCTTTATACAGCGTCGGTCCTGACAACTAAGAAATAAAGTCTCAAGGACCTGTACAGAAGTACAGTCCATACTCAAGGAATAACATTTCAAGTAAGACGTGTTAGTATTTCATTCTTCCCTCCACTTACACAAATCCAAGGTCCCATGCAACCAACCTGGTAAAGGCCGTCCTCACTCCAGTCTGCGCAAAGGACCTCTCACGTTATAAAAGAGTTCCACAGAGGAGCAGTAGGCTCGCCACTGGAGGTATTATTCTAACACAAACCATGCAGCCAGGCACTTGATCTTAATTAAACTTTAAGACCCAGGTCTCCTTTCAAGAGGGTGTGGGTTTCGATATGTTATTGGATCCCAGACTAATGCAATGCCAAAGGTGTCAACACTGTTCACACCTTTTGCATTAGCGTGTCAATAATAGAACTAAGCTGCTAGTATTTATTTAACTAGTTAGACGCGGCTTACGTAAACAAGATCATCATTGGACGAGACAGACCAGGCGCAAGTGAACGATTATCACTTGTCTGTTCAATCAAGATGATGAGCTCTACCGCAAGAGGACGCATGTCTTTGGACAAAAGAGGACGCCACTGGCTGCAGACACCATCAACCCTATACTGTATCCAAGCGTGCCTAATTTATCATCATATAAGCAAATCAATCGAAACTGCAACGCTATGTCCTTCGCACTGATAACTCAACAACTCAGGTGTGACCTTTGGGTCTCGTCCACTTGAGCTACTCTATAAAGGCTCATTGAATTCCAGCCTGGACCTAGACAAAATGCCATCACAACTTCCTCCCATTTTCTACCTGTTCAACTAGCCACTGATAAGAAACTCAAAGGGACAGACTGTGCCTTGACCTTGTCGGTAAGTCATTTTATGGAGAGGGCTTGACCCTCCATGATCCCAAGCCTCCCGTTTCAGAATTGGGGTAGTTCTCACGTCAAGTAGGTATAATGACAACCAGCTCGGGAAGAAAGGGCGCCTGCAGCGAATGTGGACACTTTAACGACGCACACTCTTATGAAACCTGCAAGGAACCCAATTGCAGGAGACAATGGAAACGATGCCAAGCTCTTCCAAACTGCAACGGACTTTTCTACAGAATCTGCAAGACTTGCCCCGATCATCCCGGAGGAAGACCCGACTTCTGGACTTCGTCGGAGGTCCCTCAAACCTCGTGCTCCAAGTAATACAGGCGCCTATGTTCAAAGTCCTAAGGCATAATTGCCTGCGTCAGTCATTGTAGGGGATAGGTTGTACGTGCTGGTGAGAAGAAAAATTGTATTTAGAGCTCAAGAAATTGTATGAAGCCAATTCCCTACTCTGTCCTGTTGCTCTGTTTGTGGCCTTTGTGGTATCCGGTCATCATCGTCCTGATACTCGTCACTGCGCTCGGTAGGAGGAGTCACATCATCATCGTCCCGATACTCCCAACTACTCTCCTCGGTATCGTTAAGAGGATCCAACCATTCATCTTCGTAGATATTTTCTGGAGGTAAACCTTCGCCATTAATGGCAAACCAGCGGAAAATATCTAAGGACGCTTCTCGCGACGCTTTCTGATCGAGTGGCTTATGCGGGGGGTGCGGCAGCTCTTGTACTCCAGGGAGATCCCATCCCACCTCACTCGGCGCTGAAACCAGTGCAGTTGAGAAACCCTGGTCCTGGACAACCCGGCCATCCTCAAGCTCCCAGGTGAGATGATGATAATTGATATGATGCCGGGGACAAGTCATGTGTGCCACAACTCTGAGAGCACAATTCTCCTCCTTCATTTTGCCACAGGGCATCCAGGGCGTGTGCGGTCGGTAGTTGTACGACATCTCATCTTCCTCAGCAGTAGGAAGATGGAGGAGTCGCCAGACATCGGCTCTCCAGATCTGCCCTTTGTCGGTAAGATAAGGGCCCGAGCCAGTAATATCCATGAAGCTTTGTGGGCAGCCTGTCCATGGGAAAGCGACGGGCTCCAAAGGAGGTCTTCCTCGCCCAGCCATTCGAAGAATAACCGGAGTCAACGCACCAGCCACAGCTCCCAACCAAAGAGTAGATATTGTAGGCCGACGGATGCCGCAGATAATACCGAGTAGTTCTCCGTAAGCTGGGGTGTCTGCTATATTCTGGTCGCTTGGCACTTCGTTCAATATAGGATGCAGCCAGGGACTGACTAGGTTGCAAGGGACATCAAGTTCCCAAAACATACCACAAAGGGAAGAGATGACAGCATCTGGGCTACAACTTAAAGTCATATAGTAGAGAAGATTCTCATATAACATGGTCCACTCTTCAGGAACAATTTCTGGTGGTATGACTGGACATCGCGCCCCGGTGAGAGTTGGTCGTGGTAACTGAAGAGTCGTACCATAGTAGTTGTGGGTTGGAATCGTAATGGCTGTAGTTAAAGCAACGATCACTTGGCTTCCAAGATTATGTAAGATAGCGAATTGGCAAAGAGCATCGAATGCTTCATTCGAGGATAAGGGCGAGGAGGGAATCCTATCGGAGGTCTCCCTATGAGCTTTGATGGCGTATGATTCATTGCAAGAATGTGCCACAGACCATGGAGAAATGAACTCTTCACAGTCGAACTGTTTGACGACAGCCCTCCAACCCTCACCGGGAGCCAGAATCGAAGCCCACCAAACCGATACGTGCCAATCGACTTCGCCGATATCAACAATATCTGATCTGGTCTGTTGGTCTGCCTCCAAATTCACGGGCGCCTTTGACTCCATATATTGCATTGTAGCATCTTCCCCTTGAATCTCCACAAGCCGGGCTGACAGTATGTAAGACCACGCTAGGGTAAGAATTGCCAGATAATTAGGCCCAACTGCTGATTCGTCCTGGGTGCCAATCCAGTGACGAAACCCAGTGCCGTTGAAGGTATATGGGACCGCAGCTGTGGTCCCCATTTGCATGAGGAGGGACATTGTTCTCTCTCCATCCACATGCTCACAGTCCACACAATTCTCAAGTTGCCAATTGGTGGATGCCAAAAAACAAAATGTTTTGCCAGCGGACGCACCAAGTTGAACTGCGTAAGTGTGCCGTGGTCTTCCACGCAGTCTTGGAACTTTCCACAGCATGTGGTGAGGCTCCATAACGTCTTTCTTGACGCCGTTCTCATGGTAGAGTTTAGCCACTGCTGCAACACTGTACCAGTACGCCCTACTCTGTCTCAAAGCCTCCTCCAGTTGCCTTTCGCCCGGCTGAAGCATATGATTGTCGGCCACTATCTACAATGCATAAGCCAATTAATCGTAGAATAGATAAAGAACAGGAATGCGAATAAGAACTATTCACATACTAAGTGTAAATTTGGGGGGACCAAGCTGCTGCTGCACTCCTGAACACATCCTTCACTAATAGCCTCGCTGGTGGCGAAACCTGGGGTTGGTCGCCCAGGCGATAGATCGCTCAGGCTCATATTAGCGAATCACCAACGTGACGACGAGTTTTAGAGCAACTTCAATCTATTTTAAATTGAGAAAGTACAGTTAGTGAGCGTCCAAACTTGGCGAAAGGCATACATATATACTATCCTGTGAGGCGAAAGTCAGCTGACGCTGCTCTCACCGCTCTTTGGAGGGTCCAGAGCCTCAGTAGGCTTCCTACGCGCTGCAACAGTTACTCTGAGAACGATGAAATTGATTCGTATCTTGATGATTCAATTATGGATGGTTAGTTGTTAGATACAGGTTGAAGATAATAACAAGGCAGAAGGAAATAGTCATAAGTCATGAAGTAGGGAAGTTGCGGTTCCAGCGCTGTTTGCACTGTTTGTCAGCGCGTCAATCACGTGAGAGCACACCTTGGCGATTGATGGACAATTTTAGGATAATTTGCTTTCCACTAGAGAGGTACTTAGCGAAGGAGTAGATCCAGGAACCATGATGTAATCAACCTTCCTGAACCTCCGAAACTCCCGTCCATCCTTCGCTCAGTGAACAGAAAGCTTTGAATGTCTTAACCAGTGACTTGTCAAGGAAACAGACGGACAGTCTTGCAAATTTGGGTCCGCACTTCACTAATGGGATTCACTTTCAAGAAGTTTAATGTTGGCACCATGCTTATAATTGTATATGGAGTTCACGGCCTTCGCATGCGAGATACACTTCCGCCCAACCCTGACCTTCTGGGTACTCTATTCCCGTCGGGCAGCACTTGACACGGCCAGAACACATACCAATAACTGGAACATCTCGTCGATGTTGTATTTGACTTTCTAGTGAATAACACCCATGGTTGTCTGCGTAGCACGCCTGGTGATGACCTGGGGAAAAAGTAACAACGTGCTATCATTCCTGGGATCTTGACAAGCTGTGCTCATAGCGAAAGTTTTCTCGAGAAGCCTTGGGACAGTTCCGCTCCGCCCATTAAAGCTGGGCATAATACCACAGGCTATCCTTGCACGAGGGCGTCGGAGTAGGATGCAAGGGCCTATAAATCTGCCACCAGATCAGCCGGCATCAGAACTTGTCGAGCAAACCAATTGGATCGTTCAAGGTTCATGAGGCTGTTGCCGCCACAACCTGCGCTTCAACATATTGGAAAAGCTCAGGGAGCACCCTGCCCAGGAGCTTAGTCTAGGATGCCTTTTATAACCGTGATACTCCTGACTCGAAATGGTGAGCAATCTGGATAATTGGAAGATCAAAAGTGAAGGTGCCACGTGACCATTTCTGACGCACTCCTTGTTGCTACAGTTGTTCGTTTTTCCTTTCGCCGCCTCAACCATCCAAGAGATAGCTTCTCTCGCAGACATCGACCGAAGGTAGGTAGCTTGCGCGCGCCGTTCATGGGTGGTTGGGCAGCAAACTGCTGCTGCCCCTTATTTTAAGTACATTTTGGGCTTAAACAGGTATGTACTCTCAGAATATTACTTAACTCGCGCAACTTCGTCATCTCTCTCACAATGGTGGGGTCGCTTTTTCTGCCGGTTTACTCACCGCCTGCTAAACAGCGACTTCCAGACAGCATCATACTATTCGAATGATGTCGAAGCTAAGAATGTCCGTACCAAGCCCAGATCAGCTTTTCAGCTACATTATACCGGGCCTCTCGTTCCAAAACATTACCAGGAATGCCTCAGAACAAGTACATCCGGAGCATGCTTTACGGATGGGGACCTCGAATATTTTGGCATTGCCAACCTCGACTAGTGACACAGCAATAACGGCGGAATTTACTAAGTGTTACCTCCCGAAGGTGAGCTAAGACAGCCAAATGCATTCAGAATAATGCTAAGATTGGAAGATCCTGGACCCAAACTCCGAGTATCGCTCCCTTCTCCGCGACGATTCACACCCACTCAAAGTCAAACTGCGGAACAAACCTCGTGTTTTGTTATTGGAAGACGGCGATTTCACACTGGAAGGGCTATTATTCGCCGTTTGCATACCAATATTCGGCCTGGAGAAAAACACTACTGTAGCAGTGAGAGAAGCAACAGAAGGGCGGTCTGTCCTTGTCAGCACGTGGGAAATGGGAAACATAATTGTTGTTCCTGGAAGACATCATCTTGTTTATTCTGGGGGAGAACGAAAACATAGATGTACCTTCCTTTTCCTAGCCTACGTCAGAGATGAGGTCAATGCGCATTAGTTAGCCGGTTTGTATTGTTTCCAGTACAGGCTAAATTCAACTGGACTGGCCGTTATTCCCGTTAGAAACATGTACGCTAATCAAAGAGATGATTATAACCTCCGATATCAGTGTTACTGGACGGGCCTTCATTAAGCCGGAGTTGATTCCCTTGACAAGGCTCGTCACTGCCACTAATGGCAGAAAAGAGTGTCCGAATCTCCTACAAACTGACCAGTTCGCCCAGGGGAATTCCCGGGGAAATTTTCCGCCGACGGATATGGTCTGCGGTCTCCGTTGAGGTCTGGCAGGTGCTGCAAGCCAAATGAGTTGTCAAAGAAGTCGGTTGCAGCTACTAATGATAGAGGATCTGCACCTGAGCGGGCTGGTTGTGCAAAGGGAATTCCGGGGACAGCCGTTTCCATTAATGGCTGTGCATTGCTGCCTCTGCCGAGATTGCTATGGTCTTGGAGACCAAATGAATTGTCGAAGAAGTCAGTTGCCAGAACCAATGATTCGGTTGCCAAAGCAGCGGCATTGAGCGCGCCTGGGTCCGTCTGCGAGAATGTCTCATCAAAGAAATCCGTCGCTGTCACTAGCGATTGGGGACAGGTTGTTTGCGGATCATAGCTTGCGGTAGAGTGTTGAAGATATGGCTGACATGAAGAGTAGCTCGTCTGGAAACTCCTATTGGTGTCTGGGACGCTGGGTGTTAAAATCCCAGATTGAGAAGTTATCTCATTATGAGTTGGACGATCTTGTAAAAGTATACACTCTCTGCCAATGAAGCCAGAATTGGGTGCTTGGATCGAATCGTTAACTTGTATATCTGGAAATACAGAGATTAGAGCCAGCCGAGGTAGAAAATTTCGTTTATCTTCTTACCATTTAACTGACCGCGAATGTGCGCACTGCCAGATGTTCCATGATGTGTCGAATAATTTGGCATTGTCCGTCGACGCTTTGTAGGCCTTTCACTCGTACCAGGTGAATCCCAAATTTCTGCGGGTCCAAAAAACGCTGGCGGTGCTCTAATTCCTGGGTTTGGATCGTTATTTAGTATAGCCGTGATCCGAGTAGGAACTGCTTCAGACAGAAAAGGTCGTTCAATAGTTGTAGGCTCACGAATTAAGCCTTCTCGCTCTACCTCAGTGGTTCGTGGGTGCTGCTGAGAAAATCCCGTTTCTACAGAGTGGTGGATGTGTGGCTTATCGGAAATTATGCCAGGGATAGGATGGAATCGTCCGTGGTCTTGTGAGCTCTGTTCTGTCCCCGAGGCTCTGGTATGGCCATGCTGGCTCTCCGTCTGCAAATCCTCAGCGTGACCGCGTCGCGATGTTAGAGCGTCATTCGGTTGCAGCAGGGCGCCGCCACCAGTCCTGGTAATTCTTGAGTTGCTGGTACTGGGCGGTTTATTTTTGGGGCGTCTATGTCGCTTTCTCGGCTGATTTGAGGGTAGACATGTCTCGACGCGGCTTGTGATCTCCGATATAATTTTGCGGCCGACTCCATGCAAGTCATACTCCACCGCAATTTCTGGGACCTTGATGGACTTGAAATAGGAAATAACAAAATTTAAGTCGTCACTTTTGTTCAAAGAGATCTCGTACCTTCTGTGCTCAGTCAGAAGCCTACATATAAGGTACGCACACTTACATCCATGGAGGAACTACTCCGATCAGGAAAAAAGCACCGTATCCGCCCAAGTGCTTAGCGTAAGTGTTCCATTTGAGACCAGCTTTATAGTCATCCTTAAGGTTTTGTCTCACCAGCTCCTCATCATCGTGCTGGCCCATGATCAGCCCGGTGCAATATTGTAGGACTCGGGTAGTAAGTATTTTCACGTCGAAAGCATGACATATACGTTGAGCAAACAAGTATGTAGCGGTTGTGTAAAACGCCCTAGATATCACGGCCACATTATCGTTCTGTCTATTTCTCTGATAAATGTGACGCAATATATTTGGACCCGCCCAGTCTAGGTTCACTGATAAACCAGCCGTCCAAAAATCGGATGGGCACTCGTCAATCTTTGTGATATAAGAGAGCATCTCAGGAGATGGTCGAACGTCAGTTGCTTTTGTTCGCTGTATACGACATCGTGCTTCACTCGCTCTCGTTCGTGGTGGATTCGGCCCGGGCTCGGCGTCAGTTGCTTCTGTTCGCTGTATATGACATCGTGCTTCACCCGCTCTTGTTCCTGGTGGATTAGGCCCGGGCTCGGAAGGCTCACTCCTTTTCCCAAATGCATTGATTAAGGAAAGACGGGCGTCGTCGGGGAGACGCTCCTTATTCTGGATGAGTAAATGGGCAATCTTCTTCGTCAGTCATTACTTAGCGATGAAGAGACGCTCAAATCTCACCTGTCGAAAGAAATTAGACAAGCATGATTCGCCGTTCTGCATATCAACAGCTCTAGTCAGATGGAGTTGGAGCGCTTCCATCATCAATAGCATTCAGATAAAGGTTGGCCGCAAGTATGGGGCGTCAGTTGCAAATAATGCGCATACCAAAGCTTGACAGCATTATGGACAGGCGGGGTACACGCTCTTGGGCCTGGGCGCCCTTCACAGCATCCACATATAACTTTAGTAGTTAAACTAACTACGGAGTAACTAGTTGGTTACTAGCAGGTTATTGTACTGATTAGTCATTTTGAGAACATCTCTAAATGCACATGATTTATTCCTAAGCTTCCAGCTATGCCTTCCAGCCACACCAACGCCGCAAGCAGGCTGATCCCGCAATGGAAATCGTCCTACTGGAGGAATATCATCTGTTAAAACTCTTCACCTTCATAGCATTCATTTTCAAAGATGTAATACATTGTGTAGTTTGCATGTGCCTTCATCAAAGGGTATTCTTGGCTTACCAGTCACGTGATGTTAAAATGGGTGAGACAATACTAAGCTGGTTGTAACCTTGGTGGCCGTAACTTTTTGCTCAATGGGAAGTAGGCAGCGTAGAGCATCTGAGGAAGTACATAGAATAGGAGAATTAATGAGAATCCATGGGACTTTATGAGACTTCAAGAGAATTCGTCTGAGCCATGTGATGTAATTCTACTATAGAAGTAGCAGATGACAGTCTTTAAGACCTTAGTACATCAAACATCTTACACTTACAAGCACGAAAGTAAGCAGGCTCCCTTGATAGGGACTTCTTAGCCTATTTTCCAAAAGAAAGAAAGACTGTGGCTATGCACCCATAGTGAAACACTTAAGAGTCTTATAATCTACTCTTTCCTCTAATTAAGATGCCTGGCTTAGCGCCTGTTGGATCAACACCCCTCCTTAGGTGAATTTGCCCACTGCAGGTGATGTATGCTCCAAGCGGGTGATGTATTCTCCAGGCATCACCACCTCACTAAACTGCACCCACGGTAATCACCACCTCATTCAGGCGGCATCACCCCCCATCACCCAAGAGGGCACCCACCTGACCGCGTTCAAGCCACACGCTGGCTAGTTAGTAGTTAGGTGGGTGACCACTAGCAAATCCCAGCTATTGTATGTTTTTGACTTTTTGTTTGCTAACTTATTTTTGATCCATTGGGTGTAGCGCCCTTGCTGCCTTTGTCTTCACCCTCTTCACCCTGTTCACCTGAACCACCTGAACCTCAGTACTGCACACCCAGTGACCCTGCTCAACCCTGTCCTGCTGACATATTGTGTCCTGTTCCAGCACTCTAAGTATCATGTAAGCGTGACGGAGTCTCACACGCAACATTATGACACCTTGGATCCGACATGTTCCTGCAAGTAACTCTAACAGATGACGGCAGTTATTACTCGGCCCTTGAACCTTGCCCTCTCCTGCGAGATCTCTGACTTGAAGCGCAGTATATTAATTGTTCTTAAGAATGAGCTGATAGGAAACATTAATAATGAGTGTATATACGCTAGCAGAGTACCCTGTCTTTCTGGTTTCTGCAAAGGACTTTTCTCTATTACCTCTAGGGGATGATGGAACATGGTATGCACTGCAACATCGGTTTGTGCCTGCGCAGCCGGTCTCCTTCGGAGCCCCTGAGAAACGAACAATATGGCATGAATGCTTCCCTGGTGTTGATACGTAAGGTAGAGGATCTGCCAGGAGGTCAAAGAGCATGGAGTTCATCCGAATAAGACGCTAGCACATGCTGACTTCACACACCCTTGAACAAAAGTCGGACCACCCATCTGCAGGATTGAACTGCATGTGATTCTCATTAATAAAATTCCATAGCCGCAAATGGCAGTACTGTATTTATTTTCATGATGTGGTAATATTGTTAATAGTGCCAATAGTCTTACAAGATAGTCCCAGCCTGAGGTTAATGAATATCAAACATTTAACAGGAGCTGATAGTTAGTGGTTAAGGAACAGGGAGATGTTGCTGGATGAGCTAAAATCAGGCAGTAGCTCTATGGCGATATGATACAACTTACACCTTGACTTCAGTAGACCTCTCCGCGCGTTAAGTTGCTGCAGACCAGCCCCTGCCGAGGATGAACCATTTCAGAAAGACTTCCAGTCAGCTGGGTGGCTCCTCAACAAAGATCTCATCATTCCAGCTTTTGACTAGGTCCATGTCAATCCAGCAACCCAAAGCTAAGGACCCTTTATAATTCAGCTTCTCAAACTCATCATGATCCCAAAACTAGACAGCTTCGGCGCTTTTGCCCTACATATCTTCCGCGTCCCAAGTAATTAGGGATGCGAAGCATGCCTGGCGCTCCCTTCCTCAGTAAACTAACTTAACCCAGAATAGATGGATACAAGACCCGGAGCAACCGCTCATTGGCCAACTATTGAGTGACTCTGAGTCTATGGAGTTAGAGCAGCGGTTGTCCTCAAATTCGAGTGCAGGCCTCGTGCCTTGCTAGCATCTATCTTGCGCACCAATTTTGGTGGAGTGCAAGCTGCACGCATTGCATGAAGCGCGCGCGCCCTCTAGACCACAGTGCCATTCTTGTGTCTTTTCCAGTCACAACATTGGAAAGTTAGGTTGAACCATAAAGGCGAAGTGGTACACAGACAATTCCATTAGATCGGAAAATTAGAAACATACGCGCTGCAGAAGGCTTGGCCCAAGCAAACATATCTTCGATCATTTTCGGCAGCAGGAACCGAAGCACATATCAGCCGCTGCATCTGCATTAACAAAACTCGTCTTGTTCCTCGGACGGAAAACATACCATTGAAACTCTGCGCTTTCGTCCTCAGAGGAAGTTCTCTATACGATCTCCTACACGAATCAGCTTCCCTTCCATGGTACTAATTAGTGATAAACTGACTGTGCTACCAGCGTAATCTTGGAGCTGGAATCATCCGCACAAAGCAACGTTGGTGTTTCGTGTATATCTTCCTTTTTGCGTCTTAGGAAGAGCAGAATCGAGTGAGCTTTGGAGACCTGAAACATGCTTCCATAGGTACCTTGAATAATTTACTTTGGATATATGGTAAATGTTAGCTCGAGACGGTGATGGGTTTGACATATTTATATAGATCGTTCTCGATAACTAGGCTGCTGTAGTCCAGGAACGACGTCATAACTATAACTAGGTATAAATAATTCCATCGGCATCTGTTACAACCTCTTCCTACTGATAGGTTATATTACACATGGACTAATGTCCATGTGCTGTGTTCGAGGCCTTCGGCAAACTTACATTGGCATGCCGACGGCCGACGGCCGATGCATATCCCGATTAGGGCAGGAATTGGCCGAGACAATTCCAGTCAAGTCAGTGAACCAAAGAATAAGCGAATTACATGGCTCCACTGGAAACGCGATCTCCAATTTAAGACGTAAAAAAAGGATATCATTTACTATCATCTCCAGTAACCACATGCTGCGGGAGCAAAAACGTCTGTGCCAGACCCGCCCAATGCATCGCGTCAAACCTCGTTAACCCCAGCTTCATCATCGGGAAGCTCTGGCTCTGGCACCTCAGCCCGCGCAGCCACGATTCAACTAGGTGTTTGCCCTTGACTGCGCGGTCGGCGTTGGGCGCTTGTACCAGCAGCAGCATGGTGAAGTTGGAAACTGTCGCGAAGCCGATGCGGGACCCTAACATGTTGATTAGTAGACGTGAACGTGGGTAAAGGTGGGGGAAGGAGACCTACACGAGTACCAGAAGCCCGTAAAGTCGCTCGCTGTCAGTTGTCCCGTGAAGCTAATTACGATCGAGGCGCATCGTTCCGCCACGTTGAGTGTTGCTTCTCCTGTGCCGTGGTCGTCTGACAACTCCACGGCGGGGAAGGATTCGATTTCTGGGAGGTCGTCAAAGTCGAGAATTGAGTAGTCTTCTGCTACTAGGGCAGAGTCGGCAGAGATTGTCGGCAACTCATGGCCGGAGCATGGCGCGGTAGATGAAGATGACGAGGATGAGGTAGGCGAGGTGGATGGAGGTCGGGTACGGAACTAGTCCGCTCACGGACTTGCTCCAGTTGGGAAGTCGGAAGCTCTCCGGCAGGGACAAGTACCAGCCGCTGAGCTTCTCGAGCAGTGGGCGGCCGGTGTCGTGCAATGCGTTGAATTTCTCGGATAGGAACTGCGAGGCGCGCAGTGTGCTACATGATCCCATGTCAGTCATGCGACAAAGCAGGAGGGCCAGAGGCACACAGGACCACAAGCCCACGATGCCAGGGCTACAGGGATGCAGATCTGCAGGAAGGACTTACTAGAACGATACGTAGATGTCCTCGGCGATCCTGGACAAATCTACCAAATACCGGAACAGCACTTCCATCTCGGGCGAATTCGACTGGTGGATAGTCGACGAGGACGAGGAGGCCCCGCGTGATTGGTATGTGAAATCCGCCGAATCGAGCTCGCTCACATTCCACTCTTCACGGTGGATGTACGCCGGTCGACCCGACAGCAAAGACCTCCCTTATCTTTGGCATAAACGGCCCACCAGAGCCGCCGGCGCAGACGCTTTTCCCACGCGGGAATCCCCCACATCCGACATTCGATGTGTAGACCCAGCGAAGAAGTCAGGCCCACGATGGTGCCGACGAAGCACCAGACGAATGGCGAATCGGCCACGCTGCTGCGTCTCTCGTCAACGGGCTTGTGCGCGTACAGTATGGCGGCCTGCAGGACGGCTAGGTGCGGGGTGTGGATCTCTTCGGTGAGGAGCTCGTAGACCATGCGCCAAAGGCGGTCGACAGGCGGGGCATTGTAGGTGTTGAGCACGCAGACGTAGTTATCGTGAGCGGCGAAGGGGAGGGCCGAGGTGTAGATCGCTGCCAGCAGATGCACGGGCGTGCGATCTAGGGTCCATGGCTCGGGGATCTGGCACGAGGGGGTCAGTCCCAGCTGCGAGCGTGAGATGACGGGCTACGCAGGAAAGACATACTTGTGACAAACCTAGGAGGTCAGCATGCTTCCACTCCAGAACGCAAAATACAGAACAACATACAGCGAGACTAATTTTCGACCGCATCACTGCCATTCATTTTGGTCTCCTGCTTGGCCGACGTCGCCAGATCATCCGCAGAAATTATAAAATGCACAGGAATTTTTTCGGCCGTAGGAGCTCCACCTGCATTGCGAAAATGGACCTTGTAGAAGCAATTGACGCCCGAATCATCAAAAGAACAGTGCCGGAGCAGCCAGGATCGGACTCTGCAGAGGCGCGGAAAGTCCCTCGAGCTGATCGAGGCTCTGCATGAATTGGGTAGCCGACTGACCTAAAGTGACCGGACGGCCGGAGACTACCGGTGACAGTCAATATGAAGGAGTCTGTACGTCGAACGACTGTTGCGGCTGGACTACGACATTGCTCACAGAGGCGGCACGCGAGGAAGCAGCCGGTAAGGGTTCATCCCGGGAAGAGAACAGCGAGGCATCCGCACCTGCAGGCACTGTAATATTTGATGTGCGGTCGCTTTGGGAATTGGCCTGCGATACTTGCCTGATGCGCTTTGGAGACGGATTATCAAAGGTGCATTAAAGATTGGCCGAGCAGCATCACAGACACGGAATACCTCCCTCGGTCTCGCAGCCTAGTTTTCTCTCGAGATGAAACGTCATTAGATTCAGTCACATATCGTCGGTTCATAATTTGCGGAGATCGAATCCCGGAAGTCCTTCAACTGGCGGGATATCCGAACATACGTCTGAAGTGTCACCGGGAGACCAGCGTCAAATAAACCAGGATGCAATTTCAAGGCACAGGGCCCTCTTTTCGTCATAGGAAAGAGCTTTGAGATCCGATGTCTTCATAGATTCATTCTTAGGTATAGCTGCCCCACATATGAACTCGAGGGATAGCAGGAAATTTGTTCGAAAGCAGATCCGGGGTATGCTAACCCCGTAGCCACCAGCTGGCTCCAGAATACTCTGCAAACTATCTGTTACATAAGTTGGTCAATGATGTCTTTCCTTCAAATAGTTTGTTGCGTTCGCCATAGCTCATTGATTCAAAACTTGTAATTCACTCCTCTTTCACTCTGTTCACAACTCTCTTATGCCACTGGTATGAGCGATACAAGATGACACTAGTTAGTTGTAGTTTGTATATTCTCATTAAGTGAAAACACATTGCCAGGCATCCTTCAAGGGAGCGCAGACGGGCCCTAGACCGCAGCGACAGGTGACCCGTTACGGCAAAACCATACTCTCCTCCTCCTTGACTGCGTGATGCCACCAATAAATACCAGCTAGCACTGCTAATATCCGCAAACGTGATGATATGGATACTTCCTCGACAGCCGTGGCAATAGCCATATGCTGCTCCGCGGAGATAAAATGGAGTCATGGACCAAATGGTGACCCGCAACCAGCGACTCGACACGCGCTCCCTTACGAATCTCTCGGAAGGTCTTGAGGTACCGCTTCGCACTCGTGTCGACTTCGGCGAGGCTAATTTATGGAGGATCTGCTTTGCTTGATTTGCTCTGACCTCGCAGGCTTTAATGGTAGTTTTGAGGCCAGCGGAGCTTCCACTGGCGAGATTGTTCTCGGCGAATATCTTAGTCGCCTCGAGCGTGTCGCTCGCCATAGGGAGACGGGCAGCCGCGTTCGCGAAACGCCCCAGGTAGACCGCCTTTGTCTTTCACGGCGTCATAGACTGTTTTAGTTCCCTCAGTCATGGATATGAGCCCTGACATCAACCCGACCACCTATGCGGCCTCTGGCTGGACATCTTGATTGTGCAAAAAGAGATGGTGCAAAGGAATGGATAAGGGGTAAAGAAAGAAAACACAAAGCTATAGAGGAAAGGGTAAGGGGGTTTCGCCAATTCGAACCAATCAATTCACTTAGTCTGGCGATGTTCTAAGCTAAGCGCCTCCATAAAGGGTGATAAGTGTACCTAGTTTACAATTCATCCTTCATTCAGTAGTACCACACCAAATGCAATTTACCCCCTTATTCACTGCCATCGTTTCCAATCGATTTTATGGGGTCAACATTCTCCTTGTGAGACGCTTCGCTTTTGTCAACTCCATCGGCTATAGCCACATGAAGACCCTCGGAGTTGTAGGTATGTTGCATTTTGATCTTCTCTCGTCGCATCTCCTTCGATTTCTTGACACCGAAGCCCTCGTCAAAGAGGGTGAATGCTTCGTCGACCGATAGGCCCTCTAAAAAAAAAACATATTAGCAATACACCATGTCTCGACCAGGGGTCATTGCTTACTAGTTTCTGGATAGCAGAAATAGGCAAGCACAAGGCCGATGATGATGAAGCCAAGGTATAGACCGTATGTCCCGCTGGGAGTCAGGTTTTCGAGTCTGTAATCGGGTCAGCCAAATTCTCCCAATGCCGCAACGGGAGAGACGAACTCGGTGAGGAAGGACACGGCGACCACCAAATTTGCTGAAAAACTTGCGACCGTGCTGATAGCACTACCTGCTGCACGAATCTCGAGAGCAAGGTACTCGGACTGGTACCAACAAAGGTGTGCATAGGTGGAGCCAAAGCCGGTGACGAAGATGACGATTCCGGCTATAACCAGGCCAACGTCCCTCTGGGGATAAGGGTAGCCATCAACCAGGACGTGCCCTGTGGGCTTACACATGTAGTAGAAAGCGATGAGACACCAGGTAAGACCAATGACCATAATGGGACCGAATTTCATCAGCAGCCCACGGCGACCGATGCGGTCCACCATCACCATGCCGCAAAGAAGGAAGAAAGTGTTGGTGATTGAGGGGATTAAACCTCCAACAGACGGATTGGAAAGGCCCAAGAGTCCGAATAGAGTTCCGGCGTAGTAGAGAAGGGTGTTGTATCCGGTGAATTGACCGAAAACCTGGATCAAGCTGACGGTAAAAATTGAACGGCGGTACGGCTTGTGAGTCCATAGCTTTTTGGAGCGTTGCCAAAAGGTGGTCGAGCGTTGCAGAGCCGTGGTGGCAGCAATGTGATCCTTGACGATCTGCAATTTTAGCTCAATGATCTCAGGTGAGGCGTACTTGTAGATCGTCTTGAGTACTTCTCGAGCCCTGTCGTCCTGGCCACGAAGGATAAGAACACGAGGCGACTCCGGTAACTTATGCATGAGGGCGAGCTGCAGAAGCGAGGGCACAACACCAAGACCAAACAGGATCCGCCAGTTGCCCTTGACGTGCTGCATGCCGGCACCAATGGCCACAGCGACTGTCTGGCCAAACGGAATGCAGAAGCCATTTGTCCCGACACACCGTCCACGAACGGCAGTGGGAGCCAGTTCAGTGATGTAAAGTGGACAGATTACAGCCGCGCCGCCCACTCCGACGCCGAGGATAAGACGACCAGCGATAAGCTGGCCGAGAGAAAAGCTCGACGCGATGACGATAGCACCGGCTGTAAAGAATAGGTCAGAAATCAGTAGGCAGAGCTTTCGGCCCCATCTGTCGGCGAACATGCCCAAGATGGCAGCCCCGAAGATGGAGCCGACGGTGGTGGCCGCTGTGGCAATCTCCTGTTGAAGGTAGGAGAGTGCATAACCAAACTCGGTCCCGACATAAGGAAGTGCAACACCAACAATGCCAGTGTCATAGCCGTATAGGAATCCACCAAGGGCCGCCTAGGATTTGTCAGTCGCTTCTCAAGGGCTTGTACGCGTAATATCTGACCGAAGCGATCAGGAAGACCAGATAAGGCGTCATCTTGTCTTCATTTTCAGCTTGAATAACGTGCTCGTCCTGGAATCCTCATCAGTACCATCCCGCGCCGAGCTAGGGTCGAAGACTTACGACGAGGTGACGTTGTTCGGCTGGGGCAATAGAGTCTGCCTTTGGTGCCTGATCCGCCGCGGCGGTCTTGACGTCGTGAGATATCATATTGTCGAAGTCCAAATGGTTAAAGATGGATGCTAAGGTAACCGGGACGAGGACGGGGACGTCGTCGATTTATATACTTGAGATTCTGTGACCCCGTTGCCCTGTCGCGGAAAATAACTGCCGATTGCGTTGTCTAGGCCTGTAGTTGCAACTTTGACCCTACCAGTCACCCAGATAAACTTTACCGGTTTGATTGGTTGGCAAGGTATGGTCTTACAACCTTAATTGGTGACCTTGCTCTCTTCGATAACCCCTTAAAAATAGGCCGTTTTAGGGAGGGAGAGACCGTAAAGCTTTAGGTCAGGCCTGGATACCATAGAGCGCGAAGTGGTCCTTAGTAAGTTCTGTGCAACGGTCTTTAGGAACAAATATACCTCCTTAAAAATGTGCAGTCCCAGCAGAGTGCGAAAAGGAGGCGAGACGGAGATCGCAAATCTGGGGTTTGACGCTAAACCCGCTACCCCGCGAATGTGGAGCTTGGCAAAGAATTAATGTTTACTGGAAGCGCCAATCGGGCATAATTCCAGCTCGGAAAGTCTAACACCGGGTTTGCTGAGACATTTTCGGGGATGTAATTCCGATACAACGTGATGCGCCTCCAGAAGTCTATGTAACTGACCTGACCTAAGTGACTTATCGCCTTTTAGGTTAACTAGGCACTATTGTAGATTCGTGTGCACGCCCCCAGCTAAAGAGTCGGCATGAATAACAAATATACAGGCAGGAGCGGGTGATGAACCATAAAGATGGTCAGTGGGTGTTATTCGTGGATATTGCAATTGCAAGGTCAGCTCGAGCTTAAACAATAGTAAATTAGGTGGCTGGCTTATCTAAAAGGCGGTGCGTAGTGTAAAAGGGGCCTCGATACGCAGGAAAAAATGGGATCGCCACCGCCAAGATATATTTTGGTGCCCCGGTCAACTTATCAGTATATTGGCCCAGAGGCAAAGGTCAGAATCCGGGGTTGCTCCACAGTCCATGATTTATCGGCCGGCAACCCGAGAAACGAGAGACCGTATGTTGAAAGGAATGGGCCGTGGAGTAGACTCAGCGAACGTCCACACAAAAGCCATTTGATTCGGAAACAAACACCAGTTCGTGGACGTGGCGTCCTGAGAGCTGCGCTGATTGGTGGACCGTCCAAGTCAAGGTTTTGGGGGGTGGCGATTCTCTTTCCACGAGATCTGAAGCCCACCAAGGGCTAGAATTTAAAACACGCTTTGCGGGGGATCCCTGATTACCCCAGAAATGGAGCATAAATGAGAGGAGCTCGATGTTGCACATATGGCTGTGGCTAGCTGGGTCGTTCGAAGCCTGGTCTCCCAATGGATAATCATCGCAGGATTCAGACCTCGCAGGATTCAGAATTCCCAGGCAGCGTAAAGACAAAGTTTAATGAAAAGGGCGACTGGAGCTTGGCATCTACATAAGACTCTGGCTTTCCCCTATTATTTTGGTCATACTACTTGCTTGACTCTCTGAAGCCCGTCCCAGATTTGGCTCCCCATGAATGATATTTCTCTGCTCTTTTGAAGTCTGCTCTTTGAACTTGCATCCATCAAACTCCTACTTCCAAAAGCAATCGGGATTCCTTGTCTTACGAAACTCAACCCCGCCCCCCCACGAAAGTCACTATCTCCAATTTGGTCTCAAGACACCGATGATGGTCACTCCACCATGTAGGAGTTTCTAAAGGTGCCCTGGTCAACAGCGCCAGATGACTCAGGCCATAGTCCTCTGTTGGTAGTATTCGTCACGGCCACGAGTCTTGAAAAGGCCTGCAATGGCCCCACAACCTTCCTCTTTGACTCAGGAACCAGCCGGTCTTGTCGGGGGCTATCAGGGGAACAGCACCGCGGTCAAGGTCATCATGGGTGTCCTGGTCGCCATCGTGTTTTATAATGCAGTCGAACTCACAGTTCTCATCCCTATGACCTTTCGTCGCTACCAGAGTCTCTACTTTTGGTCTTTGATGCTTTCCGCGACTGTTGGGCTTATAGCCAGTGGCGTCGGCAATCTGCTACACTTCTTCGACATTGGGCCGTTGAGTTTGGCTCTGGCACTATCTAACCTTGGATTCTACTTCCTGGTTCCGGCTCAATCCGTGGTTCTATACTCGAGACTACACTTGGTTCTTTTCAACGAGCGTCTCCTCCGTTTTATACTCCGTGCAGTGGTCTTCAATGGTATCGTCTTCGCCGTTCTAGTGACGGTTATGTGTTTCGGCTCAGCCTTCCTGCAGACCGGCCCTTGGAATGCGGGTTATACGGTCGTGGAGCGGCTGCAAGTGACCTGGTTCTGTGTGCAAGAATTCGCTATCTCCGTGCTCTACATCCATGAGACTGTCAAGCTACTCCAGCTTCGACCTGCGAATAACAGTCGTCGAAAGAACATCATGTACCAGCTGTTGGCCATTAATATCCTTATCATCATGATGGACACTGTCGTTGTCGCGATCGAATTCATCGGCTTCTATTACATGCAAGTCTTGTTAAAGGATGCTATTTACAGCATCAAGCTCAAGCTTGAATTTGCTGTACTTGGGAAGTTAACTAGGATCGTGGAGGCCGGTCATCTCGAGCTTACCCAGACTGATCACGGTGGCTGGTGTGATCTCCAAAACAGCCAAAGACTTGCGGCATCTAATCCGACATGCTCACAAATGACGTCGAATAACTCCAGATCCGCCTCCGACGTACATTACGCAGATACATACTTTGATGGGTTCGGCCTAACAGGTAGCATGTCGCACAGCGGAAGATCCCACCTGTTATGAATAAAACATAATTTGATTCACCTATAACTAGTTTATTTCCCTTCAGCCTATGATCGAATAGTAAAATGCATATTTAACTAGGAAAGGGTGAAACATGAATGAAATGTTATCTACCTACGTCAAGGCGCACCGGTTTCGTAACAACGATCACTGCGGGTGTGGCACGCAAGAAACCGTTACCTATGTGCTGGTGGACCATCCAAGACTGACAGAATTGTGAGGGAGTTGATGAGAGGAGTTAGGGACGCGTTTGATTGTATGTCGAGCCCGCTAGGAGGCTTAGCTAAAGGTAAGAAGGTAATCTAGACACCATCTCGCGGGTTGGGACGGTTAATACCCTCATGGACTTCGCCGAGGCGTCTCCGCGATTTAGAAGTCGCATACCACGAGGTGCCTGGCAGCTGTTTCGCAGACTCGCCCGAGATCACTCGTTAACCGCACGCATGATGATCCTGGACCGTTCAAAAGCTGGTGTGATGACCTTCGGCACAAGTATCCCCTGAATGCGGCCCTCACCAAGCCTGTCTGCAGATTGTTAAAGTAATAAACTGGGGGTTTACTTACACTCCACCGGCGGAGTTCTCCTCTGCTATGCCCTTCTGGAGCTCCGTCTTCTGTCGGGAGATGAGGCGGCGAAGATGAAGGGAGTCGAAATTTTCGAGGACAGCTCCTCTACAGCTGTATGGATGTCATACGGGGAGTTTCCCGCAGGTTCCCCAGGGGGTTGAACCTATACCCTGCGTGGTGCTCAACTGCGGATGGTAACTACGACACATATATGCGTGGCCCTATTGATTTCTTCATTTTGGAACGGCTTTAAATGATCGCTGAGATATTATAAGCGCAAAATCGTATTTTGGTCCTTATATAACAAAATTCCCGACATTGTAACCGCAGCCCTCCTGAAATGAAAGACGTAATAGGAGACGTCAAAGTCACTGTGCTGCAAACGCAGCCGCATAAACATTCATGTCATTCACAAACCCGCCTAACCTTCTCGGCCTCCAGCCAAGAAGCTGCTCAGCCCGCGCAGAAGAGCCCCGGAACGTCGTACTCATCGCTTTAGCGAACTTGTCCCCGCCAGCACCCTTCAGCGTCACCGTCCCTTTGAAACCCCAGCATATAGCCATAGATTCGAAGATCTCGCGCATGCCCTCCTGGCTCGTAACCAGGTCAAAACCGGGGTATACACCCGTTCCGGAGACGCAAGGGAGCTTCGCAATAGCACACTGAAAGGCTCGGGCTACGTCGTCGACATGTACCAGACCCGGTCTTGCATCCGCGTCCAAAGGGATCTCAATCGGCGTCTTCTCTCCACTCCTCGCTGCGTTGAGAAGCGGCGTCACGAACGCCGACCAGATCGCTAGCTCCCTGCCGTAAATTAAGGCGGGCCGGAGTATCATCACGTCCAGCACCTCGGTCGCGTTTAGTATCTGCTTTTCGAGATCAAGTCGCCAGGCAACTAGCTCCGGGGCGGGGGAGGGTGCCAGATCTACCACAGAGAGGTCGTTAACGGCTTTGGAAGATGAGCCATGCACCCAGGTCCCGGAGCAGTAGATGAAGCCAAGCTTTGGTCCTTTCACGCCGTGACGCCCGTATTCCTTTTGCCGTTGCTGACCGATGAGCATCACATTTTGGAGGAAACTGTACGAATCCTGGTTTGCGCCTGAGACGTCGACTACAATGTCAATGTTCTCGGAGCGGATAACGGAGAGATACGGCTCTGGATCTTCGACCGGGTTGCTGCAGAGAACGGGTATTATCTCCTGTCGGGCGAGCTGGACTGCTCTCTCGCGTGAACGTGCCACGCCATAGACTGTGTGTTGGCCTGACTGGACCAGCCTGTGGGCTACGTGCTTGCCCAGATATCCGGTTGCTCCTAGGATGAGGATTTTCGACATGTTGGAATTGGAGAAGAGATGGAATGAGGATTTATGCTGATTTATAGAATGCCCTATACAGAAGACAGAGAGCTCGAGAGTGATTTGGTCGAAGCTAGGATTCATATATGTTTCTATTCGGACTTAACAAGACTAAAAACCGCAAAGCTCTATTCTCCCGGTTTGCGGTTTTAAGTCCGACTGCAGGTAAGCACCTGACGTCAGGCCTGGTCAATAGCTCTCAAGTTCCGCGGAATCTAAACAATAGACCATAATGATGGTTTGAATCCCGTTTTGGACATCTCTCTCTTTGTCGTAGGGAGTGTCACTCCGAAGACAAATAATAGTTACTCACTCCGCGTCCCTACTTGACCCGGCCCGAGACCTTACCGGTTTGCCGATCTAGGATGTCAGCGGGTACACTCGAACGCAAACCTTTATCCACCAGGTCGGTTTGCCAGGCCAACAACCACTGCCAAGTACTACCGCCATGAAGGCTGGCGATGAGTGTTGCACTGTTACCATGCATGGGAATCCAGCCATACCTGGGAGATTACTTCTTGAACTCAAGTGTCAACTCAAATTGCAGTAATCTCATACTTGGCAAGACTGCAAGAGGTGCTGTGTCCAGCCTGTAGGGGCCATTAGCACCTGTCCAGGTTACAAGTATGTACCTTGCTCTTTAGGGCCGTCTTCTTTGAGTGACGAGCAGAGGCTGTGATAACTTAAGGGGCCTGTGCTGCATCCAGCTGTGTGATAAGTATGCTACTCTGTTAATTACCTTCCCTTCCCTGCGTGGAAGAGGCATGGCTAACCTGCATTCCTTTTGGGAAATCCGCTGCTGAGCTGGTTAAAGAGAAGATCGTTATTATGTCGTCCAGTCTATTCAGAACAATCAACTTATTTCTTATTTCCCCATGTTTCTAGCACATACGACCATAGGGTGTGGAAAACAGGGCTTCCCGTCCGCTCAGCCGTACTTAAGCCACACGCCGGCCGGTTAGTAGTTGGGTGGGTGACCACCAGCGAATCCTGGCTGTCGTATGTTTTTTTCCTCTTTGTTTTGAGGGATTCGATGCTGTTTCCGTAGCCCGAGAAGGCCGGCTTTTACAGGTGAGAGATGCAAACAGGGTGAAATTTCCATGTGCTCTTCTTTCTTAGGGGTCTAAAGGTCTTAAGGCTATTCCTAGATCAGATAAAAGAAGTCTGTAAGAAAGAAATGCAGTGGTGAGTTCTGCTTGGCAATGTTGGCTATCTTGCTTGTTCCAAGGACAAGGCATGAAGCGTAGAACTAGATGCATGGTAATTGAGAGGCTGTCACAATAATTCCATAATGATGACAACACTGCAAGAAAAAAGGCACAAATCAGCCATACACAACATATAAGTATGCCGAATCATTCACTTAAAATTATAGTAAGAGGATTGAGAATTCAACTCCCAGAAAACTACTAAAAACCATAATATTCGTTCTCCCACTATCTATAATATGAAGTTTACAATACTATCAACTCTCTTGGCTGCCCTGGTCTCCAGTAGCCCAGTTATATACCATTACGCGAAGAACAATCTGTCTATATACCGACCGCGGACCGAACAATAATGAAGATGAAACTAGATGAGTGACAACTGCCCTCTACCATAACGGCATCCTACACAAAACTCACAGCGAGTGACATTTCTAGATAAAAATCCTAGGCTTCAGCTTGCGCGGCAGGATTGAGTTTGTCGAAATTCTCTGGAAATGCTGGTGGCTAGAGATCTGTCGATGGAGGGCCATGGTAGTCAAGAAAATAAGGCTGGCGAGCATGATCAAAATGTGGTAGTATTTCACTTGACTGCCAAAATATCATACCTAGTACTTCCGCTGGCCTTTCGGGTTGAACGAAGATATTCTCAGCATGAAGGTCAGGGTGCCATAGCCAGGCGGACGTGATTGACTTATCTGTTGGTAGAAGATATTTCACAAGACAAAAGTGGTTTTGGAAAGCCGCTATATTTTTAGAACGAGAGCGACAGTACGTGCCGGGGTCATGTTTGGCTCTCAGATTGTCCTTTTTCAGCCTCCTCGACTACTTGTGTAATCTCTTCCAGTTTCTCCATCGCAGTCATAGCCTGGTCCTCTCTTCTTTGTAGCCAGTAAGGGCATTGGCTATGCTCGTCGCTCAGCTTCTCATATCTTTCCTCAAGCTCGACATACTCTCTGCGGCATGTAGCAAGCTTGCTCCTGAGACTTTCCAGTTCATCACAATTCCTGTTCATAACGTAGTCGCAAAGCAAGTGATCCTTGATCGTTCCTTCTTCGTTCTTTATTTTTTAGTACATGTCGACATTGAACTGAGACTTGTAGGATTGACTTACAACAAGAAGTGTCTCATAGTCCTGGCAGGTAGGCGGCTTGGGCCTCTTCTTCGTTTTCTTCCCGCAGTTTTGTGCGTAGGGCGGTTTCCATTCACATTCGCTGAAGTGGTGCTCGACATCTCGATGGAATCGAAGGAGGAAGTCTGCCATCGACACATTGGAGAAACGCTCCAGATAATAGATCTTATAGGTCCCATTGGATGTGCAGTGACCCGTTTACGCAGCATGGAACTACTAAGTGGACCGAGGTTCTAGAGTCCAATGGTGCAGCGATGGTTTCAAATAGTGTCATCGTGTTCAGAAATTGTCAGCCAGTAAGATATAGCTTGCGTTATCCACTAACCACTATCTTCCTTTACCATCAATTCTCAGAAAGCACGAGGCTTGGAGGAGGGCAAAAATAAAAATATTAGATGAAATTGTCCACGCAAGGAACGCTATGTAAGAGAATTAACAGAATCAGGATTCAGGGAGCAAGGGGTTGGTGTGGTAGACTCTCTGAGGGTCAGTATGCTGGAGTCCCTCAGGATATAACAGGCGTACTTCAATTTTGAAAGACGTGAGTCCCTATAATCTATATAGACATCCATCTTGGGATGATCGACTAGGTCAATGCAAACGATGGTAAGTCGCGTCTGACGGATGACTCCCATGCCAACCTGAGTAAACATGACATCAATCTTAGCTGGTACAGAGATGGACCTGATGATCACAGGGGATAAAGCAAACCAATTTTTCACAGCGTGTCTGAAGAACTTACGGGATATAGCCGACGGAATCCCCCCGACGGAAACGATCCGCAACATATGAAGAAAGTTCCACATGAACAGCACAGGCAGTTTTAAAACCAGAACTCGAGCTTGTAAATGCGAGTCCCGTACACATAGGCCCAAGTCTTCCGTCTCTACTCCCTTGATTTCCGGTCTCCCCAATGCTAAGTTTAAAGGGCAAAGTCGCCGTTGTCATCGGCCTCGGCCAAACAGCCCCAGAAGGCTGGGGTATCGGCGCCGCCATCGCCACGAAACTTTCGCAACACGGTGCCCTCATCTTCGGCGGAAACCGCACCTTGTCCGCGGCCGAGCGAACAAAAGCCCGGATAGAGGCTGACGGCGGCACATGCGACATCCAACAAACGGATGCTACTGACGCCGCGTCTGTCAAGGCGCTGGTGGACAGCTGCATGCAGAAACACGGCCGCATCGACATCCTCATCAATAATGTGGGGAGGTCGGAGCCGGGCTGTCCGGCAGAGATGTGCGAGGAAGTATGGGATCAGCAGGTTGATGTCAATCTCAAGAGCGTGTATTTGACGTGTCATTTTGTACTGCCCATCATGGAGAAGCAGGAGACTGGGGGCTCGATTGTGAATGTGTCGAGTATTGCGGGGATGAGGTACATCGGGAAACCGCAGGTTGCGTATTCGGCTACGAAGGCCGCGATTATGCAGTTTACGAAGGCGACGGCTGTGATTTATGCAGGGAGGAATGTGAGGTTGAACACGGTTGTGCCGGGCTTGATTTATACACCATATACGAAGGCACTTGCGAAACGGTACGCACCTGGGGGCGATGAGGAGGAATATATGAGGAAGAGGGATACGCAGGTGCCGATGGGACGGATGGGGGACGCCTGGGATGTTGCTAATGCGGTTTTGTTTCTGGCGTCTGATGAGGCGAGGTATATCACGGGGCAGAAGTTGGTTGTGGATGGGGGTATTACTTCATCCACCGGGAGGGTGTAGCTTGGAGTATTGCATAAACCATGTCATTGTCATTCATACCATGGGAGTCTCTCTCTCTCTCTTTCATGCTCTTTCTAGTCAAACTCCAACTTCTCCACCCCCACCAGCTCCGCCTCCCGATTCAAATTCTGTATCTCCGACTCGGTAAAAGGAATACCCTCTTCCAACCGCTTCTCACGGTTAATCTGCTCAATCTCCCCAGGGTAGTAAATACGATCCGCACCTGCCATCTTCTCGCACCCAACAACCCGCTGATACAGATAGTCCATCCGGTCCTTGAAGTCCTCCAAACTCATAAACAAATCAGGCCTGATAGCCATCAGGAAGTGCCCAACATCCGCCGGCTTGGAAGGATCATACGGGCCCGTCACATGCCCCGCAAACGCCGACCCTGAAAGCACGCCAGAAAACACATCCATCATAATCGATAGGGCAGACCCCTTCGGCCCACCCATCGGCAACATCACGCCCTCCAGCGCCTTGGCCGGATCATCCGTCCTCTTCCCCTCCGCGTCAAGCGCCCAGTCTGTGGGGATCTTCTCCCCGCGCCGGAGAGCTTTATAGATCTTCCCCCTCGCCGCAACCGAAGGCGCCATATCAAGGATAAACGGCCTTTCCTTCCCCGCGGGAGCTCCACACGCAATTGGGGAAACGCCCATAAGTTTCGACTTCCCGCCCCAAACCGGTAGCGCGGGCGAGGAATTCGTGAAAACAAGCGACATCATCCCCGCATCAATCGCCTGCTGGACAAGCCAGGCCGACATCCCAAAATGGTTCGAGTGCTTGACGGAGACTAATCCAATGCCGAATTCTCGCGCCATCTCGCACGCGTGCTGCATGCCCAGATGGGCCGCGACGAACCCGAAAGTGTTTTTCCCATCTACCAGCGCCGCAATCGGTGTGATCTGCTGCAGCTCTGGGGATGCCGAGGGGTCTAGGACTTTCTGGCGTATGCGTTGCATGTATGAGGGGATGCGGTTTGCGCCGTGCGTATCCACGCCGCGGAGGTCGGCTTGGACGAGACAGTTGGCCACGATGGCAGCATGCTTGTCCGGGACACCGTTGCCTGTGAGGACTTTGTGGATGAACCTCTCGAGGTCTGAATGTTTGATGTGAGGCATTTTTTCGGGCATTTTGGAGAAGTGATGCGAAGAAATCTTGGGCTTAAGAGTTGCCTGCCTTGGCACCTTGACTTCTATCAGAGAAATTGTTTGTTCCCAAGTAGGATGTGGATGTAGTGCTTTTTAACTGCAAAGGTAAGTAAACCTCTTTGTTGTGGCGGACTGCCTTTCCAAGGCGACGACGGAACGGGCTGCCATCCGCGCACCGGAACGACTCCGACCGCGGGAAGACGCCGTATTTCAACCACCGACTAGGTAGATCCGAAATTCGCATGTTTTGGTGGGAGAAGTAAGAGTATCGATCATCTACGTGTCTTCTCCTCTGAAGCGCGGCCACTTATGCCCATCTGCCTTCTTCAAGAGACTCGAGGTCTAATCATCCAAATCTGCATCAAGGCCCATAGCCGATATATGTTGCGAGTACACGATTCACTCCCACTAAGCGATAGTCTTCCCAGGACCCTTGTGCTTACTGCTACAGCTAATGCTCAGTGCGAAGTTTTAGGGCTGAATATCTCCCCCATGAGCCCATCAATATCAAACGCCCCGCTCCAACCAGGGAAATCCCCTTGTAAAAGGTCGTCGAATATATTTGAGAAATCGGATACGCCCTCCTCTGACGTTGTATGCGGTTGGACAAGCCAGGGCTCTGCGCTGCTTCCTTGTACGTCTAAGAAAGGCTGTCCTTGTCTAGTGCCAAGTTGATGGGGCTGCAGCATAGGGCGAGACACTGGTTCAGAACCATGACTGTGGCCATTTTGTGTATGTGCCATAGATGATTGAACTGGCTGGGAAGTAGCAGGTACGGTAGGCTGGCTCTTTAGAAGTCTTCGAATCGTGACGCTAGATAATTCATGGATACAATCGCGAGCTCGAATCGCCTCAGCCCAGTGCTCTCCAATGCCGCTCAGAATGTTCTGTGCGATGTTGAATTTGGTAATCAGGTCGTCCACCGGAATCTTTGTCGCTGTTTGTGGTAACCTCCAAATACAGTACAGCATGACAAGCGTGCCGAGAAAGATTGAATGCACATCAAGCCGGCTGTACAGTAAATGTCCTGTTCCGTACAAATCCCCGAATCCCTGAAGCAGCATGATAGCCTGCTCAAAACACTGCTCGAGGTTTTCGTCCGAGGGATTTGGTATTCCGGGACTGGGTCGCAATAGTAGAATCATTGTGTCGTGATACTTGATCTTACACAAAAGCGGCGCTTCATTGTTGACGTCGCTCACTTGCTGTGGTATGTTCGAATGCCAATCTTGTAAAGATTTAATCATATCCTTTTGCCAATCGGCTATATCTCGGACTTGGGGATAAGCATAGGCAGGCGCGCCACGGTTGACGCTGTGCATAACGTATTTCGTTTCAGATATCAGTTGGGCCAGTCTAAATATATGGATTGAATACGACATGTGCGAAGGCGATTCCTTGTATTGCTGGTCAGGACCGATGTTCATAAGATCGCTGTCTGATATAGCAAGGGGAAACTACATTCTCCCTTTAGTTGATACTTCGACGCGGAAGAGATTTGTTTTGCTTACCCTTATGTCGCAAGCTTCGTCTCTGATGCCGATCGGTCGACCCATCATAGTGCACACTGTTCGGTCAAAGGTATACACCACCCAGAAGATACGGGTCCTCATTTCTTGGTCGAATATCGAGATATGGAGGGACTGAGATGCCCGCACATCTCGCTGAAGCCCGAGATCAATCACGCTCGCAAGACATTGATAGTTGAGGTTCCAGATGTTGATATTGCAGGACGGGTTATACAAGGCATACACCATGAGGAGCAATAGGCATTGAAGGGAAGTCATGGAACCATGATTGCATGCATAATCGGCATACTTCAATGCAGATGCATAATATCCTTCCACCGGAAGATGTACCTTGCATTGGCGTGATAGATTCAGGGCGCCGACGGCCAAAACCATGTAGACTTGGAAGTTATCCAAAGGCCTCTCTTCCTGTGATGCGTAGACTTGATCAATAAGTTTCATATGCGATTGCTCGTGTAAAAAGGGGTGAAGAAGATGGACGGTTTGGAAGTATCTCGTAGAGAGCGCTATAGCGCTTTCCTTTCGGGGCGGCAGTAAGGCTGGTGTATTCAGTAGTTCGACTGATAGGTGCGTTGAGTCCCAAGCGGCTCCCGGTGCGGCTTTCTGTCTACCACGACAGCCAGCACTAGAGAGGATTCGCTTCGCAAAGGAGTAACCGCTGGAGGGACCAATATACCGAGGATCGCCCCCAGGCGACAGCGAGACCAGTCCAATCTCATGCGCCTGCTGAGGTTCGTCATTGACTGCATTGATCGTAGGCATGATTTGCGAAGCTGCCCATTCATGAGGGATAATATTTGTGGGAGCTTCCTCAGTAATGTTGGCCCTTGTCTCGTGCGGGGAAGGCTGTGGTGGAGGCTGACCATGGTGGGATTCGTTTTCGACTGGTGCATCAGGAGTTCCAGCGTGTGTTGTCTCATCTAAAGCTCCTACATGAACTTCTGGCGCACGGCGTAGGTCAACGTCGGAACATCTCTCTCGTACAATAGTCTCCAGCCATTGTATTCGATTCTCCATATTGGAAATGTATCTTCCCTGATAATCAGCGCGACTGAGGAGGACGATTCAGAGTGAGAAACTGACGAGCGATGGACTTGCTGCTTTCCATCATTGATGCAGGAAACACCTGCCTTTTCACAGGAACCGCAGGAGGGCGAATTACCGTCACACTGTATGCGAAATGAGCTCGATGAATGATGCAACTTTGGGATTTGCTTACCCGGATTTTCCGTCGCTGACAACGCCTGCATGCGGCCCGATTCCGAGCCCTCTTTTGCGAGTCCATCTGCTCCATAAAAGCAAGGGAGAAGCTCAACGGATAATCTGGGATATTAAGGGTCAACAAAGGAACATACAGTCCACAGTATGTTTGCTAATAACCAGCGTTAATCAGCATCACCGTGATCACTTCTTCAAGGAACACAAGTTTGCAAAGTCAAAAAGTCTGCATCTGTCCACTGAGCGGAAAAACCCGTCGGATGCTTACCGAAGCTGATATATTTTACCGCTTACTGTCCCTGGTCACCTGACGCCTGTTCCCACCAACTGCCCGATTTCTACATTCTCCAAAGGATGAAAACACGATCTTGTATTCTCCTAAGAAGATCTAGCAAGCTTAGGGCCTTTAAGCAAAGAAAGGCGAAGTATCATAGCTTGCTACAAATACTAAGCAGGAAGAAACGCTACATAGGTACTAGGAAAAGGAAGAAAAGAGGCGCTTAATTAAAAAGTGAAAGAGAATAACATCTCCTAACAAGGAGCTTTGAATGCAAGAAGCTAAGGAAAAGCAACACTGAAAGGAAAAAAAAAAAAAGACTAGCTATAAAGCTAATATATAGCTTTAAAATGACTTTAGGCAAGTTAAGAAAGGCAAGGAGGCCAATTTAAATCAAAGTCAGTAAGGCATTACAGGTCAGGATGATGGAGTGTTCGAGCGGCATTTACTATAGTTAATGAGGACAGCAGATTTGGTCGCTGAGTACCAGAATCGGGTCTCAGAGGCGGAACTGGGCGTCAGGTGATCGGGGATGGTACCCAATTGGGTTGATGGCCCTATGTTTGCATTTCATTAATTTCTGTCGTGCAATATCTCTCTACAGAGTGATCAAACCTCCGATATCATATGATTTGTGATGGCCTCATTTTCGCTGCATTGAATAGTTTATCGATCACCCAGGGAGACAGGGCACTAGATCGGGAAAAGCTCGAACCTCCATTGATTCGTCACTTCGATATAAATTTCTAATGATAACAGAACTCGGTACGGATCCGCGGTCTTGGACAACAGACTAGCCTGTTGCAACATGGAGAATCAACAGTGGCACTCATTATTCATAGGCTATCTATTACCTCTGTGTAAGTCCGACTTCCTATCTTCACAACAGAAAATAGCACATATATTCATCTTCAGGATCAACTTCAAAATCAAAACGGACTAAATCTTCTTTGTATGGAAACATATAGGTTGAAGTTACTCTATACCCTGGTTAGTCTTGAGTAAGGAGATAATGTCGCTGAATGGGCGATCAATCAGTGCATACCGGTGATGCTCATTACTGGCTTGATACTCCGCCAGAGCTGCCTGGTTCTCGTGGTAGCTTATGAGGGCGATCTGGAAACCCTTACTGCGCTCAAGCGGTTCCGTGACGCTGGGTCCTCCAACAAGAAGCCGTCCAGATTTGACACATGGAAGGTTTTTTAACTTCTTGAGTTCGGTAACGAAGGTACTCTTATGTTCCTCACTGACATCAGGACGGAATTTGAACAGAACTGGGAGTGACAAAGTAAGTGAACATTAGCATAATGTTTATCATACTGGAGTTGCCACTGACCAATATGAACCAGGGTCATTGCGAGTTGAGGGTGTATATGATAAATGTTCTTTTTCCGGGACGTTTAATACAACATGCTTGAAAGAGTCAAGGCAAAATGTGGTGCAAAAGCAGATATAAATATTAGAGGATCAACTTAGTTTACTGATCATGTCACAGGTCCCTGGTGGTTGACGGAGTGTGCGCAAAGCGGGTGAGTTCCGACAAGTGTTCAGGTCTACATCATAGGTTGCTTTTCATGTCATATCGCTATACGTCTATCCGCCACAGCACTTATTCGGCACCTATATTCATCGCAATGTCATTGTCAGCCAGCTGCTGCAAGATAGCTGAGCTTAATTTCCCGTCCACGGCCACTGGCTTGATTCAGATATACTTGTATAGCTTTGCCCTGTTTTCTTTTCTTGTGTTCTTGTCTAAGCGGATCACTTCCGCGCGCGTTGAAACGGAGGACATCCGGCTGCTTCCGTTATCAAGGCGCAGCCGCTGATCTAGGCAATAAAAGGCTACGACCAGAAGTCAACTAAAGATATCTGAATTTAACCGTCATTGTCCGTCACAAAACTATGGAGATGCACGATCGAGCGAGGCGGGACTATGAGCTCCAGGAACCAATTGTTTCTACGACAGGGATGCGACAAGGGCTGACATCGTACGGGGATGCTCACTTTTCGCTCTTCTTGCGCAAGGTTTTTATTAAAGCATTGGGGTATTCGGAGGATGCTCTCTCTCGACCCATCATCGGTATTATCAACACGGGGTCCGGATTCAATCCCTGCCACGGCAACGCTCCCCAACTGATGGAAGCTGCTAAGCGTGGCATTCATCTAAATGGGGGAATAGCTATTGACTTCCCAACGATAAGCTTGCATGAAGGGTTCTCGCACCCCACAAGCATGTTTCTGCGCAATCTCATGAGTATGGATACCGAAGAGATGATTCGCGCGCAGCCCGTTGACGCGTGCATAATGATTGGGGGTACGCTTTTCAGTCCCTTCCTCGCAGCGAGATTCTGATGGTCCGTAGGTTGCGATAAGACGGTCCCCGCGCAGATTATGGGAGGTATATCTGCGAACAAGCCCGTGTTGCCTCTTTTGACAGGACCTATGATGCCAGGAAGTCATAGAGGGAAGAGAATAGGTGCCTGTACCGACTGCCGGAACAACTGGGCCTCTTACCGGGCAGGAACTATTGACTTGGAGGAAATTGCGTCTATCAATGAGGAGCTTGCACCAACTGTTAGTTCCCTATACTGCTTGCTGAGCAATCTGACTCATATTCTGCTTCAACAGGTTGGAACTTGCGGAGTGATGGGAACTGCCAGCACCATGGCCTGCATTTCAGCTGCGTTAGGCCTAATCCCGTTACAGGGTGCCTCAGCCCCGGCTGTATCTGCTGCGAGACTGCGGATTGCTGAGGAGACGGGCGCCAATGCCGTAGCTGCTGCGATAAATCAAAGAACACCACAGACTCTCCTATCTGTCGAATCGATCTACAATGCCGTTGTTGTCCTCCAGGCTATCGGAGGATCTACCAACGCCATGATTCACCTGATGGCAATCGTTAACCGTCATCCTCGTATCAAGGGATCAATCAGCTTAAAGACCTTCGACGACATAGGGCGACATATTCCCCTTCTGATTGATCTAAAACCAAGTGGTAATAACTATATGACTGACTTCCATAACGCTGGCGGCATGTTATGCCTCCTGCATCGCCTTAGACCCCTGCTCCACCTTTCAGCAAAGACCATTACAGGAGACACGCTTGGTGAGGTGCTGGACCGGAGCTCTTTTCGTGACTTTGAGTATTCTCGCCAAGTCATCCGGACTCTTTCCAACCCCCTGCACCCGTGCTCCTCTTTGATTGTTGTTGCAGGCAATGTCGCCCCCAACGGAGCCGTGATCAAAGCCTCAACATCGAAAGACAAGAGGTTACTCCGTCACAGCGGCCCTGCTGTTGTCTTCGAGAACCTTCAAGACCTTGCGCTACGACTCGACGACCCCGATCTTGACGTGACTGCGGACTCAGTACTTGTGCTCAAATCTATAGGTCCTATCGGGAACCCCGGTATGCCTGAGGCAGGTATGATCCCTATCCCACGCAAACTAGCTGCACGCGGGGTGACAGATATGCTTCGGATCTCGGATGGGCGGATGTCGGGTACCGCAGGGGGTACGATCGTCTTACACGTCTCGCCAGAGTCGGCTATCCCAGATTCGCCATTCGCAGTCATTCAAACAGGCGATATCATTGTTTTTGATGCAGCGAATCGTCTCTTGCGCTTGGAGGTTAGCGACGAGGAGCTTCAACGAAGGATTACCCGACGACAACAAGAGATAACAGAGAGTGCGGACTCTTCCTGGAACAAAAGATTCACAAAGCGGGGATATTGGGGCCTTTATGAGCGGGAGGTGAATCAGGCTCATGATGGCGCTGATTTTAACTTTCTGACTGCATCGGACTCTGGTACCTAGAAATGGATGTGTACCGTAACCATCGTAAAGATGCGACAATTGACAGTCAGCAGATAACCCAGGCTTGTTAGTAAAGTGGGTGAGCTTTGATAAAGAGAATATATGTCTCCATAAACTATTAAACAGTGACGGCAGCGTGCTCTCCATGTTAAAAGAACTCAACGCCTGATGTAAACAATGTGCATTCTAAAACCCTCCTTGTGTCCAGCATTTTTTAATTATCAGGCCGACCCACAGACCGTTTATGCTGGGAAGGGACGTTCGCTGGGGCCAAGTTGCTCAACCATCATCGGGGGCGTTATCTTTGAAGAGATCAAAATCACACTTAGACCCTGTTATAACTTCGTACATCACTGCTCCAAGTTGTCCGATATCTGTCTGTATTGAGAATCCGTTATCGTCGGCTGCTTCCATAACCATGTCTAGTGGGAGAACAGATGCCCGGTGTATCTGCCTGGGAGAGAGCCTTGTATGTGTGGCGTATATGAAGACCGACAAGAGTCCATCCGCAACGATATCACAGTCAAACTTGAGAATGATATCGTCATGAAGGGCTACTATAACTATGTTGATTAGTTCATCGCATTACTGGTTGGTATATGTACATAGGCTTTGCCATCCATCAATAGGGTATATCTCTTCATTAAAAATGACACATAAATTGAAAGAGGAAAAAGGTAAGAAGAAGGTAAGAAGAAGGTAAGAAGAAGGTAAGAAGAAGGTAAGAAGAAGGTAAGAAGAAGGTAAGAAGAAGGTAAGAAGAAGGTAAGAAGAAGGTAAAAAAGGTTGAGAAGTCAAAAAGTAAAGAAAATCAGACATTCATCCCATGCATCGTTTTGCCCGAGTCTATCGACGCCGTCCGGGTCTTGACGAACTTGGGCCACGTATTGGTGAGAACGAGGTACTTGATGCTCTCCTGTGCATCGTCAAAGACGTTCGGCCCGAACGACTCGGGAACATCACCCCAGTATTGCACACGGTCATGAATGGCGCCCACGGAGCTCTGCAGCTTCTTTTGCGAGTTATTCGAATAGGTCGGCGACGCGGGTGGCTTGAATGAATCAAAGGGGGTGGCGGGATCGACCTCGAGCTCGTCGCCGTACAGGATCCGAGCGGGCCGCTCAAAGACGTCTTGAAGCTTTCTGAGATCCTGAGACGAGATGTTGATGGGGAACTCGGCGTGCGTGACGCTGATGAACTCGGCGTAGATGCGCAACGCGCGGTTGAATCGCTCGCGGATCAAGTCCTCCGTGTTGCTGTCCCGAGGGGCGGTGTTATCCCGGATCGTCTTGGGGAAGGAGTCTTTCCATTCGGCGACACTGGTCAAAAAGGCAATGTTCTCGCCGGAAAAGTCGCTCAGGGCGGAGAAGCGTTGGAGAGGAGCGGGGTCTCGCTCAAGGGCATACTCGAGAGCGCCCATGGTCAGGATACTGTCGCGAGAGTGGTTGGTCTGGACGGAGCCGTTGGTGGACTTGCCGCCGGTCATGATGGATTCGACCAGAGTGGCCGTCTCGGCAAGGGATTTGCTGGCTGAGCTGTTTTTCTTGTTCTTTTCCTCCCACTGCGCGATGGCGTCGAGGGTCTCCTTGCGGAGCGCTTGGTGGCGCATTACTTCCCAGCAGGGAAGGAAGACTGTGAAGATTTCCATGACCAGGATAGAAAGACATATCCTACAATTTATTAGGGGACATGCTGGAGAGGAAGATCGAGTTGATCATGCGCTTACCACTGTGGAGGCAGCCAGACTTGGTTCACTTTGTCAAACGCAGGGACGTAGATGGAAATGAGCCACAGGGGAGCACCGGGGAGACTGCACGCGACGTGAATTAGAAGGAGCATACATGGCTTTGGTGCTGTACTCACTTGGCTATGGCGCAGCCGATGGTCTGAACTCGCCAGCCATGGGTGTCGCGGATATTGCGAGATTTCCAGAGAACAATAGGAGCAAACATCCAGGCCCAAAACAGTTGCCAAAAGATACTCGGCCACCTAGACGGTGTTAGCGTAGCCCTCCCTTACTGTACGATTCTGGTGCTTCATACCACTCCCAGCCCCGACCCATCGCCGATAACTGGGCCATTTTGGGACCGGTAACCTCTGTGCCTGGAATTCCCCAAGTGGGATGCCACTTGCGCGAAATCAACCACATGATGATAGTGAGCAGGATCTGGGCAATCATCCCGATTCCAACGAGAGCTAGGATCCTGGTATTGTAATCGAGACGCTTGAAGCGGCCGATCAGGCCGCTTCTCCTTTGGTTCGGACCAAAATCGATGAGTCGACGATCATTGTAGACGTACTTCTCCTGGAGCTTTGCGACGTAAAGGAAACGACTGTTGGACGCGTGAAAGAGAGCGATTCCGCAGGGTAGAAAAGTGCCCATGATCCAAAACTGAGCATCTCCCGGCATGATGGGGCCGATCATGGTGCCGAACTGGACAGGGGCGTAATACAAATGAAGGAGAACGATAGCAGAGAGCGACAGGCCGAGGCCTCGGATGCGCAGAATAGGAGTGTCCCGACGAGCGATGAGATAGGCCATGCCACTGGCGACGAGGACTGTCCAAACGCCTGCCCAGGTGGCCCACCAGATGCTTACCGGACTGTATACGGGCTCCGGCTTCGAGTCGGGCGTGACTCCCAGCTCCGACCCCATATTGACCGGTTTAGTTGAAACAAAGGATTAAGGAAAGTGAGTGAGTGACTGAGTGAGTGACATGGTGGAAAGAGAGGAAAAGGAAGAACTGGACGGCTGTCGATATTAGTCGGAAGAGACGCAGGGCGGACCCATGCAGGAACGTGAAACCCATTGTTAAACAAACTTTGCCGGTTTACATGGTACTAATACAAAGCTGGATCGATCGGCGTTGACGAGGCATATACCGGGGGGAAGATGGCGACATATCAAGATTAGATACTGAACGTACGACTCCAGGGCCCCAGCCTAGCAACGAGACTGCGAAGGGCGGCCACGTTCTCTACCCTCATGGCGGGCTGTGCCTGAATATCGATCTATTTCCTTTGCTGGTAGTCGCCCAGGACGATCAGCCGAACTACTTCGTGCCATTGGTTCTGCAGCGTTCCATCGTGGGGGTCGAGATGGGCTAGTTCATGCGGCGCTGCACTAATCACAGCCTAGTTTCATTGTTATTTGGAATTCTGATCGTTTGTTTCTGCCCACGGTCCAGTTCCACAATCTACGCTCCACTTTCTCTACCTACTCCGTACGGCATAGGCCGAGAGACTCGCGGGAAAACCGGGAAACATCCTTGGTAGCCTTGAAGTTAGTAGAGAGCTAGATGTAGATAGGAAGCTCTCTTGGGGCCCACTTATCATGCACATCTCGGTAACTTGGAGAGGCCGAGAAAGCTTTGCTTTGGTGCGTTCCTGCCCACGATTTCCCTTCCATTTCGTCAGCATTCCCCTGATCTTCAAGGAAGATTGCCTGATGCATCGGAAATTGCCTGCAAGGTCGTATGCACAAACCCCGACAAGAAGCGCTGTTTGATATCCAATAGGTGGATCATATGCTTGTCGCCGCTTGGGATGCAACTCGCCCTCTCATGCAGGTCATATGGACAAGGATGATGTTATGGCGCGATATCTGCCCCAACTGTACGTATTATCATCTTTGCAGCTGGCCACTCTAGTTCTGACTCACTTCTCCCAGCCAACTTTCCAAGTTCTTGGCAACAAACTCTATGAATCCTTTGAAGGATTACATGTCGAGCTAGCGGGATGTCGTGACTCGTGAGATGTAAGTTAAAGAAAACTGTAGAGAAATGATAAATATTAAATAGACGATACTCAGGGGAAGAAGCCACAATACCGGCTCAAGATCCCCAGAACCTGGTCATATCATGCATTGGTGCGATCATGTTTAACTCGACGATGTGAGTGAGAAATTCCGGTTGTCTGGAGTGGTCCCTAAATATTCGCAGCGTCCGTAACTCTCGGGTGTAGCCTTGAATGCATCTCTCACAGTGCCACTGTGCGTATAACATGTCGCTCTATCCGTCTATTCACTAGATACTGATCAGTAGGACTAGTAGAATGGCCAAGGATCGGCTGCTAAGAAGACGCTGGCAGCCCACGAAGCAGTCTCCAGGCCGTCTTCCCGCTTTGGACACGAAAGGAAAGATTTGCGTTGATCTAATGAAGACTTAATCCTCAGCAACCAGAAGATGTTTTGATTAAATCCTAATATAAAAGCAATTAGATATTGAGCCACCCGGTCAGATCAGAATTCCGAGGAATATCCTTCCTTTTAGTGAATGACCATGACACCCCACTGTACGACTCAACCGGGTTTTGAAAATGCAAGTCATCGATCCGCTGAGTCTCCTACTCCACTACATTAGACCATTAGCGTCGATCTCACTCCATCTGGCCGTTCCTGCGGTGTGGTGAGGCGGTTTATGCATGGCTTGCATCTCGTAGTGTTGTTTTGATTGGTGAATCCCCTCCCATCCCTGCTGTGACCACGTCACTGCCCATTATTTGAAAGCGAAGCTCAAGATGTAGATATATCCAGAAGACCAATTCCTGCTTGAGCTCGACGACTATTCCCTTATAATGGCCCCCTCAGCAACGATGGCCCCGGTGGGCCCTGATTTAGGATGGAACGAGAGAGATGGACTGCGAATTGCCATCCTCGGTTGCGAGACATCCTTTGCATTCGGCAAGTAGCAGAAATCAAACTTGCTTTCACTCTGCGAGCCAGGCGAACCCAGCAGAGTTTGCTCAGCCAGATCCTCAGTGTGTCTTGCACGCTGGATGCCCCTTCGGGCGACCCCGAAAGCGCCACCTCCGCCTGGCGCGTTTCATTCCCTTTTCGGGCTTGTGGATTATGTCCACTCCTCAAGTGTCGTCGCCGCAGGTGGTGATTGTACTGGTGAGCAGGTCATGTCTCGGAATATGGCTAAAGAGCCGGTTGATGAGATTAGTGAAGTTCTTGTTGGTTTTGTGAGCAGTCCGTAGAGAATGCTGGACTCTCTCCGTGGGTAACATCTACGTATGGCCGTTGGGCTTGGGGTTTAATGAAATGCTAGACTTCAAACTGGGGGGCAAGATACGTTAGATTAAGAGCCTTACTATGAATAATTCGGTAATTTCCAACGATGACTCGATGCTTGCAATCTCTGTCTGGACGGCCTCGTCGTCCACCCTGAGGCCCTTGTAGGCTGCAAGGCTGTGGACCGCCTCATCGCGGCGGGTGACCAGCACAAGCCACCGCGGCGATTCCGGCAGCAAGAAGACGGTCGCCAGGATAGTTAGCGGGAAGAGAAAGGACAGGGCCAGTGGGACCCGACATTGGGTTTCACCCGATGTCTTGCTAAAGCCAAAGTCGATCCAGTTGCACAGCACAAACCCCAGAGTCATGCATATGCCGTCGACAACGACATGCTGCCCACGATGCTTTGCCGAGTTACATTCGGCCTGGAACACTGGGACCGTGGCGCTCAGCTGCCCGACCCCAATACCCAGAATCACCCGGCCCAGGGTAAACTGAATGATGCCGTACGATGAGGTCTGCAACAGCTGGCCGATAATGGCGATGATGGCAGCCAGGAAGATGGTCTTGCGCCGGCCAAGCCGATCACCAAAGGAAATGCACGAGAGGGCGCCCACGAGTGCCCCGAGCTGCAGAGACGCGATGACTGCGCCCTTTTTGGTCGAGTTTTCGGCCCTGAGCTCGCCGCTGGTGTTGATCGTGTCGATTCGGGGAATACATGGACCCTTGCATTTGTCAGTCTATGGATTCTATTCATTTTGATTCTGCTGGTGCCAATACCATGACTGCAAAGTAGCCAGCGGTCCCAATCCCGCTTGATTGTATCCGTAGGTGATGAAGGCCGGCACAACTGTGAGAAGCACTTGGGCCACACGAAGCGATTTTCCTCTGAGCATCTTGCTTGTTCTAGAGGACCGGTCACATAAATGAAGAGATAGGTCTTAGAATGCTCGGCTTCAAGGGATCAAGCTTCGTTTATGCTCGAAGTGGAGCCGGGACTTTCTGGGGACCCCGCGTGTCAACAGGCCAAGGCATGGGTCATGGCATTCGGGATAAGCTTTACTTTTCTGTTACCCCACGATCTGTCATTCGCTCGACCTGGAGAAGACGGGGCTCATGTCCTAAGCATGAAAGTATGTTTGCGGTATCTCAGATCCCATGGCGTGGTATCAAGTGTCGTCCGCAATGCATCTCCTTCTCTTTCGGACGGCAGAGCTCCAAATAACTAGCATTAGATAGGTGAATAGGAGCAAATGTATGAGACAGGATCCTGATTAGAGCTTACCATTTTTGTTCCATGGCATATAAGTTTCCGCGGACAAAAGCAGGTCGCGGATGGTTTCGGACAAGACGAACTTCTGGCTCCGGGATACCTAGAGAGAATGCATTGAATATCGTCGCATGAGATTCCGGTGTCACAGGAAACACCAATTGGCTATTGTGCACGTACTCTGGATTACTACTGTTTCTTCTCCCGAACATAATACACCAGTAGTGTTCCAATATATTCAACTAGCTCTGGGGAGTGTTACCCAACAACATAAATCCAACCTAAGCAATACCAGTTTGCAAGATGAACCGACCACAGACCTTAACAACGTACTAGCAATTAAACAGATAATCAACATACTTCTCCATCAACGCACAGTCAAAAGGCGGACACTGTAACCCTCCTGGATAGGTGGCTAATGCCCGCCTCGTGTTGGTATCGTCGTACGTGGGCATATTCTCGTACAGTTCCCATCGACTCAGGCCCTTGTGCACCTTCTCCGCCAGCATGGGAAGTAACGGCTGGAGACTTGCATGCGCACTCGCCGAGAGCCGCTCAATCCACTCGCTGTAGCTGACTCGCTGCATCACCGCGCCCCGCGCCTGGCTCAACAACTCCATCACCCCGTCCATGTCGACTGACGCTGATCGCTGGGGCAGGATATGGAAAGCGTGGCCGAGAGAGGACATGCTGGAGGAGATGTGCAGCATGGCAGTGACTGCGTAGTCCACAGGGACGAACTCCTTGCGCTGGTTGGGGAGGGCCGGGTACGCCCCCAGGTCGAGACTGGCGCGGATCAACCGGCTGAAGAAATCGTCCGGGTTGCAGGCTCCCGTCGGGTGGTCGCCTGTCACGAAGCCGGGGCGGTACACGGCGATGGGGAATCCGCGGCCCACGAGGCGTTGGAGGAGTTGGTCGGCGGCCCATTGGCTCTGGGCGTAGCCGTGGTCGTAGGGAAGGGCGTCCAGATGCGGGAGGAGAGGCGCGTCTTCGTAGATGAACTTGGCGCCGGTCACGAACCCGGTGGGGCCGTAGCAGGAGATGCTGGAGCAGTAGTGGAGACCCTTGAGGCGGCCGGTGACGGCAAGACGGGCGACGTTGAGCGTGCCGATAATGTTGGCCGGACGGTGGAGAGAGTAGGGCTGGGTGTAGTTGACGCGCGCGCCGAGGTGGAAGATGACACTGGCCCAGTTGGCGATCTCACCGAAGCGTTGCTCGCCGAGGCCAAGCCAGTGGTCCTCTAGCGAGCCGCAGAGAGGGAGAAGCTTGAGCAGAAACGTATCGTGCCAGAGGTCGTATTTGCGTAAGGCGGCTTGCAGGCGCTGTAGGCCAGTGGCAATATCAATGGCGCGCACCAGGCAGCCTACCTGATGCACGTCGGGCATCTTCAGCAGATCCGCCAGCATGAACGCTCCGACGAACCCGGTGGCGCCCGTCAGGAAAACACGGCCTTCGGTATCCCGGCGCCAGTCAATGACCGGCCCGAGCGGGAGCTGAAGGCTATCCGCCAGCTTGGTGTCTGCAAGCCACAGGGAGCGCTCATTGCGCACTGTCGCCATGGTTGATCCCCTGTGGCGGTCGATGACGGAGGCAAGCAAGCCCAGCGTAGAGTGGTCATACAGCGTGAGAAGAGAGATTCCCGTGCGAAACTGCTGCCGGATGCGACTGATTAGTAATGAGGCCTGAAGGGAGGTGCCGCCGAGGGCGAAAAAGTCGTCTTCATCTGCATATTCAAGAACGGGGGTGGCCAGGATGGTGGCCCAGAGATGGGCCAGGTGCTCACGCGTACTCATACCCCTGGTCTTCCCATGAAGAGCGCAGATATGCTTCTTCCGGCGCTGGTGATACATCTCTGCCAGCTTCCTGCGGTCCACTTTTGCGTGCGCATTCAGTGGCATTTCCGAGATGACCTCAATATGCGGCACCATGTAGTCTGGCAATGTCGCACGAAGCGTCTTCATCGCGTCCGCCACGGCATCGTGAGTGGCGTTAGCCTGAAGGACAACAAAGGCCACGAGCGTCGAACCCGCCCCGTCCTCCGTCGCGTCTATTGGCATAGAAAGCCCCTCGGAGAAGTGGCCCGTCTTCATCAGTGCGGCATCAACCGCCGCCAGCTCGACCCGGTAACCTCGAACCTTGACCTGATGATCCCGACGACCCAGGAAGTCATGATGTCCGTCACGACGAAGCCGCACCATATCCCCAGTGCGATACATCCGGTATGGCCCACTACACCCGGGATCGACCAGTCCAGCAACATAGATGAAGGGCTTCGCGTTCTTGTCAGGCTGGTCAACATATCCCGGCGACACGCCCGGCCCGCCCACCAGCAACTCGCCCTCTTCGCCCTCGGGGACAGGACGACCCTCATCGTCACACACGCAACAGACATTGCGGCCGATGGGCTTGCCAATGCCAACTTTACCTGCCTCCACATCATCCATTGTGATCTCGTGGGTGAGACAGTAGACGCAGCATTCCGTGGGCCCGTAGGCGTTCATGAGATGTTCCGGTGGCCCAGCGGCCAGAATCGCCTCCATTGCGCGGAGATTAACCGTCTCGCCGCCCATGAGGACTACCCGGAGCGGTTGGAATGTTGTGGGACACGTTGCTGCCGCCAGGTTGACCAAGGGCGCAGTAATAGCCATGATGGTGATGCCCAGCTGGCAGATAGCGGCGGCCATGGCGGGAACATCCAGAAGAGTGGACTTGCTGAGCACCCCGATAGTAGCCCCACGGACGAGGGCGGCCCAGATGTCGAACAGGGCCACGTCGAAGCTGGTGTTGTTGCCGTGGCCCACCACGTCGGATTTGTGGACGGGTTCGTAGGGTGCGTGATGCGCCACATGGACGATGGAGCGAGCGGCGATCTGTACGGCTTTGGGCTCGCTGGTTGTGCCGGATGTGTGGATCAGGTGTGTACAGTGGGCCATGGTCGTCGGGAGGGGAAACTGCGCCGCCAGGGTAGAGAATGGCTTGCGGAGTTCAGGTCGCAGCTCAACAGGCAGTAAGGCAAAGGGGAGATTCCGCTTGCTGTTGGCCTCGTCCACGAGGACATACCGGGTGCCTAATCGTTTCAGTCGGTTGATAATCTGCTGGTCGGGCAAGAGAGGATCGAGAGGGACACACGTCCCTCCCGCGTAGATGATGGCCACCTGTGTGACGGCGTCCCAGAGCCCATGCTGAACGACAATGCCGACTCGTTCCTCCACATCGAACGCTTCCCGGGTTAGAGCCTGCGCCAGCTCAATGGCTCTCTCATGTAGTGCTTCGTATGTCAGGCTCTCGCCCTGTTCATCGACAATTGCCACGGCGGAGGGATCCTCGACCATCCGTTGATAGAAGAGTTGAGCCAACCCTTCGTCTCGGGAGACGGCCACATCGTACTCGGAGACTGATGGAGTTATTGAGCCCATTATCTAATGTCGAATGAGAACGAGAGAGTTCTGTCGAGAAATGAGACACAGGTCGAAGCTTCTCCATCTCTCTGACTTGGAGGCAAACCTATGGTTCATGAACGGCTTCATTTTGTCCCTTCCATGACCCACGCATGAGGGCCGAAGTGCTGCTTACCGAGGTAAAGCTGGCCTGCCAGTGTGCTTGACATAAATAACAGCTTCAATGCTAGGTTGCTTGCATCATGCTTTGCAATGTGTACGAGGAGGGACAGTTGCACAGACTTGCCGAATAGGTATGCGCGCACCTGGTAATGGAAAGCTCTCTGGTGGAACCATGGATTTGAGCATGCGAGATATTGCCGCGGTCCAAAGCTCGCGCCGTTGAAGTAGAGCAAAACGAAGGCAGAGGGACGGCGTAAAGTCAAGACTCCCCAAGATGTTGATGGTATCGCCTAAGTCGGTTAACTCTCTAGGTCTTGCAATCTGGCGATTACCATGGCATCTTTCCAGCTCACAGCCATGAACGGCCACTGCTATGCTGGGAAGGTGCTGTATAACTCTCGACCTGTTTGTGAAATCCTTGGTCCATTCCTATGCAGGGGTAAAAGATCAAAAAGCATGTGAGCCCCTTGCACAGAGGTATTGCATGCCAGAAGGATTAGGAGCCCTATACTAATCCTACTCTAGTTTTGAGCCGAATGAAATCGTCAGTATGGTCCTGATAGTGCCGGTCTATCGCCTTATATATCCGTACCTGGTGCACTTCAAGACAATGGTATCTTAAACGTGATTCTTACTATAGGCAAGGGGTTACCAAGTCCGAAACTTGGTCATAAGGAGCCCGTAGGCTCGCCCTGACGCGACAGGCCGCTCCAGGAATCAAAGTGTAAGTGTTTTGTCAGGAACCAGACGAAGGCAATAGTCCGTTTCGGGACGGTAGCAGTGGAAGCTTCAGACAGCAACGTCAGTAGGCCGCTATCACAAGCTTATTTATTATAACTTATTTTCACTCTGCAGTGATACAGTGACACCCCCTAGGTTCTAGTGACACCTCCCTTACCCAATCGGGCAAGTGACAGGCATGTGCCCACTATGAAAATGGATTCCACCACACATGTGATCTGCGCTTTAGGCTCAGCAGTAGGGCATTACTACTTGATATTCAGGTGTTCTGTACTCCCAGGGGGTGACTCTGTATCACTAACCCAAGAAAAAGCACATGTGACAATGCCTGGCGGAACTATATCATGCTTGTATCATGCTTCCTGTATGTCATGTCCACTGCATACAGTCTCGGCTGCATATAACATAGGCCATCACCTTGAATGGCTCTCGTCATGATCCACATTTGGGCATATAGGAAACTGCCACTGCAGCAAGAATCCTAAGTGGCAGGATAACTCGGAGAAAGACCCTCAACGCTACTTTCATGCATAACCTACCTCCCTTGATAAATCTCGCTCGACGTCAACCACATCCATCTCACACTTGTGCAATATTCCGATCCTCTGTCGATTACAGTCATGACCAGCTCTACTCCCCTCATCACAGTCTTTGGAGCGACTGGCAACCAAGGCGGTGCTGTTGCCAGATCGCTCCTCAAGAACCCATCCTTCAAGGTCCGCGCTCTCACTCGAAATCCCAGTTCAGCTGCCAGCCAGGCACTGGCCTCTCAGGGTGCGCAAATCCACCAAGCGAATGGTTTCAACAGCGAGTCAATGGTGGAAGCCTTCCGTGGCTCCTGGGGCGCTTTCGTGAATATTAATTCAGATAATAAGGTATGTCAACGGTTGTCGTTTCTGTGGATGTGTGTTAGATTGCCCCATTCTCATAATACTTCTCGCTCAGGCATTTAAACCCGATGGTCCCACAGAATTCGACATGGGCAAAACGATCGTGGACGCAGCCGCCCAAGCCGGAATCCGTCATTTGATCTTTAGCACTGGCCCAGACTGCTACAAGCTTACCGGGGGAAAGATCAAAATGAATGCCGCAGACAGTGCGTAGCCCCATCCTCTGACCTTGATATCGTAACTAAGCTCGGACAGTGAAGTATAAAGTCGAACAATACGCCCGTACTATAGACCGTTTTGAAACCGTCAGCTTCATCTGCGCAGCCTGGTTTCTAGAAAACTTCCTGATAAAGGAGATCGGACCCCTCTTCGGCGGTTTCCCCCATTTGCCAGATTCCGAAGGATATCTCACGTTTGTTGCCCCCAAATGGGGCGGGAAGGAGGAAATCCCCTTCATCAGCATTTCTGATGATTTTGGGGACATTGTGCAGGGCATGTTTCTTGATCCTGTTCGGTGGAATGGCCAGGTCATCCACGGCTGCAGTGATATTTGCAGCTTTGAGCATGTTGTATCAGCTTTTGAGAAACTGAGCGGGCGGAAATGCCGTTTCCAGCCGCTGCCCTCCTGGGAAGACTTTGATACCCACGGGATCCCTGAGTTGGAGGACACGAAAATGATGTTTGGTTTCACGCAGAACAACGAGGGACATTACTTTGGGCCTGAGCCGTCAGAGACAGAGACTGCTGGTACACTGAAGTTGGTCACTGCATTGGCACTGGGGTGGCCCAGGGAGGAACACAAGTTGATGACAGTAGAGGAATGGTTCCGAAAGCGCTTTCAGTTTCAGTAGTCCATCCTGGCGAGGCTTGAGCAAAAAGATCGTTTCCCTAGCAAGCCTCCAATCAAACTCGAAGTCACGTCATTGACACAGCATACACGTACGTCGAATCACGCCCAGCCACCATACGTGGACTAGACCTAGTAGTATTTCGATGACCCCCACCATCGACCAATCTAGCCGCACCACTAGTTTTCTAGGACGGGTTGTCTGTCATGATTCCTACGTGTAAGTCCTCCAATCACAAGTAAATAAATTCAGGCAGAATCCAATGATAGAAAAGAAGCCAAGGACGAGCTGGATGAGTCGGATCTGTGGACCTCCAAGAACCTCGAAGAGAATGGAATCCTCAAGGAGGCGCATCGGATATGGGCAGCACTTTCTGGGCCGCTGCCTCGTGTGGTTCCTCTCGAGGGATTGCAAGTGGGTTCTTTATTATATCCCAGGTGGGGGAGTTATCCCTTTCCTTGGATTCGAGCCTATTTGATCATACTCTTCCTCAACGCAGAATTTGATTAGCTTATAGACTATTGTCCGCTCCACTTCGACGATTTCAAGGCTGAGCGATGGCTGCGAAGTGCGAGAACCGATCTTGAGAGGTATCTCCACCCCTACAGCAGTGGGAGTCATCCCTTTCGAAGACATATACCGTACCAGGTTCCACGGATGCCGGACCACTGTATTTTAAGCCAGTCTACGGCGGCAGACCACCCCCAACCCGTTTAGTGTTTGAACCTCCCATAGTGTATTCACCATAGAGGCTTGGCTGTGATTGTCCAATTTCTCTGCACTGTGACCGTACCAACATGGCCTTTCCCATCTTGGTATATAGCAGACTTGTTGTTTCAACTTCAACTGCATTGGTACATCCGCTCAGACCAGTCCACGCCCAGATGCTTGGCTCCCCACACAACTGCATCATTGTGGACGATCTTGGGCACCGCCCTGCTTGGCCTCCGCCGGCCCTTCCACCCTCACTGGCTGTTCCAGTCTCGGCGCCAAGTACGCCGAGGTCTGCTCATGCTGATCCTCCCACTCCTACATTGTGTCTCTGTGACAGCACGGACATTGAGATAACAGGCATCTCAAAGGGCCAGAAACCCATTCCTGGACATTAGAATCTAATTTCCTTGGCATCATGCCATCCTCCGGCCACGGTTCTACCGACCAAAGCCGCTTCAGCGTTGCATCCATGAGGGGCGTGGGGTTAATCGTCGTCATTGTACCGCTGCAGCCCTGCTCCTTTTGCCTTGGCACTCCCTGGCTTGCGTGAGGAGCCGCCCGGTCACCACGCCCAAGACGCTGGTAGTCAGCCATCTACGCCATCCAGCTCTTTGTCCTGACCCCGCTGGTCTTGGCTCGGGACGCTTTCGGTCAGCGGAGAGACACTGTATCTAGACTGAGTCAGAGATAATGAATCAGCACATCGAGCAGAAGTGCGTAGTAGCCTGAGGGGCCGTTTCTCGGCCAGAGGGGGAGGTCTAGGCGATCGAAATCATAAAAGGCGACCTCCACTCCCCCCGTCTCTTCCCCAGATTCTTCTCAAATTCTCCGCGTTTGTTTTTCGTAGGCTGATATTCTTTGAAGCATACCCACTTTGTCTTGAACTTCTGCTGCTTGTCTGTCACTATGGGGGAGAAGACTTCCGACCCTGAGGCTCCAAGTCTCTCGCACCATGAGTCTTCTATATCTATTGAGAAGCAAGAGAGAGACGCAGCTACTGCTCGAGAGTGGGCTCGCGATATGGACCAAAGCACCACGACCAATAGTAAACTTAAGAATCCTCTTGCCGCGTTGAGTCGAGAACAGCTCCTGAGTGACGTCGAGGCCTTCGCGAAGGAGAAAGATCTCGAGCATATCCTCGATGATCTGCGAAAGGGCGCTCTTGTCGCGCAGGATCCAAGAGCGTTTGAGCAGATGGACGAGCTGACGGAGAATGAGAAAGAATTACTTCGAAGGGAGAAGACGCATCGGTGGAGTCAGCCGTTTATGATGTACTTCATGACCGGTAAGTCTCCTCGCGATCCCCCCGCTGCATTTCAATTTAACCCAGCCTGCAGTCCTCTGTGCTGGATCTGCTATCGTGCAGGGGATGGATCAGACTGCTGTCAACGGTGCGCAGGAGTACGTACCCTCCCATTCCCCATCTGACCTATGCTAAATGGGGCAGGTTCTACTTTGCTGAATTCAACGTCACCGACACTTGGCTGCAAGGCCTCCTCAACGGCGCTCCCTATCTCTGCTCCGCCGTCATCGGATGCTGGACCACGGCGCCCCTGAATCGCTGGTTTGGTCGCCGCGGATGCATCTTCATCTCGTGCTTTATCTCCTTTGCCGCCTCGTTCTGGATGGCGGCCGCGCATACCTGGTGGAATTTGTTGCTCGG